TTCATTCTCAGATTAGATTTAAAAATTCAAAAAATATACATTTATTTTATTAATACCTTCTCACACATTCTTTACTCACAGGACAAGACTTGGAAAACAGTAGCCTAGAGGAATTTAATTGAGATGTGTGTGAACAGCCAGTTATAATGTTTGGAAAATAATATTTGTGCAGTCAAAATCTTTTACGGTCCAATCAAGCAGGGCGTGGTTATGCTGATTGGCTAATAGCGCACTTTTAAGTTTTCGAAATTTTTTTCGAATTAGCACTGTATAGTTTAAGATATTTATAGCTTATTATAACAATTGATACAAAGGCCATAATCTTTCACCAGCTCTCCAATATCCACCTTGAAGCTGCATTTTATATCCTAAATATAAACTAAATCATGTTTTAGTGTAGACTTTTTGTCACAACAAGACTGCAACCTATAGTAACAATTATAAACAGAACCTCTAATGTCTGCTAACAATTTTTCTTCTAGTCCTAATCTGAGCCTTGTCTCTAAAAACTTAACTGAACTAGCGTTTCGGTGTGTGCAAAAGCTTCCAGGCACGCGCATTCCTTGCCCCGTTAGTTACCTGTCCTTCATAAACCAGCAGTCAGGACAAAAAGTCATACACCAAATGGGCATTATATTTTATGAATTGTTTTACATCTTTTTATTCTGTAAAAATGTGCTAAAATTAAATTTCTTGTTTCATTGAAAAAATTTCTTGTTTCATTGAAGATAGGTTTTACAGTTTTCTCTTTAGGACTCTTATCAGTATTTGGCGAAACAACCAGTTCGACAAGTATCCCAACGTGATCACTCTTACCAAGCGGTGAAACAATCTTACAACCGTTGACAAGAGCATCATTTGTATACAAGACCTGATCAAGAAGGCTCTCCTGGAGAGTATCTTTCACAAGCCGTCTTCTGGTTGTTTCGTTGGTAAAGTACCATGTTAAACCACTGTCATTAAAAATATCCATATACTTCTGTTGAATAGTTAAAAATTGATTTCTACTAAAGATATTATTATTTACACTTCCATTTACCCATGATACAGTAGGTAAATTAAAATCTCCTATAAGGATTGCTTCAGAATTGTTCTTTTCACTACATATACCCTTGATACAAGATAGTAATGTATTGTTCTGTTTTAAATTTAAAGAAGTTGATCTATAAATACAACAAATAGTAATCAATCCACCAGATGTGTTAATACTAACAGCTAAAGAGTCTGGTGCACTTAAAAAAGAGCTTACTAAAGAAGCATTACAACTGTTCTTGATATAAATGATAGAACCACCACCCCCACTTATAATATTGGTTGAATTGTCAATCTTAAAATCTCTATCCTTTCTAAACATAGTAAAACCTTCAATAAAAATTTCAGCATCTAATATGTCACTACTAAAATGAGTTTCTGTTATGCAAATCACATCAATAGATTTATATACTGGTAAAATACATTTAAGTTCATCAATTTTATTAAAAAGTCCATTAGCATTGGTGTAAAATATATTTAAGCCTTTACTGATTCTCCTTTCGTCTTTTCCAACCTGTTCTTCTCTGCTTCCAACTGTCTCTTCTTCCTCTCCTTTCTGGCTAAAAAATGGATCTCGCGGTCTGATCTACACTGGTCTTGATTGATCCAGTAGGACGATTCCTTCCAGCCTTTACCATAACATAGCACTTGCCATAACATTTCGAGAAGAAAGCGGCGCGCGCTACTTCGAAGAAATTTAGACGAGTAACATCCGTCAACCTGGAAGGTTGTAAACTTACAAGGGTCACGACGTGATACAACTAATATCAAAATTGCGGTATACTTTTAAAGAATTTTAATTCAAATAAAAGGCTCGATATATATAGTCGATGGTGCTGTAAATGTGTCCAGTAAGCATAAAAATGTATTATTTTATGTTAGATACAGATAATAACAGATGAATAACTAAGACGAGAGAGAATATTTTATTTCACTCAATGGAGTTGGCATACGTTGCCATAATATGACTTAATTGGCAATGTCAATTCATTGCAGCTCGGCGCGGCACAGTTAACGGGTGATACTCGTAATATCTGTTCCATATATTGGACCATACCCAGGAAAAGTTACCGGCTGGTGGTGGTACTAGAGTTGGTTTAATTTAAACAGACGGCTTGACCTCGCGCGCGACAACAAGCATGATTTGCACGCGTGGCGCATTCCAATGTTCAGGCAGCTACCACGTGACACAATTCAGCCAACCAGAGTACAGGAATCCGCAAAGTTAAAGTTGCAAACTTTTGATCAGCCTGAAAGGGGACTTTTCTGGAGATTTTGAGATAACTCAACAATTACGTTGTCTTGAATTTTCCTCCTGGAGAGGTAACGTTACTTTTAAAAGAGGAACATGTTACAAAAAACCGGAAGTCTCCAACTCTTTTACTTTCAAAGTTAAGCCCCATCCGGTCAGGGTTCCTGGGTGCAGCTGGCTGACGCCGAGTAGGGTGTTTTGGCCGTTCTAACTTAAGACTTTTATGAATTAAAGCAGCCGTATTGATCTTCCAAACCTACAACTTTCAAGGGCTAGAATTCGCTGTATTTTGCCGTTAAAACACAACTTGTACTGTTTAACTTCATGATTGGGCCGTAATTCAAAAGCAAATTGGCAAGAAGTGGTGCTCACGGTCTCACTTAACGTCACTTATCGCTCAATTAAGAGCGACCATGGTCTTAAGCGACAGACAGCCTGCAGGCATATGATCCGAATACGAAATATCCTTGTGTTCGGCATTTAATAGCCCTAATTGGTTACTTCGTACCCAGGAAAAGTTACCGGCTGGTGGTGGTACTAGAGTTGGTTTAATTTAAACAGACGGCTTGACCTCGCGCGCGACAACAAGCATGATTTGCACGCGTGGCGCATTCCAATGTTCAGGCAGCTACCACGTGACACAATTCAGCCAACCAGAGTACAGGAATCCGCAAAGTTAAAGTTGCAAACTTTTGATCGGCCTGAAAGGGGACTTTTCTGGAGATTTTGAGATAACTCAACGATTACGTTGTCTTGAATTTTCCTCCTGGAGAGGTAACGTTACTTTTAAAAGAGGAACATGTTACAAAAAACCGGAAGTCTCCAACACTTTTACTTTCAAAGTTAAGCCCCATCCGGTCAGGGTTCCTGGGTATACAGGACCGTCGACGAGTCCAACTCGGCGCGCGTCCTGGTAGGTTGTAAACCTACAACGGCACATGTTATAACTTTAACATTTAAATTTACAAGACGGAAATCTTGTTGAAAACCAAAAGGTTCTATTTATTTTACTTTTGGAGATATACCCCAGCCGGTAGGGTTTGCTGGGATGACATTTATTAACTAAGTTATAGCTGCATGGTACTGATAGAATATTATGGATGTCTAAGCGTGGTCTAATTATAATTATATAATAATATTCCATTTATCTATACCCACTGGTAATTAAATTTAAAGATGTGTATTTTTCCCTACTCTTGCCGAAAAAAGATCATAGGGAATAAGTAATCGGGTTTAGATATATAAGGTGGCCCGATGGACCTGCGATGATGACAAAAGTCTGTTCCTTCGCAATATAGACCACTCCCCTATAATTAAGTGTATAGGGACACAGGAGGACTATAGTGCAAAGAAACTGCTGCTCACTGCTGCTCACTGCTGCTCACTGCTGCTCACTGCTGCTCACTGCTGCTCACTGCTGCTCACTGCTGCAGTGAGCAGCAGTGAGCAGCAGTTAGCAGCAGTTTCTTTGCACTATAGTCCTCCTGTGGGGAGCGTCTGTTATGATGCGCTTGACGCTAGTTAGTGTTGATTAATTACAGTGAAATTCCTCCTTCGCAAAGTTACTTTCCGCAATTTTCTGCATTCATTTATTGTTGATGCGCGGCGCTGCATTAGTCAAATAAATCGTCAATTTTGTATGTAAATATGGTGCACACTTTTTTCCAGTCACACTTTTAACTCAAAAGAATTAATGGTACAAGTACATGGTATATAAGGAAAAATGATCGTGCGTGGTTTAACTGCGGTGAAATTCTTGTTATTTTATCAATCAGTTATTTATCCAGGAAAGTTTGTCATGTTATCACGTACACGAAGTAAGAGATCCTCAACAGCTGCTGATAAAGTAAAGAGTAACAAAAATTTAATTCCGATCAAAAAGGAAATAAGGTGGAGGCTGCAACATTACCATGGTTACTGGTTAGCTGGTTAGCAAATAACTGCCAAATAATAGAAGCGTCGTAGCGGTTCCATCGATAGTGCACTAATACTGCTTCTTCAGCAAAGAGCTCAAGCTTATTGAGGACGAAAATTATATCTTAGTTGACTGTTCCCTTTACTTTTCAGTTAGAGTTAAATTTAACTTCCCCAAAACATCCATTGCCCAGCTGGTGTGCACTCCAAGAAAACTCTAGACCTTACCGCTAAATTTACTACCACAGCAAGAGTAATCCATACAATTCTCTTTTTGAAATACCCAGGTGAGTCATGAGTGATTTAACAATATACCGATCCCCTTTTGGTGCCCCTCCCTAAAATTGAACAAATTAGGTGATTTTAGAGGATACGCCGGTTAAATCTCTAAAAAAGTGTGTATCTAAAGCAAAATGCACAGTTTTGCTAGTACTTTAGTTAAGTTTTCGAAATTGTCCCTCATTCAAACGACGATTTGGCGCCCCCCTAAGACGGCGCCCCCCTGCACAGCGGGGTCAGCGGGGCCTTCGTTACGCCACTGCCCCCCCCTCCCTGCGTTAAAAACACACTGTTTTGCTAGTACTTTAGTTAAGTTTTTCAAAGTTGTCCCGTATTCAAACGACGATTTGGCCCCCCTCCCCCCAACACTCAATTCCCTAATTTGTAAAGATTTGTAAACCCCAATAAGTTGTGAGGCATCAAATTCTCCACCATTGTCAACTGTTTACTTTGGATCTACTGTGAATAGGATCTAATGTGAATAGGATTCATCATTTTCAATTTATTGACTTTCATATATTATTTTATTCAGATGGCATGGTCGGAGGAGCTGCAGCCTTGGCAGCAACTCCCTGCTAATACACCATATTTGAATGAGGTATTGATTCACAATAAAACTATGTATTACTATTGTAATAAATTATTCATAATGCAATTTTGAACGTTTCTTTTCTTAGAAATGTAAACGATTATAAAGAAATTTGAATTACGTAATATCATACATTCTAAAGATATGAATATATACATGTGATGCAATTTGTTATGCAGATATTACTTAGAACAATTCAATATTCACCAAATTTTTCAGATAAAAGAAGCTATCGAGGCTTTGTACAAACATCCAGATAAAACCGTTAGATCTCAAGCAGAGACTTGGCTGCTTCAGCAACAGAACCTCCCAATATCATGGCAGGTTTGTACAGTAACAGTTCACGCTCATGTACACTTGAAAGCTTTCTAGGTTGTTTACATAATTGACCAATCAGTAATTAATGTTAATGAATATGTCAATACTTTCCAGGCTGGATGGACCCTGTTGCAGCCAGATAAGAGTGTGGAGGAGCAATATTTTGGAGCACATTTTATTCACCACAAAATATCTCAATGTTGGAACACTATCAACATCGAACATTTCCAAAACCTCCTTCAAGTTCTTTTCCAGAAGCTTGTGAGTTGAATAAACAATCTGTCTTGGTAGCTATTCATTATAAAGGATAACTTTTAACGGATAGTGATTTGACCATTTGAATCCCTTATAAATTCGAATTTCTCATCTTAAAAAATTAACCATTCAAGCAAGGTCAGTGGGAATTATATAATTTGCAACCCTATATATTGCAAATTGAGGATAAGTGGATAGATCTTAATAATGAGTTCAGAAGGTAACATGTAACCTTTGCTCAGATTGATTACAGAAAAGGGCCCACAATAGTACGGACCAGACTATCAGTAGCAGTTGCAGCTTTTATACTCCATGCAATGCAAGGTCCTTGGCCGGGTGCTATAGGACACACTATAAAGTATCTCAAGGCACAGGGTGGAGTTGAAATTGCTTTACAGGTTCTAGTCCTGATACCTGAGGAATTCACTTCAATAACTTTCACAGCCCAATCGAAGGTAAACGATGTGAAGAACTCTTTTATCAAGATCTTTGTATCTTTAACTCAATATTTATACTGTTTGGCCCGTCTTCGTAGTAGTAACTAACATTTCTCTCGTTACATTGTTTGTCAAAATCTCTTGACATTTAATTATTCTGAGTAATATTATTTACTGTTATATAACTCAAACTAGAGTTTATGTTTTCAATTTTGGAATAGCTATACAGTTATGAGTACTTCATTTACCTCCTTGCAGTCCATAATACGTTGTCAAGCTAAAGCGGCAGTAATTGAAGTGTTGGAGTTCATATCAGAGTGTAACACAGTTCCAGCTTATAAAGAAGTCTCCCTGAATGTGTTCAACAGTTGGGTTACATTCGAGCTTCCAGTACAGGAATCTGCTCTTTTAGTTGGTAATTACAATCAGTTTACTATTTACTTAACAATGATGCTAAACTGTGAATATTGTGCAATATATCTCATGTCTGGAGTGAAAGTGTCTGGTATAAATTACTCTCCTTAAAGAAATCCTAACTGTTTAGTTACTATTAGTACAACCTAGCGAAGTAACCACTTACCACATTCTTACTGAATTCACAAATATGGTCAATACTTTCAACAATTAATCAGAATCTCACGGGATACTGCCTTCAGATAAAATGTTCGAAGATTTGCCGAACCTGGCACTGTTTGACATTATAGTGGATTGTCTGGTAAACTTTCTCCGGCAGCCAATCACCTTGAGTTTCCCTAATACTGTGTGGAATATTATAGGAAAGGTAGCACAGCTGCAACCAATGCTGGGTCAGGCATTACAGAGTGATGATATGAGCATATGCCAAGGTAAGCGCTGGATTTGTATTGTCCTCTTCACCGATAACATTGAAATTGTCGAACCAACCATTTACAATAAATACACAATCGATTCATTTTGAATATTAATAATCTCTAATTCTGAATTTATTATAAAATCATCCTTTTTAATTAAATACTCGCAGGCATTTGTCAGATATTACTAGCTATAACAGATACGTACACAAAGCTGCTGCTAAATACCTCACGACCAGACAGGATATCTTTGGTTAGCTGTCTTATTGGCATGGTATTAGAGTGCACTGGCGTCCCTGGCCACTTTCCAATTGATGAGAACTTTAGTGATACTACACTTCAGGTATGTTATAATGTTACGTCAGGTATTTTGTAATATGCTGTATTTTATGGGTCAAACATTATGGGTATGCATTTGGAGCTTTGCCAGCGTCCATAATTGATCTTAGCTTCCGTGGTATTAGCAATTTAATCATAATGATAAAATAGAAAGTGCCCAGTCAGGACTAATGAATGATCTTTTGCAGTTTTGGTTTAATTTTGGAGATGATATAATATCAGAAGAAGCGGACCATAGTAAGAGGCTACTGTCAATGTACAGTGGTGTGTTCAGAAAACTAGTTGAAGTTTTGTTGCGTAAGATAATGTACCCGTCTGACGATGCCTGGCAATCCTGGAGCGACGATCAGAGATCAGAGTTTGAGAATTACCGAAAAGAGGTTTGTTCAGTGTCATTCACTGTCTTAAACGCCGTTCAATTGTTTTATTTCCGGCAAAATATTTGTGAAAGTTTCAAATCAAATCAAATTAAATTATAACGTCAAAAAGATCTAAAATTTCCATAATGAATCTGTAATATCGTTACTTCGGTATGAGTCCTGAGCGGTTTATCATTAGTAGATAATTGTGCAATGGGCTGGAGTGCAAGCGTGCTGCTGTTTCTGAGGAAAACGCTTCACGCGCTTAAAAGTGCGGTCATTGGAATTTACTGTCAACGTCAGCCGCGATGTACAAATGTTTATAAACTCCGCGCAATAAAACGCGCATTATACGCGCGTTTTTATTGGCTTGATGTTCAAATGACATGATTCCAATACCTGACATGCATTGAATGAACAAGCAAAACATGCTTTGCTTGGTGAGTTTTTGGCAGATCCAACTTGTTAACAATAATTTGTTTTTGGCCTGTTTATATTACATACAGACATACCGTAATATCAAACGAGTTGTTATCTAAGGACTAAGTCCCCCTGAAGTATGAACGGAATGCAGCCCTTAGGCAGTAAGAACCATATTTAATACTAAATAAGTAATTGGTATACTTATGAGCCTTACTTCAGGCAGCGGCTTTTCGAATATTTTTAGATGAACAAAATCCGAGAAGTTGCCACAATTCACATCCTAGTTCGGATAACCAAACCCTCTTTTCAGGTTGGAGATACAATACTGTACATCCAGTCGTTTGTTCCCGACTGTATGACCGTCTTGATACAGGAGTATTTAGCTTGTCAGTCGCGCAATACCAGCTGGCAGAAGATCGAGGCCACTCTTTTCATGTTCAGGAGTGTCGCAGAAACGGTGAGATTTTGTCTTTTTTTATTTGAGGAAATAGATATAATTTATCAACCTGTCACATCGTTTTCTCCAATGATATTATTTGGTGTTCATAAATGTCGCTTCTCTGCATCATGCATGAAATTAAAATGTTGTTATGTTTACGTGCATACTTGTGGTTTTAACTGTGTTTTTGTGATAAATTGTGTTTTTGTAATAACATATAAGTTGAAACTATACACAACTATACAACACTATACCACCCCAGGTATATGACGAGACTACAAGTGAAGGCAACACAACAGGACAGATTATATCCACAGTGATTGAGTCCCTACCCTCCCTACCTTCCCACCCCAAGATATCGCGCACTGCACTGCTCCTTTGTGGCGCGTACAGTGAGTGGCTGCGCAACCATCCTGAGAGACTGTTCCCCGCCGTTAAAGTTCTCCTGTCTAATGTCAATGATGTGAGTTGCCTTCGGTTACAAATACGACAAGTAAAATGATTGTACTGCTACTAATGAATCTGTCGAATAATGGCTGTAAAAGCTCTTATATCTACAAAGAACCATTTAAAATTTGTCCCCTCAACCCCCCCCCCCCCCCACCCCTAAACTGTGCCCCCTCTCCCTCAGGTAGCACTCGCTCCTTCAGCTGTAATGGCGTTTAGAGACCTCTGTATCGAGTGCACGGATATCCTTGCTCCTGAAATGGAACTCCTTGTAGAACCTTTCTTCAGCGTTTACCAAAACCCCACCATTAAAAACAGAGAGAAGGTAACAGATGTCAGCAATATTTTGTGACTATTTACTCGTAAACAATATGAAACAGTATGAAACTAAGACTGATTTTGGCTCACGAATATGATATAGGGGGGATTTCATGTCTTAACTACCAATTCCCATTAATAACCCCTCCTGTTTGTAGATCAGACTGTGCTGGTCACTCTGCACTCTCTGTTCACAAGTGCCACAAGACAAGCTGGCTAAATACCTCAGTACTTTACTGTCACCAAGTTGCACCAAGATAAAAGAGCTCTCCTTAAAACCGACCGTAAGTTTTAACAAAATGATTTTCTTTAATTTATAATAAAAAACTTTCAATTATCATCGTCGCATATAACCTCATAACCAATGCTACATCTTAAGTTGTAGAACCACAAAAACTCGCCTTTTTACTGTGTATAAAGTAATAGTTTCCAATGAGTCACTTTATAACAATAATTAATAATAACGGCAGGCAGCAAAGGAAGACCAGACGTTAGTAAAGCTGGAGCTGGGGATGATAAACTCAGCCTTTCACGGCGTGTCAGTACCCCACACGTCAGCAGAGCCGTTACTGGAGCTACTCAAGGAAGTGTGGGATCCTCTCAAGGCTATCCTCGTCTTGTGGTATGTTGGAATGTTCCAATTTACTGGGTACTAACCTCATTTGGTACCCTAATTTAACAAAATGAGAATAGTAGTTAGTAGCTGGTTTTCAAGTACCTAATGTCACTATCTTCACTTCACTATCTCAGGTCTACAGATGAGGTGATAATAGATGAGCTGACAAAGTGTTACTGGCACGCAATCAACACCCTGGGACCTCTGTTCGACCCCTACATTGAACCTCTAGTGGACATGTTGTGCCAGTGCTATGAGAAACATCAGTACGCCTGCTTGCTCGAGAGTTGCGCGCAAGTACGTCATCGGTATTCCTCCAACTGTGTTGTTGATGATATGTTGCCTGTTGGACTTGGTATCGTCTCCTCGATGCGATCGCCATACTACTGAAGCTATGTCATTTCTCCTGATGTTTTTTGTTGAAACTTGGCAAATCAATACAATAACAATAGTATTAGATTTACGAAATCTTCAACTAATTACATATATTTCAGGGTCTGTTGAACATTTACAGCTCTGAAAAGCCGGATCTGATAGCAGGAATGTTGCAGCGACTGAGTAATACCACATTCCTCCTGTTTAGCAGAGCTATGTCAGATCACCCCGATATTGTACAAGCTTTCTTCTCGCTTCACTTGTGTGCCCTCAGGGCTCAACCTCAGGTAACTCAAATGCGTACCCTCAGAGCTGTTGTGTTTACTGAGTTAAATAAAGAAACTCTGCACTGAGTAACTTGAGTGATCAGCTCTTCAAATATAAAATTATTAAAATGTTTGCAGATAGTTTATCGAAGAGAGAGCAATTGTAAAGCAGTTCTCAGGGCAGCTATGACTGCTATAACGATGCAGGAATACCATACTGTCAAAGAGGTTTGCGCTTGTTTACTTTACCAGTATTGTTCACTACGTTCTTTATGATAGAACTTATTTCTATAAATATTCTTGATCTACGATACCCTATAAAATTCCACTGTTATGTTACCGAGAATCACAAGTGAACTAAAGATGATGGTTCAGGTCAGTAGATGGTTAGTGGAGTTTATAGGACACTACCCCTCCTCAAACACGGTGGAAGAGGCGATTGCCTCACAGTTTACATTCCTTATAACAGAGCTGCTTCGTGGAATTGGGACCGCGTCCCCCTCCTCAACTGTTGGTAGGTCATCTAACTCTTGGGTTTATATGTTCGTGTCAAGAACTGACGTTTAATTCAAAATGTTCGTCAGAATAACATATATAATTAAATTATAATTAAACGAGTTATATGGGAAGGGATTATAAACGATGTTAATCCGAACATTTACTTCATTACCCCCCTTAATAAACAATCTTTTTCCCTCAGAGTTTTTAGGAGATTTGTTCAATCCTCTCTGTAGAATGTGTCCAGATCAACTACGTGAGACTCTAAAAGCTACTCTAGCTACAGAAAACTTCCCTACAAAACACATTACTCGGGAGTCCAAAGAAACGTTCGTGTCTTCTGTTTTGAAAAGCAGTCATCAGAAGCGTAAACTTAAAGTCGTCATCAAAGAATTCTCGCTAGAATGTAGAGGTTATAATAACAACTCAGTAAGGTAGCAGTAATGGAAACAAATGGTTGTCTGTTATCAGAAATGGAGTCGCAGCTCAAGAAGATGTATAAATGAGTGGTGACGATCAAGTACGGATTTTGTAAATAATCTAATTGTAGCTGTTATTTATTGGAAAATTTGTGAAATATTGGGAGTTCAGTTGTGCAACTAACAATGACTTTAATTAATAACAGTAATAAGCTTATCTTAATAATGAACATCTGATTATCATTAAAGTAATGTGAATCGTGGTTGTTTAATAAGTCTGTCTAGTTATTTAAATTTAATAAGTTTGTCTGGTTATTTAATAAGTCTGCATTTTTTCAAAGTTCTGATAAAAAGGTCAAGCGTGGGTTATAGATTTTGTAGCAAATCCTTGTTTACATTTTAGTTTTAAACAAACAGAAGAAATTTCTTTGTCCTTGACAATTTTTATAAAATATGTGCAATGTCGGCAACTCACAACTAGATCAATGTTGTAGGTTTATAATACAATAATACCTTGGCTGCTTCGGGCCGCTCGTGATAATTCCCGACAGCTTGCTGGAGGGAATTTGCCATGGTATTGTGTATTATAATACCTTCCGGGAATTATATCCACTAAAAGTCTCCGACACTGAGAGCTGATAATTTGCCGATATATCCCGCAAGGGAAGCGAAAGTATTATCAGCATAGACCTCAGACTGGCTGGCGGCAAGCTGTAAAACAAATAACACTGGCGTTCTATATATTAGACACTATATTGTATCATGCGCACGTATCGGATTACACCCCTTCCTAATCGGAACCGGAAAATATTATAATACATAATACCTCCGGTTCTTCGGGCCGCAAATTCCCTCCAGCAAGCTGTCGGGAATTATCAAGCGGAACCCGAAGAGCCGAAGGCATTATTATATTATAAACCCCTCCGGGTTAGAATAAGATTCTGGTAATCCCGGCTCCCGCTAGATAGATTCTGATAATCCCGGCTCCCGCTGTTAGTTTTTTCCCGCTGAATAAATAACCCCGGCACAGCTTCTATAATCCCGCCCCGCTAATTTGGCTCAACAAGATTTGTTTTGTTTTGATATTCCATGAGAATTTCAACCGCGCACTGTCACGTGTTTTGATGACGTGTATCACGTGACTAACTACTACGACGCGCATTTGTAAAAAATTTCACGTGACCTATTGGCTTAGCCTTAACGTAAGAACTATAATTACACTTGATTTACGTATCGGTCTAATTGCAGGCGCTGGCAAAACTCCAGTACACTGCTTACATTACTAATACTTTTACATTAATTGGACCAGTTCCAGAACTTGTCTCGACGGTTACATTTGATTTTGTCCGGTTAATTTTGTCGTGTTTGATAAAAGCCATGTATGATATTAGTCGTCTACTTTGATGAACTTCATCATTACATCATGACACGATATCATTATTAGCTCCACCTTTTATCGCTTGCCAGGCTTAACTCGACGCCCCTTATGAAATTATCGATATTCATATTCATTCAACGTTCTGACTGAGGAATAATGTTTAGATATAACGCCAATTTCAAATGTCATAGTACCTTAGTTGTATTTATTTGGTAGTCCCCAATTCCATTTTATATTTTCCATACTGATCTCAAATAGCTAGAATTAAGAGTAAAATGTCAAATTTGTTGGTCCTAGCACTAACCCGGAGGGGTTTATAACACATAACACCGGCACGCTTAAGTTATATTAAAATAACCCCTCGTGCTAAAGCACGTCGGGGTTATTTTCATAATAATCTCTCGTGCTTCGCACTCAAAATTATTATAAATTTTTCCCGCGCGTCGCGGGAAAAATTGAAATATAATCCCTGCGCATCCCGGGGTTATGTGTGTTATAATACGTTCCGGTTCCGATTGGAATGGGTGTAATGTGATACGTGCGCATGATACAATATAGTGTCTAATATATAGAACGCCAGTGTTATTTGTTTTGAAACTTGCCGCCAGCCAGTCTGAGTCTATGCTGATAATACCAAATACCTTCGCTTCCCTTGCGGGAAAAATGTGCAAATTATCAGCTCTCGGTGTCCCCGAGTTTTAGTGGATATAATTCCCGGAAGGTATTTTAATCTACCAAGACGCGCTCCGAGTTGTACTCGTCGACAGTATATTTGGGACAAATATTTAACAATTATCACCCTTTATCAATGTTATACCAGATGTTTAGTTATAATTATATCAGATATAATCATTAATCGGAGATTGGGCAGATCGTCCTTAAAAATAAAGGAACTAGTCTGTAGCTCATTGTTATGTGGGGGGGGGGGGTGTGGGCCAATGGCATAAAATAGAGAATTACTCATAGGTTTTTCCATTTTCTCCATAGAAATAGTCTCCATTTTATGCCATTTTATGCCATTGAAAACCTGAAAAATTTGGAATGTCGAGAAAAATAGTTTTGATTTTCATGTTTCAGTCCCAGCAAACCCTACCGGCTGGGGTCTATCAGCTATCTCCAAAAGTAAAATATATAGAACCTTCCGGTTAACCGGAATTTTCATGTTTCAACAAGATTTCCGTCTCGTACGCGTAAATTTATTAAAGTTCGCTCCCCAGCGCCAGGAGCAAAATTTGGGACAACTTAAATTCTGAATTAAACCGAAAAGTTTGATTTTTGTCTAAATAAAAGATCGTAGCCTTTTAACTTTGCAAAGTAATGTGGTTGTCATACAGCAGGTGGTAAGGTTTTCTGGGGTCTTAATTTCAAAGAAAAAAGGATTTTACCTTATAGTATTATGATTTTACATCTCAATTTTTCAACCAATTTTAACGAACAATGTACATTGTACTTAAACAAACTAAAAAATAATTAAATACTACGGTCGCAGTATACATGATACAGTATATGAAAATATTACATTTACAATATTTCAATTTATATAATATATAAATAAATTTTAAATAAAACATCTTAAATACTTATCTGAACAAGTAGCTTGTAGGTTTACAACCTACCAGGACGCGCGCCGAGAACAGATATTTTACGAGTATCACCCGTTAACAAGTAGCTAGATATGGGGCAATCTTTGGAATGTAAAGTAGTGTTTTCTGCGCACTGCAACGTATGGTTATATTGACCATTGTTAATGATCTGGCCCGGCGCGCGCTACTTCGAAGAAATTTAGACGAGTAACATCCGTCAAATGGTTATAGCGGAAGTGTGCGAGCATGTAAATAGTGGGCCCCATTGCGTTACTACAGAATTATTGAACAAACCTATAAATATCGCTTTATGTAGACGATCTTTAATTGTCTGTATAAAGTATTGTCTATCCAGAGCCCTGACCTTGCGCTTGTAGTGGCGCGCGCCCGCCTCCCGGGCGCGTTTTACTTGTGTTTACTTGTGAATTAAGCTCGCCCGCGCGCAGTGGCAGCAGTTGCGCGCGGTGTGCGTTGCGAAGTAAAGACGAGCATAAAACTACTGCTAACTGCTACTAACTGATGGCAAGTGCTACGAAGTAGCGCACGCGCCGGGCCAGACCATTAACAATGGTCAACTAACTGCTGCTAACGGCGAGCGACAGCAGCAGTCAGCAGCAGGTTCTTTGCGATATGGTCCTTCTGTGAAATGGGCACACAAATAATTATTTGTCATACGTTGTATGACCCGCCGCGCACGAGTGCGCGGCTCCCCCTGTATCGTCGAAACTCTACTATAGTGAAGCGACAGTGGGGGTCACCACGTGATACAAGTAATTATATTACTCGTGTGCCTATTTGCGTAAGTACATTCTTTTTTCAGTTATCAGTTATGGGAATATATCATATCAATATCGGAGGACTTCGCCGCGCCGCGCGAACTAGCATTCTTGCTTCGTCGCGAACTAGCATTTTTGCTTCGTCGATCGTTGCTCTGCGAAGCAAAGCAACGATCTCGATGGGTTGCAGACATCGTCAATCAAGGAAATATAATATATGTTTGGGGGCTTTTATTATGTACTAATTTGCTTGCCCGAAAATTGCGCTGGCTTGCGCTAGTTATTGCAAATTTATATTTTGCTCTGGCCAGCGTTTAATTGCGTTAGCCAGTAACAACTAGCGCTAAATGGCGACAACTACAAACTAGCGCTAGTTGTCGCCATCGATCTAGCGCTAGTTGTCGCGTTTAAACTATCGCAAAAGAATATTATACGGTCATATCACGTGATCGATACAGTTTTTCGCTTGCGCTAACCAGAGCCCTCTCGCTTGCGTCACAAAGTACGCGTATACACATGGCTATGAGAAACCATATCACATATGTCATGGGGGGGGGGGGGGTGATTCGGAATCAGCGTCCGAAAATACATCGATGGAAGTTGGTTACAACCATCGGGGGCCCTTTTACATTTTAAAATAATTTTGAAGATCGACTGTAGAGTGATCATGTTATATGGTTGATTCACGATGTCAATCCTTTCCAGCTCGGCGATCGGCCCAGTGGTACGGTGCATTTCGCCGATCTGGTTGCGAGAAGATGCGCGGCGTGGCCCAGTAGTGCATAGCGCTACAAGTTATATGGCAATACATACATTGTAATATGGCAATACAATTTATATTTTGTTTTACATAAATTTAGTTTTACTTGATACATGTTTGACAAAGCAACTTTTAATGATTATTAATGGAATTATCGGATATTTATAATTCAATATGTATTGATTCTTCTGTGGAAAATTAAAAAAATTGTTTCGGCGGCGCGCGCTTTGCGCGCGAAAAGTGGCATGCAACGTATGTCAAAGTTTTACTTATACGTTATGATAAAGTCTCAATAACCTGTGGGCTACAATTACAAGTTTATTAATGGGTCTATAACCTGTTTTCGTATATTAAAGTAAAAATGCGGTCGAAACTAGAATTTTTCGACCTCATTCAAATATTAAATCTAACAGTAAATAAAAGCATTCGACATAAAAACGATCACTTCTTAAATATTATAATGAGCGTGACAGGAGTTAGTCTCAATCTCACCTCCCAAAACTCATATTTAAAGTTGACGATATATTATGATTTAATAGTAAATTTTTCAAAGCTGGCTTTGGACTTAGGCAAATTATAACTTATTTATTTTAAAGAAAAAACCACGGATAGTTTTAAATTTACATAGTAGTATAACTATAATAAAGTTAATCCTGTTTTCAAGAATGCGCGGCTTTGGCGGCCAGTTATTGACTTGTACATAAAATTGAATTTTAAATAGAAATGTGAATGTATTAAAATTTAAAACTTTCAAAACGGAGGCTTATAAATATTATTATATTATGATTGTAAAATAAAGGATAAAATTTTAAATTTGTTTCACTAAAAAAAAATTTGTTTCACTCATGTCCTTTTAGTACATACTACATATGATCGTCGACTATTCATGAATACAGGTTAGACAGAAACAATTTGAAGGGCTAGTCCGAAGAAGCAGTAAAACAAGTAATGAACAAAACCTTGATAGTTAGCCTTATTTTACCCTCCATCAAAAGACAGAAAGAAGAGGAGTATACCATGGACCCAAAGTATCTATATAATATATAACAGGGCAAAGGATAGTTTAAAGGACGTTATTGTTCAAACATAATTCAAAAATTAGAAATGATCTGTAAGCCTCACTTTACCCTCCATTAAAAGGAAAAAAGGGGTCGGCTGGGCCGGCCTTCCACCTAGAGTATCCATCTTAGGTTTTTTAGGTCTGAGGATACTTTGATAGACGTTATTATTCAAATATAATTCAAAAATTAGAAATTACTTGTCAGCTTCATTTTTCCCTCAATTAGCGAAACAACTTCCCTCTTCTTTTATCCTCAATTTGCCCTTGAATAAATGCTTCAAAAATTTTATTAATCGAAACTCAATTAGTTGAACTATAGACATGTGAAATATCATATACCTATCTTAAAAGTTCTTCCTGTGACAATCTTCTAAAGTTAAATTGGGAAAAACGTGGTCCATCTCGTGCAAACTTTCCTAATGACCAGGGTATATTACTATTAGCTATTTTAGATTTAATAATAATAACAATAAGTCTAGTAGTAAAGTGTACTATATAATATCAGTTTCAGGTACAAGCTGAAATGTTCAACTAGTTAAATCATTGATATGATCATTAATATAAAACAAAGTTCCTCAAAATACGTACCGTTTTGAACTGAAACCGACTTTACAATGCGCTATTTAGGTTTGTAGTAGGGCACTTTCAAAAACATCTGTCACAGAAAAATGTTAAAATTTGCCAAAAATCAGTTTTTTTGGCATAATTTGGTGGATAAATTTTGGAACACACGAAACTCCAGGATATGGTGTGCAATACCCTAACCTTTACTATCTGCCACTTTTTGTTTCTATTTTGGGCTAAATCTTACTAACAGTGAAACAGACCAATCCACTTAAGGTGGCCTTTAAAAATATTGAATTCCATCTAAACTCCCAAAGTATGATTGAGACTGAACAATAATCGTTATAACTTCAAAATTTCATAAGAAAGGCTGCGGTCAAATTTGGTGGATATATTTTTTGCCTCTTTTTAAAGACTGTTATTTGTTAGATAACATCAATTTACTGGTCTTAAAATGATGCAATGTTAAATCTATGGCATCAACTATAAAGTTCGAGATTCAAGTTAAAAGGCTATTTTTGGTGGATATCAGTCTATATGAATTAGTTAAACACATAAATACTACTAAAATATCAATAATTAAGCCATCATTATGATTAGAAGCAGTTGAAAAAGATAAAATATAGGATGTTGAACATTTATGCATAAGGTACTATGCCATTTTAATTGCATTCAGGGCCAATTTGGTGGATAATTAACTCAAAAATACTTAAAATATCGACCAGGATATTTTAATATCCATCAATTTTGGCCTTAAAAGTCGGCTTGAGCTTATCAAATTTTGTGCTGAACAAGAAAAATGTCTGAACAAACCAATATCAGTGTATGATTTCATAATTGAGAGAATCTAAGGTCAGAAATCTAAGGCCTCAATCACTAAGGCAGGTTATTCACATTTAATATCCACCAATTTTAACCTGAAAAGTCGGCTTGGACTGAGAATTCTTTTGAACTGACACAGCAAAATGGGATCTTCTATCTAGAAACAGTCGTAGTTATATTACGACTATATAAACTTGAACGATTTCCAACCTGATCCGTTAACTGAGTAAAGCTGTTTTCAGTTGAAAATTTTCGGTATTGAATTTTATTTCATAGTTTTATTATCCACCATATATAGCCTTAAATTTGAAATATCTTTCCTTATTTTTGCCTTTTATCATAGAGGCAAATCAATTTGCTACAATTCTATCTTCAAATAATCACCATAAATTAACCACACGTAAAGTTACAGGCCAATCAATGATATATCCACCAAACTCTTCTGAAAAGTATATCCACCATTATTAGCCCGGAGTTAAATGCATTTATCTCTGCTCATAGACATAGTAGACATTTTCTTTTTGTAAAAGTTGTACAATCGCAAACCTGTAGATGTCCCACAGTTTGATCAAAATATTGAGTATATCCACCAGATGAGAGCCTCTAGAAGACGAAATTTTCCCGTGACAGATTCGTTAGCATAGTTTTTGAAAGTGCCCAGTAGTGAAAATAGTTTCACAGAGCTCTTAAGCTATATTTTGATGAAAAAATAAACAACCAAAATTGTCTTTCTTTCAATTATTATATTGTGTTACGGTAGTTACTAACTTTCTTTGTTATTCAGTGAAACAAAATGTTAAAATTCTACTCGGCTTCTCGTCCAACTTTTTAATTTAAGTATTTTGTTTAGTCGAAGAAATAAAACGACAAAATTCAATGCATAATCACTGTAACGAATACCAGTAATCGGGAAGAAAATATCCTCAAAAATTGATCACAAATCTCATTGCTGCACGATAATAGCTAACAATCGACAAGGATACTTCTACAGTTCTGAAAAGAGGAAAGCGGCCAAATAAAAAAGAAGTGGATGCCGACAAACAACTGATCGGATGAAAAGTCAATGCTGTCTTTTTTAAAAAGGTCCCACAGTAGTCTACATTTATCTTGTCTCATGTCACGATCCTCATTTCATGTATCGTGGCAAAGCCACGATATGGCAGGGCCCACAGCGTGGGGCAATATTTATCTTGATTACCATCCTGAGTCTTCGTTTTCCTCACGACTCTTCACAAGGTTTCTCTGGCCTCCTTCTTCTGCAAAATTATTATTCGTGATGGATCAAAGCAATACTGAACTGGGTTAGATGAAAATTATAGTGTGCACTCCAAATAATACCATGTGGTATATTTTGAAACATTTTAGAATTGCGTTCAATGAGGATACAGGAATTTAAAACACGTTTAATGCTAGGTTTAAGTATCTAAGATGTCAGATTCTGTAGGTTTTATAGCACTTGAAATGAGCAGGCAGACTGTTCGTTTCATGGTACATATATTATAGTCGCAGAAAGAACAATCATCGAGGGTTGGTTTTGTTCTTTCAATTGAGCCTATACTATAAAATGATTCGTCTGCCCACTTATTTCGAGTGTTATACTTCTCTGGGGAACCAAGCAACAACTAGTTATAAAATCAGTATTTTAATTTATATGAATTATGACTTATGTATTATGTATTGAGCTTCTGTATAAAAGCAACAACCATGAACTTTTACCTCAAGTTAAATTGAGGTCACGTTAACAAGTTTGGTGGGGTTGTGTTTCGGCCAAAGTACCTTCATTTCTATTATTAATTTACCTTCTTCGTTTAAAGCTATCTCATCTTGCATCTTGTAAATATGTTTAATATCGTTTCCGGCTGAAAAATAAAGTGTCAAAATTTACCAAGCAAAGACAGGAACAAAAATCCCAGGCTCGTTATATTTCGATTGGAAGGGAGATTCAGTGTCTTCTACTGATTTTTAATTAAGTGTTAGGATAAATTGAAAGGGTAAATGAATGTGAGACTTACGGAACTGTTCTTCCGTGTCTGACATAATCACAGTAGAACTCACTGCAAACAAATATGATTTTAAATTTAGAAGTCAATGTTTAAACTAAATTATGACGATATTGATTTTAATGTAGCATAATGAGTTTAAAAGTTTAAAGGTTTAATCCAAGAATTTGTTTGAACTATGTCAGTTAAACCCTACAGAGTATCGACGAAAAATGTTCTTACCAAAAGCAATGGCCAACAGTAACGTCCTGAAAACACATATATAAATTTGTGAAGGGTATGGTCTAATATTTGTCTTTAGAAAGTTGAAGCACAATTAATAAAGAGACAAAATTTTTGAGACATTGGGTCGTGGCCACTTAATTCGAAAAATGAAAAGTAAGAGAAAAAAATGTAGACATCTAACTTACACGGCGATGGTGAAGCTGGATCTCATTGGTAAAGTGTTTGTAGAACCACTGGAACCGTAAACTCAATAGTCTTTGATCTAGATAAAGGGAACACTGGTGCTTTGAAGCTTGCACTACTCTTTTATACCCAAATGTTTACTCCCTTCGCAGATAGCACTCATTTTAGTTGACGATTGCTTGAGTGATTTTTAACGATGTGTGTTCTTTAGACAATGGGATTGCTCGGGGCATAGAATATCTATGCTCTGCAGCAATCCCATTGTCTATTATTAGAACTGCTCCATCGACAAGTTTTGATAAGATCTATTCATGAGCTGCGTTGCTTGGGGGTCAGCCGTAATTAAAAATTCGTACTGGGGATCAAGGACAATAGAAACCGGAAGATTGTTGTTGAAGATTTTTGCTGTGGTGATAGTTTTAATTGATTTCTGCCAACAAACATGACTCTTCTCTCTTTTCTCCCGAGCAGTGAGCTCAGGCATCCAAATTATTTTTGGGTTTGGTCTATAATGATTTGTCCGCGGCAGAAAGATTTTGCTGAGCACGAGAGACAATTATGTAATGGAATTCGTGACAGCTGTATAAGATTGACACATTTTGATAGTACCGCGACAATTGACCCCCCGACAATTGACCCCCCGACAATTGACCCCCTATGTAATTACACTGGGGTCAATTGTCGCGAAATCTAGGGTTTAGTACGACAATTGACCCCCCGACATGACAATTGACCCCCCGACAATTAACCCCCCCTACAATTGACCCCCCGACAATTGACCTCCTATGTAATTACACTGGGGTCAATTGTCGCGAAATCTAGGGCTTAGAACGACAATTGACCCCCCGACAATTGACCCCCGACAATTGTAATTAAACTGGGGTAAATTAATCGGGTCAGGGTCAGGGTCAGGGTCAGGGTCAGGGTCAGGGTCAGGGTCAGGGTCAGGGTCAGGGTCAGGGTCAGGGTCAGGGTCAGGGTCAGGGTCAGGGTCAGGGTCAGGGTCAGGGTCAGGGTCAGGGTCAGGGTCAGGGTCAGGGTCAGGGTCAGGGTCAGGGTCAGGGTCAGGGTCAGGGTCAGGGTCAGGGTCAGGGTCAGGGTCAGGGTCAGGGTCAGGGTCAGGGTCAGGGTCAGGGTCAGGGTCAGGGTCAGGGTCAGGGTCAGGGTCAGGGTCAGGGTCAGGGTCAGGGTCAGGGTCAGGGTCAGGGTCAGGGTCAGGGTCAGGGTCAGGGTCAGGGTCAGGGTCAGGGTCAGGGTCAGGGTCAGGGTCAGGGTCAGGGTCAGGGTCAGGGTCAGGGTCAGGGTCAGGGTCAGGGTCAGGGTCAGGGTCAGGGTCAGGGTCAGGGTCAGGGTCAGGGTCAGGGTTAATTGTATTAAATTGTATTGTCGGGGGGTTAATTGTCGGGGGGTCAATTGTCGGGGGTTAATTGTCGGGGGGGTCAATTGTCGGGGGGTCAATTGTCGGGGGGTCAATTGTCGCCCACCCATTTTGATATCGATATGACCAGCTCCGAGAACGTTCACATGACAACAAAAAATGTCAGTGCGATTCGGTCGGTACTGCCACACGTGACCTTTGCTACATTCCCAAGATTCTTGTTTAATGTTAAAACACAGCTGAACAGCAGCTCAGACTGATTTATAAATTTTGCAGTTTATATCTATATATAATAATAAGTTTTATATCCTGCTGGTAGTGTTAGGTTACAGACCAGTCGCCAGAAGGGCAGGGACCGGAACTGCCCATTGTCATGACAATATTTGACAAGATTAGACAAGATTCTAGACAATATACGACAAGATTAGACAAGATTAGACAATATTTGACAAGATTAGACAAGATTCTAGACAATATTAGACAATATACGACAAAATTTGATCACAATATATCACAATATACCACAATATCTGACAATATCTGACAATATCTGACAATATACGATAAGATTTGACAATATATGACAACATACGACACTATATGACAATATATGACAAGATAGGACAAGATATAATATTTGTGTGAAAAGGATCAGAGCTAATTGTTTATGACAAAATACAGATTACAGAATACTGATGGATTTGCAGTGTTAATATTGTTTTTAAAAAGATGACAGATTCTTCATCTATTTCCAATGTTGCTCATCTTTGCAGTAGAGTGTGTCGTGTTTGAGTTTTTACACAGTGTGATTTACATTTTACAGTAACACTCATGTTCTTGGAGATATTTGATAATATTGAAGTAAATACGTACAATATGGCATGCATTATCTGTGATAATTTAAGAATATTTCTTGAAAAACTTTGATCTTATAACGCCTGTTTACATTGTCCCGAGTGCTTGTAACATCGTCACGATCACGTGGTTTTGTCAAGCATTGCTCGTGCGTTAATCAAATGATGTGCTCTTTTCCAACTTATCACGTGACTATTGAATGCTTGCTGACTACGATTTCTGATTTGAATCTGTGACTTTGTCTCGTAATGTGCTGTGGTCATTTGTCAACTCTTGCATTTGTCTAATTTTTTGAAACGTTTGATGAATTTGTCTGTATCAGCTGATTTGATCTAATTAATTCAATATTCCTAGCACGTATAAGATGTAACATTGTCAAAGACTGATGCAGTATGGATAACAATGGAAGTGTAAACACATCAACATGTGTTGATGATGAAAACTTAGAGCAAAAGCCTGGGCTTTGTAATTGCTTTCTGGGCTGTGTTTTCTTGTCAAAGTCCCAAACAAACATTACCAGCGGTGAGAAGAAGTTCAAGTCACAACTTAAAGAACTAACTGTTTACATTTTGTTCCTCATAACATTATCAGTTGTAATCTACGGGACAGTCACTCCTTATCAGTTTTATTACACCAAGTCAGTAGAGAACCTTTTCATAGACGGGAACAACATCCAAACAACCTGGCAGGATGTAGAAACCTGGGACAGTTTGTGGAGATATCTCCAAAACACTCTCCTAGACGGCATCCACGACAACAAGATCAACGACAAAGGGATTTACATTTACAACGAGAACAAGCTGCTGTCCTTGCCTCGTATCCGGCAGTTGAAGATAGGCAATGATTCGTGCGAGATACCGCCAGTGTTCAGCAATGTGTTGTTCAACTGTTACAGTGACTATACAGTTGACGAGGAAGACAAGGCTACTTTGGAGTTTGTGAGTTACTACGCTGACCAGAGCAGTGACAGTAAGATATACAACGAAAAGCTGAACACCAGACCTTACTCCGGACAACTTGCTAGATACGGACACGGTGGTTTCCAGCAGCTGCTATCCACTGATAAGAACATTTCCAGCTTTATTCTCCACGATCTAAAGTTCAATGGTTGGATAGACAGGGGAACCAGGGCAGTGTTCATTGACTTCACTCTGTACAATGCTAACATTAACATGTTTTGTATTGTGAAGCTAGTTGCAGAGTTCCTACCCACGGGCGGGATTGCAACATCTCATGAGATCCTCGTCCAGAAGCTTCTTCGTTATGTTAGCACAAAGGACAATGTCCTCTTTGGGTTTGAAGTGGCTCTTATTGTTTTTGTGGTGTATTACATCGTGGTGGAGTCTGTTGAACTCATGGTCTTTAAAATGAACTATTTCGTGCAGTATTGGAACATGCTAGACAACATTATCATCATCAAGATACTGGGTTGCGCTGCTATAAGTCTCTATAGGAGTGTCACAATCAACGACCTCGTCACTAAATCAGGAACTGAAATGGACACTTTCACCAGTTTTGAAACCATTGCTTACTACGAGAGTATCTACAACGATCTGGCTGCCCTCTGTCTCTTCTTCTCATGGATAAAGATATTCAAGTATCTGAAATTCAACAAAACCATGAGACATTTCTCAACGACTCTTTCAAGGTGCTCAAAAGACATCCTCAGCTTTGCCGTCATGTTTTTCATCATCTTCTTCGCATTTGCACAGCTAGGCCTGCTTCTCTTCGGTACAATTCTCCGAGACTTTGCCACATTCCACGACAGTACATACACCCTGTTCAGGATCATTCTAGGAGACTTCGACTTTCTGGCTCTAGAGCAAGCCAGCACTCTGCTGGGGCCTGTTTTCTTCATCACCTATATCTTTTGTGTCTTCTTCATTCTACTTAACATGTTCCTTGCTATCATTAACGACACCTACTCGGAGGTCAAATCTGAGATGAGCTCAGAAAACAGGCCTGAATTGGAGTTTGGAGATTACATAAAGAAAACGTTGAGAGGATTGTTTAGTATCTGTGGTAAGAAGGGAGAGGAGGAAGAGGAGGGGGAGGAGGAGAGGAGCGAGGATATGAAGGAGTCACTGCCCCAAATCAAAGTCCAGCCTGATGGGTTACCTAGTGACGATGAAGATAGTGCGGATAGTCTGTTTGATGACGAGGAGAAGCCTCCGCGCATGCTGCGTACTCAGGAGACTAACGCCTCCTTCCCACAGTGGGACATCCAGTCTAACATGGGAGATCACTTCGGCCCTAGAGTGGCCTACAAGGGCCCCAGTTATGAGGAGTTCAAGATTCTGTGCAGGCGAGTTGACAGGAATGACGATGCTATGGGCAGTGTTATCTCTAAGATAGACGCAGTTCTAGGAAAACTAGAGTTGCTGGAGAAGTCGTATAATAAAGGGGTGTACCCTGTTATAGAGCAAATACCATTCCCAGAGGGACTAGAGGACGAACAAACTATTCACATTCCAGATGAAACAGATTTGAGGGGAGACTGGACCTAATTCCTCATGTAAATATTTGATGTACATTTTTAACGAAATTTTAAGTTTTTATTTAAGACACTGGTCACGCTAAATTACTCCTTGAAACTCTACGTTGAAACTGTGAAAATTATTTATTATGCTCGATAATCTGAACGCCTAAAATTTACTTTAAATATTAGGTTATGGAACTGTGTTAAAATTTAGATAAAATTTACAAAGTTTGAACTGTTACTGAAGTGTTACTGACAAAATATCTGACCTTGTAGTAGTTTGTATTTAGTTTGAACGTTATAGCTGTGATTTATTGTGAATGTATGAGTTAAGAAGAAGTGCAGACAAAAGCGCAGACCTCACGACCATTTAACAGATATTTGATTTCTCAGAGCTCCACACTTTTGTGAATGAAGTGAGCACTTTGCATGATCTTCCAGAAGTAATTGCTGTCTGAGAACACGTCACGTGTTACTCTTAACTCCTCTCAGTGGCTTAGCTTGTAGATAATTGTAGATAGTTTATTGTAATTTTCCCGCAGTTTTAAAATATATCAGTAACAATGTACTTTATAGTTCTACAGTTGTTTTTAAAGGCAGGTTGTGGGAATTAGCTGATTGATATAATGGAGTCGCTTAGTCTGAGTTGAAGACTGCGTTTGAGACTGAACACTGCATCTTATAGTGCTTGTTTAATTACACAAGTTTACTTGCTCTTCAGTATTGTCGGAATGCTACAATCACTGGAAAAGTATTCAGTTTAATTTATGTTATATTGCAATATGGTCGAACTTAATGTGTCATTTTTTGAATATCTCAACATTTTTATTGAATCATAGCACTGTGTCTAATTGATAACTCGGGATTGCTAATAACTATAATTAATAATAATAATTGGAATAATAGTAACTCGGGAAAACTTATAAATCAAACATTGGAATGTCAATGCTAGGATCAATATTTATGATGAGTTCAAAAGTATCTTGAAGATGTAATTCTCAACTTTCAGAACCCAGCTTTGCAAATAACTAGTACCCCGAGTAATATGGTAATGGTGTGATGATGGTGTGGTTTTGTAGTGGATGATGAGTGTGTGAGCTCACAATACGTCAGAAGAAACGTCACAGAACCCCGGTCTAGTGAAACAGACGTACTGTGTCACTAATTATCTGATCTAATAGAATATCTCCTGATCTCGTATCTCGTATCTTGAGAACTAATATTCACATGAGACATGTGGTATTAAAGATCCGCTAATCTATCTGTATTACTACTAGGGGGGTTTCTTCAGTGTCTCAATATAAACCATGTGTGCTATCTGCAGCAGTTATCAGCGTATAAACCTTGAGAAGGATCTGTCACGTGACCTGGTGAAATATGAAGCTATGCGTCACGTGACCAGTGACGACCCAAATACCAGCTATTGGAGTGATTCTCTTATCTCTGAGCTGGATGCCAGGGTACTATACGGGCTGGACCCTAATTAACTGCTCATTTGCTTCTCTCTTGTTACTGATTTGCTGCTCGCTTGACCCGATATATTGACTATTAGTGACCACTAGTGACCACTAGTGACTATTAGTGACTCATCATGAACCACAAGCCCTCTGTTCGGAGTCTGTTCAGTGCACACCGAGCTGCTTCAGTCAGCACCGCCGCTAAACGTACCTCCTCCATCAGTAACGCCATCCGCACTGCTTCTGTGGGCGGTGCATTTGTGGGTAATAGCACGTTCCATGTAGCTCTGACTAACAGTAACGATACTCCCACTGAAACAGCCAACCAGAACATTCGACCCTCTGACAACAGTAATGAGAATGCTAATGCTGTGAAGAAAACACCGCTTTTCAGTAGAAGGAGCCCATTCTTGAGCAGGAAGAGCAAGGATCACAATGCTAACATGGATACAGCTCCTGCAAGGTCTCCTCTAGCTAAGGAGACGTCTAGTGATGTTGAGGAGATGGGTTTTGCAAGCGAGTGTGAGAGTGACGTCACGGAGAGCCCTAGTCCTAAGGATGAGGCTAAGTCGGAGGATCGGCTCACTATGTCTGAACTTTTCACTGTTTACTCCCGGATTACTCGTCGCAGGGTTAGTTTCACTTTCTCTTTCGCTTTCAACTTCATATTAACCTGCAGTTAACGAAGCAGCTGGTCGTATTTCGCTAGATAAGATCTCCTCCCCCATGTTTTGCCAGAACTGTTATAACAGTTCCACATGTATACTGAGACAGTCGTTTCAGTTTAACTTTTTCCGCTCCTTCACCGCATATTATCCAACCTTTTTTCTTTCAAGCAGATCATAACATTATTTTCTGCTCGCCATATACGCTATGTTTTGCACGTTTACTCCGCATGCATTTTTCCGATACGAAAATAACATGTCTGGTTTAACAGTAAACTTTGTAGTGTACGATCATATATAATATATATAATACTTGAACTCGGTTGTGGCTGAATGAGAAGGAATTCAAGGAATTTACCCAGTCTTGCTTGACATGCAATAAAACACATCTCACCAGATCAACCATTTTAATTGTTTTTATTATAATTTAGACGAATAAAAGAGTACCTGTAAACAAATAATTATCATCCGCACTCGTAAACTTGTTTTGTTTGTTTGTCAGTTGTCATGTTTGTTTGTAACTTGTTCAGTTTCCTTGTAGCTTGCCAAGTGACGCAAATTGAAAACATCATGCTGGTAGAACTTGGCAAGCTGCCAGCTTAACAAGAGTCTGAAAGTTCGGCATTAAGTCATGAACTTAATAATATATAATGCTATCTAATAAACATAACTCACGTGATGCTTGTAATCTAGAGAAAAGTAGGGGTATATACCAGAACATTAAATGTGAGCGCACTGAATAGCACCCTGAAAACAGATATCATAATTACACGATCTTATCTGCGGCTAGTTCGAATTTCACTGGCATGTTAAAAGCCACCATAGGGAAACCCCTGTATACATATTTACTAACGTTGTTCTTAACATGTCCTGTACAATGTAGACAAGGTCTCTTTCTTTTTCTCTAGTTTTCTTCAGTTGTGTGTTCTTAAGTTGTGTGTTCTTTAGTTTTGTGTTCACTAGTTTTGTGTTCACTAGTTTAAGTTCTGTGTTTTTTAGTTGTGTGGTATGTCGCAAATGACCAGCACGGTACGGCTTACTCTATTCAACCTGCAATGTCCTGACAACTTCTCTGAAGAGTTCCCAGACCCAGAGGACTTTCTTTATGATGAGGATTTTCCTGATTCTCCTGATCATGTAGGTCCCCATTTTATTGACGGACTGAGAATGCAGGATTTCTCAATGTTTTCCCTTCGATACTGCTAAATGTACCCTATAACATTATATTGTATGCTATCATGCGCTAGTTATATGTTGTAAATTGTCTGTAAATCAGTAGCGTAACGTTTCCATTGGGCGCACACACTAAAATTTGTTGGTGCCGCTACAAAAAATGTCCCATTGCCCCCACAGCTTTTTGACCTCCCTGGAGCTTTCTTACCCCAAAATTTTTTTGTCGACCGAAAGTTGACTGGGACATTTTGCTGCCAAATCGAACTATGTTTCGTAAGAATACCTAAAACCCGGGAAAAAATGTCTCCCTCTGATGGCCCATTATATTGAGTATTGGTATTTTATAACGGAGTTAGCTGTGTACTGTAGCTGTAGTAGAGTTAAAACATTCCCACGCAACGTTAAGTGGTAAGGGATATGAGATCTGCTAATGTGCTCCCTGCTACTAGAGTAATGTGTGTGATATGAGTGGTGAAATGTGAGGGATCAGGAAGTTTTAGACAGGACACACGAGTCACGTGCGTGTCACGTGGGGCTATTAAACCATTCTATTTTATTCACCCTGACCTATTTGCACTGTTCTTCTCTTTTGTTAAGTTGTACCTTAACCCTCACTTTATCTGTTGTACCAGGATATATCATATATAGGTTGAATTGTATTCCAATTATATTCCAATATCTAACTAATTTGATTTCTATTAAAATACAGGGCCTTCATCGTTGACAGATACTATTCAGATAGGAATTATCTTAGACTTAATTCAACGGTACTTTTGTTATATTACTGATAATTAAACCCCCCATTGTGTACTAAATAGATTAAGAGGTTGTACCATTGCGCCACTCTGTATAAATTACTTGTGCTCTAGTTTTAATATGCTGCGTTGTTGATAATGTCGTGGACTATATTTGAAGAGTATGAGGTGCTCGCCCAGGTAACCAAGTTACTATATTATGTACTATACAATAGATGTGGACAGGTATATCATATATAGGTTGAATTGTATTCCAATTATATTCCAATATCTAACTAATTTGATTTCTATTAAAATACAGGGCCTTCATCGTTGACAGATACTATTCAGATAGGAATTATCTTAGACTTAATTCAACGGTACTTTTGTTATATTACTGATAATTAAACCCACCATTGTGTACTAAATAGATTAAGAGGTTAAGAGGTTGTACCATTGCGCCACTCTGTATAAATTATTTGTGCTCTAGTTTTAATATGCTGCGTTGTTGATAATGTCGTGGACTATATTTGAAGAGTATGAGGTGCTCGCCCAGGTAACCAAGTTACTATATTATGTACTATACAATAGATGTGGATACTGGTGGGGAGGTGAAACACATTTGTTTACTTTAATAGTAAGCACATGTTCAGCGGGTTGAGGAGGTGAAACACATTTGTTTACATTTTTAGGGTAAGCACTTGTTCAGCGGGTTGAAGAGATGATACACATTTTGTATTATAGAAGGCTTGTAACACTTGTTACGCTTTCTTGTTACCCCCCTTTGAAGGCCCCGAATCATTTTCTGAACGAAAGCTCAAAAATAACCGAGAAATCGACCTTCTTATTAACTCATTTTGATGACTGTTTCTGACCTAAAATTGCACGAAAAATCGATTTAGCTAGGTTTCAGAACCTATAAACACTTCCTTATCCCTCAAAATTGATGTTTTATAGTTGATACGAGCAACAAGCAACATATGTTTTGATCCTTCGGTTCTACTCATGACCTAGGCAGTTAAGCTGAACCCGACAGATCGAGGCAATCCTCACCTTAACTGATCAAACTGGTACTAACACAATTTTCAGATATAAATGTTCTTTGCGATACGTTTATTGCAGCTTTGCAACTTGAGTGAAGACCAGAGTACGAAAACACACAGCAGGTAAGCAACTCACTTTTGGTGACTGTTCCTCACGAACATTCTGATCCTGTAACAATTTAGTATACGGCAGCTTAGAAGTGAAACCCACTTATTGTAGTACCAACTATGGTCATACGAGACTAAGGAATAATATACATAAATAAGTTACATAATAAATTACCATATACCCCATATATAACAAACATATGATCAGGGAGATCGTCTCCTTAACAAATCGAACAGGTACTATCACAATTTCCAGAGCAGGTACTATTACAATTTCCAGAGCGTAATTTTCACAATTTCCAGAGCATAACAAAGTCAAAAGAAACACAACGAAGGTATGTTACCAACACCACAATATAACAATTATACTAACATCTGAATTAAATTTATTCTGACGACGGGCAGCCCTGATGTGCTCCGTCATCCTCAACGAGCGACCACTTGTAATAGAGGTGTTATGTCATGTGACACCGATCCGTCCAATCACAAACAGGACGAGTCAGCAGATCGATATCGTGTGTTTACTTTTCTTATCTTTATTTGACCCTCTGTTCACATTGTTATCTCTACCACATCTCGGCTCTCATGGATATATGCATTATTCCTTTGCTTCCAGTTGGTGTAAACTTAAAGCACAGTTCATCATTTGGATCTCACTCAGTTCACAATCGCGACCTCATATTAGAGTAAATGTTTTTAATAATACGCAATTGGACAACTAAACCGAAACATGCTATAACTAAACAATGTTAATGTTCCGTTCCTGATTGAACAGTTAGCATCACAGTCAGTTGGAGGAGCGACCAACACACTATCAAGATCGGTTGTTTATCTTAAACCCCCCGCCCCCCAACAGTTTGTATTGTACGTGGGCAATGGGCACGGTTATATAAGTACAACAATCACACTATTTCAAGTTCACGACGTAATCATGGCGTGTTTACCGCGGTGCAGATATTGCACGCGGACCTTGCCGAGCCGAGATGTGGTAGAGATAACAATGTGAACAGAGGGTCAAATAAAGATAAGAAAAGTAAACACACGATATCGATCTGCTGACTCGTCCTGTTTGTGATTGGACGGATCGGTGTCACATGACATAACACCTCTATTACAAATGGTCGCTCGTTGAGGATGACGGAGCACATCAGGGCTGCCCGTCGTCAGAATAAATTTAATTCAGTTGTTAGTATAATTGTTATATTGTGGTGTTGGTAACCTACCTTCGTTGTGTTTCTTTTGACTTTGTTATCATGCTGTGCTCTGGAAATTGTGATAGTACCTGTCCGATTTGTTAAGGAGACGATCTCCCTAGCTGTTCATATGTTGCAGGATCAGAATGTTCGTGAGGAACAGTCACCAAAAGTGAGTTGCTTACCTGCTGTGTGTTTTCGTACTCTGGTCTTCACTCAAGTTGCAAAGCTGCAATAAACGTATCGCAAAGAACATTTATATCTGAAAATTGTGTTAGTACCAGTTTGATCAGTTAAGGTGAGGATTGCCTCGATCTGTCGGGTTCAGCTTAACTGCCTAGGTCATGAGTAGAACCGAAGGATCAAAACATATGTTGCTTGTTGCTCGTATCAACTATAAAACATCAATTTTTAGGGATAAGGAAGTGTTTATAGGTTCTGAAACCTAGCTAAATCGATTTTTCGTGCAATTTTAGGTCAGAAACAGTCATCAAAATGAGTTAATAAGAAGGTCGATTTCTCGGTTATTTTTGAGCTTTCGTTCAGAAAATAATTCGGGGCCTTCAAAGGGGGGTAACAAGAAAGCGTTACAAGTGTTACAAGCCTTCTATAATACAAAATGTGTATCATCTCTTCAACCCGCTGAACATGTGCTTACCCTAAAAATGTAAACAAATGTGTTTCACCTCCTCAACCCGCTGAACATGTGCTTACTATTAAAGTAAACAAATGTGTTTCACCTCCCCACCAGTATCCACATCTATTATGTCATGTAATTTTATGTCATGTTATGTCAGGTTTGTTTGTATGAAGGTTATTCAGTTAAACAATTAAGGCCACAGGGGGGGGTCCGAGGTCGAAAAAACGTTTTTTTGCCAGTTGGCAGACCACGTACTATCTGACGCTTGCACACCACCCTTAGCCCCCCAGAGCGCCTAGTTTGTCGTAAAATAGAGGTTAACTATTGCCTTTTTAATCAGTTAACCTCACAAATAACCAGTTCTTAACATTTTGTTGCTCTCATCACAAGTTAAACTTATCAATGGGTATAAATTGGCCATCCAATGTGAACAGAACTATTATATGTCCTTTATTTGTTGGAAAATTGAGGTTAACATATTTTCTCAGAATCATGGTCTTTTGACTCTCCTGAACAATTTATTTACCACCTCAAAAACCTATCTTCTCCTAGAGCTTTTATCCATTTCACCTCAAATTTGGAACTTATGTTCCTGACATAAATTTAAAAGTTTGTTATGTAACGATTGTTGTAATTTTGCTCCTAACTCTTTTTATGAGGTTAACCATTTTAAATTTTGTAAATTTTGTAATTCTCACTCATGGTTAACCTCATATCTCAGCTTTGGAGCAAGATATCATAAATCGTTACATAACAAAAACTCAAAATACCTTTAAGAACATTGTTGGCAAGTTACAAGGTTCTAAGTCATAAACTAAAAAAGAAGATAGATTTTGAACACAATTGCATTTAAAGTTTTCATTTACAATAGAATTACAGGTAAACCTCAAAATTCAACGCGCAATATCTTCAAATAGGAAACTTTGTTTTCGGTAAGGACAAAAGCATTCGAAAATTTAGATCGAGTTCTACAACATATCTCAAAATCTCAAAATTGACCTCGGACCCCCCCCTGTGGCCTTAACCTGCATCTTGTTCTTGTCCTCCCAATATCCTCCACTTCTTAGCTGAAGTGAAAGTCTGAATTGTTCCAGCTATAAAACCTCTCAGTTATTACAATGAGTTAATTTAAAACTATATCTAAATGATGCTATATCTAAATGATACTATATCTAAATGATAATATACAAAATAGTAAAGAAATTAATGTATAAGCTGGTACATATACTATATTATACGTATTATGTACACTTTTAGTTTTATGAGAAGCAGTGTTATGGTTCAGTGAAACTTCTTAATACTACACTGTTTGTTTTGTCGCAATCATAAATGACAAATATGTCTGTCCACTTACTATACTGCTTGATACGAACTTGTTGGAAACCACTCGAGCTCCAAATTCCAACCAGAGAAATGCAATCATAATCAGTACATTCGTCATTCTGTCAGGATTATTGTAAAACACCTCACCCAATTTCACTCACGATATGTAGCTTCGATTACAACTTGGCTTAAAACTTGAGCAATCAGCAAGGGTTTCTGAACTCCGAAGAAATTCCTTATTTCTGACCTGCTCAATCATCGAGCAACTTAAGGCGCTAATATCTAGAGCTAGATGGTGTACGGAGTTGGACTTTCTGTACCAAACTGTACCATGGTACAATATTTGACGAAAGTCGATTATCTCGAGATCTAAATGATAGAATTTTTTTAAACTTTCCAGATAGTTACATGGCTATAAGACAGATAATCTAAGCAAGTTTGGGCGAATTTCTATGTGCCAAACTTGAGATATGACTTCAAACACACGAAAACATCTCAAAGTGGCGGTTTTGGTACAATATTTGACGAAAGTCGATTATCTCAAGATCTGAATGATAGAATTTCTTTAAACTTTCCAGATAGTTACAGGGCTATAAGACGGATAATCTGAGCGAGTTTGGGCGAATTTCTATGTGCCAAACTTGAGATATGACTTCAAACACAAGTAAATATTTCAAATTGGCGGTTTCTAGCGGAACGCAGGCATATATTTCGAGATCTAAATGATAGAATTTTTTTAAACTATCTGGAAAGTTTAAAGAAAATCTATCAATCAGATCTTGAGGAAACCGAAAATATATTCTAAGTTATTTACTAAAACACTCGATTTTCGACCATTCCATATGGTACAGTTTTGTCGAAAGTCCTTCTGGGTGTACGCGCGCATGTTTTAACTTTGGAAGACGCGATGCAAGTTTTAAAAACAAAATACAGTATTTCAAAGTTAGTGTGACATAAAAACAATATATAATATATAAAAGAACTGAAAATGTTGATGTTAGCTATAACTTTTATTCTCAGAATAAATTTGGCTGTTTAATTACCTGAAAATCCAGCTGCTTTTATTGGACTACTGCCTTATACAATATTCTCACGAAACTAAGTGTTAGTTTCCGCTCATTAAGTATTGTCCAATTCACTGCAGCAATTAGAATTAACCGGTATTACTATTAAACTTGCATTAACATCGTCATTATGGTTGCTTTGACATTGAATATGTTTCAGTTGTCTAAGCAAGACGGCACAAGAGCGGGACTTGGCACTTGTAAGTCATTGGATTTTAATGATCAAATTTGATAGCTTAATGAATTGTGCGTGATCCCCTTAATCACTATTAATTGATTTGTTCGCAAGATAATTTTAATCACTCTGCTACTAAACCTGATATTTTGTTTGTTTCGTTGATATGTTTCTCGGAGTCAGTACCTTTAACACTATTGCAGGGGGCTACAGAGGAGCCACCACTAAACCCCGACCCTCTCTTATAGAATCTGATTCTCCCTTCAGAACTCTACCTAGAAACTGTGCTAATCCTACTCTCCTTGAAGCCATGTAAGTGCCAATCTTATATCACTGTTTCTGATCTCATAATTATCACGCATAGATTAATATAACAAGGAACGTCACGTCTATCATTCCCTAGACTAGCCTTACCATACAAAATAAAATCCAGTGAAAATCGGTACTTTGATGCCACTTAAAAAACACCACATAACAAATTTAAATTGTGACTCATTACCATACAATAACCATCCTTGCAACCTGGGCTGTGCCTCAGTTAAACTGTTCTGTTTTATCATCTGATTACAACATGACATTCTAAGTCTTCTGAAAAGAATATTATGCACTTGTAGTAGCTAGTATAGCTGCACTAGCAGTGGGGAGTGCTGCTGAGTAGGTAATGAGTAATGACGTTCTTACTTACGGAGCCCTTTACATTTTAGACTTTATGTTTCAAATGTTTTGTTTGTCATGCATGCAATGACGAAAGTCACTGCACATTTTGTTTTGTTGTTTTGATCCAGACTCGAAGTCTGAGCTGTAAACCGTCCTCCTCGCTGAGTTGTTGGTGAGGCCGAGGAGGCTCCTTGGCCTCGCCAACAACTAACAAGGAAGTTAATTCAATTTCCAGTTATTGGGAGTAAAGTCAAATTATATCCAGACAAAATATCATTGCTCTAATTGCCCGGGCAGTGATTTCAGAGGTGAATATATCCTGCCGGGAAGTGGCCCTTCTGTTTTTTCAAATTAGAGCTCTGCTGATCTATTAAGTAACTATGACTGCTATATATTACTGCTATGTTACTAGTCCTGGTGGCCCTTATTTCCGTGTTTGTGGAGCAACAGGGTGACACAATACGGTTGATTCCAGGGTGGGGACAAGTCACAGTCTAAATATAGCCTCGGGTTCAGGGGCCCGGGAGGGAGAGAGAAAGGGGCTGACATATTCGCATATCACCTTACAACCCATCCTTCTCAGCTGTATTACCTCTCAAATTGTTTGAGCTCTTTTGTTAACAGTTAATTAATTCCCCCCTCGAGCGTATACTTTGTACCTTGTTACTCTCACTTTCTCTGTCTCCTCTCTGTTTCTTATGCGCTCGGTTACTCTGCTCAGGTGGCAGGCCTGATTTTCTGAGCTTCTCAGTTCTCTTCTCTACTGGCGACCTGCATTAGGTCATGTACTCAATTATTTTCTAAAAATTAAACACTTACCTGGCCGAAGCTAGCAGTACCACCCTATTATTCGTGATAAAACTAATGGAACTCCTAAATGTATTGTAAATGTGGCGGGTGAGTGACTGTTCATTGCACGTGCAGTGTTGTACAGCACGTGGTGTATAAGATTAGCACGTGCTATGTGGTAGTACAGACTGCTGTCTCCTCTGCTCTCAGTGTAGCACTGTAGTCTACTCAACTCCAGATTTAGTTCTGTCTCCGCTCTGCCGCGCTGTGTTCACTGTCATTACATCAGATTGTTTAAATTCCTAACACGTACTGTTATTACTGTTCTATTATTGTCATGTTTAGCAGTAGTTAAACTATTTAAAGTAGCTGGCCCTAGTGTAGGGAGCTAGTGTAGGGAGCTAGTGTAGGGAGCTAGTGTAGGGAGCTAGTGTAGGGAGCTAGTGTAGGGAGCTAGTGTAGGGAGCTAGTGTAGGGAGCTAGTGTAGGGAGCTAGTGTAGGGAGCTAGTGTAGGGAGCTAGTGTAGGGAGTGCTGGTGTAGGGAGCTAGTGTAGGAACGCTAGTGTAGGGAGTGCTAGTGTAGGGAGCTAGTGTAGGGAGCTAGTGTAGGGAGCTAGTGTAGGGAGCTAGTGTAGGGAGCTAGTGTAGGGAGCTAGTGTAGGGAGCTATGAGAACATTGCTCTTCACGGCTCCTCCCTCTCCACTCCACTCCTCTTTAGTAAATTGTAATTGTTTTGTAATTGTTTAGTGAACTAGTAATTGCTGAGTCTAACCCAGGTAAAACGTCACTCAGTTCAAGTTTCCTGACCTACTCCCGACTAGTTACCTCTAATTAGAGTTTACTCCGCTGTACTTTCTTATCGCTTACTCTTCCTCTCTCTTAGGTCAGATTCTCCTACTGATGATGTCGCTTTGATGTCGCTTGCTTATGCTAAACTTCTAAAACTAAGAGTAAGTTTTAATGCTAAACTTCTAAAACTAAGAGTAAGTTTATACTCTATTGCTTAATTTCTAAAAATAATAGGGAGTTTCTTGCTAAACTTCTAAAACTAAGAGTAAGATTCTTGTTTAAATTGCCGTGTGTACAACTTTCCAAACGTTGACATTTAATTGCCGACTTTAAATCGTACCAACGTAGTTTGGAACTGTTTTAGTTTTGCGTGTTTGTTTGTGCATGTCGTGTGTTAACAGATCATTCTCCTCAGAAACAAAAAGAAGAGCTGAAGAGAATACATCACATGTTGGACGATCTGGAGAACGACTTCATGGGGAGTAAAGAAAACAGCACCTACATAGAGAGATACATGGAGGTAAGAACGGGGGAACAGGGGTGTAGTCGGTACACTTATTAGCCCGCTTTCTCAAAGTACCTTGCAATAATTGAGCAGTAAATATGAGAGCTGCAGACCTTGTACGTGCACCTTATCTCCGTTGTATGATCAGTGTTGAGATAAGAATTATCTGTCTAATAAAGGGCAGTCTCTCATTTTGATACTGATAAGGTCGGGTTATCATTTCTCTGATTGCAACCCGGAAAACAGTAACAGTGTTAAAGTATATGGTATTTATATAATAGTACATGTATATTTACTAAAATATATTAAATATATTGAATTACATGATATATAATATTTAAACATATATAATATAAAATTTTATATATTTATATAATAGCCCATCATCACTAACCAGGGGGTTGTTGTTAGATTTTCTGATAACAGACAGTTTCTAATACAGAGACAGCATGTACAAGGGACACGTTTTACATGTTAATAAACTTCTGTCTAATATAAACATGTATCCAGGTGAAGGTAAAGAAGGATTACATGCTGAGTCCTGGAAACCCGGAGTCCACGGTGGAGAAGGAGGACACTATCAAAGTGTTTGGGTACATGGGCCACAACACGTGGCGGATAATGGGGCCGCATTGTAAGGGCTACTGCAAGAAGAACACAGTCCTGAACCCCAGGGTCAGATCTCAGAACCTGGTTCAAGATGTTGATATTGTGTGTAATGCGTGCAATAAGATAACAGTGCCTCTGATAGGTTCCGTGCCTACTTCTATACTGCACATGCGTAACGCGGTAAGTCCCACTCCTTCTACTAATTATTACTAATTATGAATACTGCTAATTATAAATACTAGTAATTACTCCTAATTGTTACTAATAACTACTATTTACTCCTTCAACTAATTACTTATCATATTTTTGTTCACAGTGTGGTCAAACAAACTAATTAGGGATATTAGTAAATTAGTAAATTAACTAAGATTTCGTAAATTAACTAAGATTTCGTAAATTAACTAAGATTTCGTAAATTAACTAAGATTTTGTAAATTAACTAAGATTTTGTTTCAGAATCACCACAGTCCAGGATGAGTGCTACTAGGAACATTGCACAAGCTGCAGTATTATCAGAGTTATGATTAAAAATAGGCACATTCAAATAGGCACATACAAAGACTGTGAATCTATTTGAGCGCTTTATTTTATGCCATCAGTTAATGAACGGCTTGATTTCATTTTTGTTAACTGTTCAACTCACAGCTGAAACCAGAAATTACTGGACTCTAAATTTTACTTTGTTGTTAATTAAATTTTTATTTGATTTTGTAATTCTTGATTTGACTATTTACTAATTATTTACATGACCAAATCCTAATTCTAACTTGTTAATGGTAGTAAAAAATGTAGGCAAGTTTTTAATGAGTTGTTAAGCTGAAGAAGCTTGAGAAGCATAAATTTCAATTTTCGTATGAAATTCTTGACTGTGCCTGTTTTCTAAACAAAATACAAAAGCTTCACAATGAATGATAAAACTATGTATTTCACTGAGTCTAGTTTAAATACTATAAATATAAATAACCAATAAATACTAATATCTTCATCCAAAAAGACGCCATATTATTTAAAAGCACCCCAGAGTGATATACAAAATCATAAAAGCAACCCAACATGTAAAAATAGGTTACAAGAACCGAGCACTGAATTGTTTCATCGGAGTATTTAAGAGTTTAAGGGTATTTCACTCCACTCAGGGGTCTAGGAACATGAGTCCCGAACTGCCCCTTCCAGTTTCCAGGGGGAGTGTAGTGGCAACACACATAACTCTTTCTGTCCGCGTTTTCAGAGGGGCTCGTTACTCCACAGCCCACTTTAGTGGTAGTCTTCCAGATCAACTGCAATAGAAGGTCACTGAGTCACAAGTACGAACTGCTGTAGCCGCAAAGTTTGGCAATATTGTGGCTACAAGTTTAGAAAATATATTTGGCGATTAACTGAACATAAAAAGTAGAAGATGACCCTGATTTAAAACCCGCTGACCTGAGTAAAGTGACCAGTTTTAAAGTCGAATCTGGGGTTGTTGTAGTTGTGGTCTACAATCTCATCATACCACTTCTTCACGGCTACACTTGGGACCTGGTCCACGCTCATTCCAAACGAGTAGTACAGGTTCTCCCCCACACTGAAATACAGGGGTTATCATCTTGTCTATTTGCAGTTTCGTGACTAACTGCCTCTAAACAAACCAGGACAGATCACGACAATTAACCCCCCGTTTAAGTTAACACCAGAAATACTGTGTGCGCGGTTTATTGTAAAGATTAGGACACCCTACATCATACATATCCCAGTCACCTTTCTACGTAGTTGTTCTGGTCACTGTGTTCGAACTTGTTGTCCCTGGCGAGGACTCTACACCAGGCTACGGCTGTAGCAGCAAGTCCTGTATCGTACGTCAGATCTGGAACTCCGTGGTGTCTCCTCCTATTATTGTGTTCTTCTAACAGAACTTGTTCCCCTCTACCTGTAATGTTTCCAGTCAGTGCTGGATTTAAATCTCAGGGTAGATCAATGCTACATTATACAGGTGCACCCTCAGTACAGCTACTTCCAGCTATCCACACAAACGTGAACCTAAGAAGAACAGTTATATAAGCTAAGAACAGAAAGCTGACTTACTTATTCTACTTCCACTTGAAGAATCATTAGGACTCCTATCGTTTGAGCCAGAGTTGGAATTAGAGTTTGAATTAGAGTTTGAGTTTGAATTAGAGTTTGAATTAGAGTTTGAATTAGAGTTTGAGTTTGAGTTTGAGTTTGAGTTTGAATTAGAGTTTGAATTAGAGTCTGAGTTAGTGTCTTCAGAGCAGGTACAGGGACAGAGATCTTGAATCATCTGGTAGCCACACCGCTGATAGAACTTATGCATTGCACAAAGCCTCCCTTCACTGGAGCAACCTGCAAACCAACCTTCGGTTAAAATAAAGCTACAGGGATAAACAGTAAACATGTCTGGCGAAGAGCATGTTTTTGACTAAAATATTCTTATTTCTAGGGAATAGAAACATTATCCAGCCTCACCTCTCTTCTCAATTTCGTTCATTAATAACAGACTGTCAGTGTAACTGTCCCCCTCCTCCTCCTCTGTGTCTCTCTCCGCCAGTACTTTAGCCTGCTCCATCACTAGACCAGCTTCTTGTGGGATGTCCACTCCTTCAACTGGTGCTACATCAGCACTGAAATGTTTGCGGAGTTTAACTTCCCATCAAGGTTCCGAGTATCGGGATGAATAGTTGGATCTAGAAGGACGGTTAAACAGCTAATCTACATACAATCTACATTCTACATAATATATAGTTGGAAACAAGGAGAATTAAGTTAATGATTAACCTGTTGATGAGAAGAGCAGTAATCAGTAAAAGTAACATGTTAATGATAGGACTACAGTGATCAACTCGGAGGAGGAGGCCGGTTTTAAAGGGTGTGTCACGTGATTAACATATCCAGGAGGGGGAGTTGGTCTTATTGTTCTCCTCACTGCACCTGTCAAAGTGTTGTGTTTCTAGCACTTTTGTCTTACTGACCCCCAGCTGGATCACTTTTGTGCTCCTGCTCTTTCACCGGATGCCATGATTCCGCAACTGAGACACTGTAATAAAAGGAGACAAAAGAAATTTGTTTGTTAAGTAATTATCTGATGAGAATAGAATTGAGCACAATAAACGTGATGAAAAGGAGGAAGTCTGCGCGTTGCTGGTTCTTCCTGTAGTCAGAGCTCTGGTTATACAATCCTTTATCAAGGCTCAGTTGTAGTTATTGAACTATTTAAACCCTGTAGCAAAAATATGCGTTCTAAACCCTGTAGCAAGCATATCCGTTCTAGTGTTGAAATAGTATGGATGGTACCTGTACCAGTGAGCTCTTCGTGTAATTCAAGTTGGTAGTAAATCATATTTCATCAAGTGTAGGCCAGTCATATGGGCGTAATTATTTACAACCAAACATCATTTGGTACTTAACTATGGATGACATAAGACACAATTGAGGACTGAAAGCATACTGCAGAAAGCTTTACAAAATTGATTTTTGTTCAGTGACCAACGTGTCAGTTAACAATTGATTTTGGTAAATTGTTTTGGTGGTATCTGGTCACATGATATTAAAACAGCTGGTATGGACAATTTGTATTTTAATTTCAACCTAGCTTATTCAACCTATTGACGTGTTAAATTTGAAACAGAAAAATAGCTATATTTAATCGACAAAGGAAACAACTACGAAGCTGAAATAAAAAGCGTCAAGCTTCTCACAAATAATGAAATACAATGATTAATTAACAGTAAAATGTCTAGTAATTAATGACCATTGACCGTGCTGGCAAATTAAAAACATTAAATCATGTCAGAGTGGTAAATCATTTCAGTAAATTTTGAATAGTATCTGCTCCCGAGAAATTAGCTATTTTTCATAAAAAATATTAGCAGCCACAAGGAAATCAGCAAAAAGCAGTGGATACATTCCCTACATTAAAGTTTTGTAGTTCAGTGAACTGAACCCAACTAATCCTGTTCACTGTTCAGTGGACAGCAGTTTCTGCGTTTATAGTGGAGGTCTCTACTCTCCTATTCTCTGTGAACTTTGTTAGGTTCCGATAGGTTCTCTTTACGCTTTCTCCTGTCTACAATCATGCGGAGAAACGGTAAATTTAAAAAATTGACAAACTTAAATTCAATCCCTTAGAAATTGGATGTAACTGAAAAATACATAGTAATACGTAAAAATCACTATTTAACTACAGATATAAGTATATCTTTCACCTGTTTCCCAAATTTAGCAATTTCAACTCCAGTCCCCTTTAGAGCTCCTGTAACCATTTTCCTAGCCACAGAAATCTCCTCATCTTTCTTATCTTTCTTTTTCTTATCAATCTTCAGTGCAATATCAGCATACTTTCTCCTAAACTCTGAGAGACTCAATGGTTTCGAGCGTGTAGCTCCAGCAGAAGACTTTTCGGGTTTCTTGTTGAGAAATGAAAGTACTTTTGGGGTTGTTGGGGTCGACTGGGGGAACGTTCCAACTTTAACATTTGGGAACACGTCTATATGCGGCTCTATTTCTTTCAACTGAAAGTTAATTTCACGTTACTTCTGAATACGAATACAATCCAGAAAATTATAAAACATATTGGGGGAAATGAGATGATCAGTTCTGCACGGCGGATGAAACTTAAGATACAGGGAAAACTTGAATAAGCGGATTTACCCCGGCTGAAATAGATTGCGAGAGATTGGAAGCGGTTTTAAAAGCGGTTTTCGTTATAGAAGTCTTCACTTTAGTGGCGTTATTAGACAAAGATTTCCCAGACCTCCTTGCCTGAAATTATTCAAGTTACATGACGTCCGTAATTAATTCGTCCAGCTATGCTGCATGAACAATGAACGTCTCAACTAAGAATATGAACAAATACCTCGTTAGCTATCATCATGCCTACAAGGTTAGGGTTGGACCTCGGTCTCTCGTAACGTAGCTGGAGATGCGCTAGAGCTGTGAAAATACTGACTACTACAACAGAGTCAATGTAAGGAGCTACAAACAGGGAGAAGATGTTGTTATCTATCCCACAATCTCTATCTGCACCTGCAGAGTTAACAGTGATTACACTTGTGTTACCAGTATAATTATCAGAGTTAACCGGTATTCTTACTTTCATACAGAAGAAATTTAGTCCTAGACTTTTGCTTCCTTAGTTCACAGGAATGTTGAATGTTTGCTTCCTTAGTTAACAGGAATGTTGTTGTATATATTTACCTCTTCTGATGGTAGTGATGATCTGATCGTTGAGAAGAGCGGTAACTACCACATCAGAACTCCCTCTCCCCCGTCGTATCTTGATATCTGACCTGTTATCTACTCCTCCTACTCCTCTAACAGGGTGGTCAATTGTTGTTAGTTGTTGTTTTTGTTTATAATTACTACTTAAGGTTGATAAACGGAAAATCATCAGCATTTTTACCAGTGACCAATCAGTGAGGTCAGTGTGAGTGACACAAGTCACCATCGAGTTGCTGCAAGCTGAATATCCGGAGATATTTTGAAAGATTTTTGAATAAAGACTTACTTCTTTACCTTAACAGTTTGATATTTATAGTTACTGACCTTGTCACATGAACACAGCCGCTCACAAAGCCGTTCCACTTTCTGAGTTTAATAAGAGCGTTAGTTTTACCGGATTGAGGGTTCCTGAGTTCCCACACGTCACGTGTCTTACTGCTCTCTAGTCTGTACAAACAACCTACTACCCTGGAAACTCTCGCCATCGCCTCACTGCTCCTCTTCACTGCAATACGGACTACATTGGGCTTTATTACAACTTTATCATTGTTGTCTAGTCTCTGCTAACTTTAACATTTTTACTCATTTGGGAATTTGATGACTTCAATAATTAAATCAAGTATTCTAAACCTCTGGATAAGTTGAGAGAGGGAAAGTTTTTTGTACTCACAGGTCTTCTCATCATCTAACACAACCCCATACGCCCCTAGAGATGAGTCATAACAAGTCCTGAATATGATCTCTCCAGTGCTGTTCACCAGGGTGAGACCTCTGTTTTCTTCAGAGATGTTCCGGATGTCACAGAACAGCATCTCTCTCCGCACTGTCCTCAGATCCTCCTCCATCACCGACACCTGTACAGTGTACACCAGTGACGTGTGTGATCATTGATGGAGAAAATATCACAATGTGGTGTGAATCTGTGCAATAGCAGTTTTACTTATATTTGTAGGGGCTGAGGGGACTGCTGCTGCAATCTGAAAAAAATATTGAATTGGCTACTTTTAGCTAGAAGACATTACCTGTACACAGCGTTGTTTTTTAGGAACTCTAGGATGCCAGTCTAAAGTGTATTGTTTGCTGATTGGGTAGTCACTAACTGGATGCTGTGCTGGTATTATCACAGTGCTCGCGTAACTAACAACCCCGCTTCCCGGACTCAGAGTTCCTGCTCTTGTGCTTAGAGACTGAGACAGCTGCAGTCGGGACGGCTTTATGACTGTGGAGTATATGGGACTGCGTGACGGCTCACGCGTGACCTGGTTCTCTCGTGGGGTAAAAGACATGGGGATCTCATACTCAGGCTCCTCTTGTACACTATATATCGGTGTAACAGCGCTGGATACTTGACTCATAACCTCATCAGATTCTCTCCTGCCTCCGCTGGATACAGATACAGCAGTCTGACCAGCCTCACTCTGACCAGCCTCACTTTCAACTGGAGGAGCGTCCATCGCACCTGACCCAACTGCGGGTTTAGCAGGTGGTTCCTGAGGGGACACCTCCGTTTCAGAGAAGGTTTTGTCGTTTAGATTGCAATCTGACTGCTCCATCAAGGTGATGGTCATGACTCTATCTGAAGTGGTTTTAACTTGCTCAGCTAACCCCTGACATCCTCCGACATGCCCCTCTACTATTACATCCTCCTCATTCTCCTCTAGTATAACATCATCCTTCTTCTCCTTTACAGCTGACTTATCCTTCTTCTCCTTTACAGCTGACTTATCCTTCTTCTCCTTTACAGCTGACTTATCCTTCTTCTCCTCCCTTTCCTCTACAGCTGGCTCTTCCTTCTTCTCCTCCCTTTCCTCTACAGCTGGCTCTTGATCCACAGTCCCTAGTCTACTCTTCTCTTGGTCACCTAGATACGAGTCGCTGCTTACTTTCCTGAAAACAGCGCCAGTTTCATCCCTACGAGGTTTATCAGGAGGAGATTTGTTCTCCTTTCTACTGCAACTGGTGACGTCACTCCCTTTCATGACGTCACTCCTTTCCATAACTACTACAAGTATAGACACACAGCTCAAACTACTACAAATATAGACAAGACAGCTCCAGCTACAGCTCAGTATACAGACACACAACAACAATACTTGTCTGTCATGCTTACAAATCCAGGAATAGTGAACTTTCTTACACATTGCTTCATTCTGTGTTCTGGGAATTTGCCCTGCAGTTGGGTTGAGAATTGCGGCTTATTTTAGCATTGTTTTCAGTCATTCAGTATGATTTTAATTTTGTTTTTTTGCAAGTAAAACCAGTTAATAACGAAACATATGAATATCAGGAATTTACATGTCAAACAAGTCTTGAAAGACATAAAAGATAAATATTATGCTTAAAGATAATTTAGATTAACTTCAAGCACTGACGTCTGATGTCGCATGTCGCATCAGAAACATGAACTCTTCTTGGGTTCAGTAACCAAACACCTACACAGACACTACACCTTGGGTCAGACCGTTAAAACGGTCTGGGTGGGGGGGTACCAATGGCATAGAATGGAGAAAAATGGCATAAAATTCATCAAATGGCATACATTTTTATGGCATAAATGGAAATTTTTATTGGTCAATTCTCCATTTATGCCAATTTATGCCATGAATTTAGGTCTTCATATTTGACCTTTAGGATGAGTCTTTAAATTCGCAAATTATTATTAGTACTTGAATAAAAGACATGTGACATGTTTCATGCTTTATAACGCTTGGAATGATCGTTAAAGATTCATATGACAAATAAATAAAATAGAAATGTATTAAGTCAAACATATACCAAACATTTGACTATTCAAGAAAAGCAAATTGTGAGATGTTCAAAATGTACACAATACAAACATTGACAACACAACGATTTTGAATGTCATCAAGGAACAATGCATCTGATGTATTTGTCTTAGACGAGTAGCCAAACATTAGGAGATCCGTTGATTAGGCTATACTCCTGGCAGTAGTACTTCATCGGGCATGACTAATAAGAAATAAATCTAACCACTCCTGTTGCCAAGTCCTGCTGAGATTTGAAGACTTTAAGAGTTTCTGTACTGCCAGCTTTCAAAACTGTTGAACATCCGCATTTAGGTTGATTGTATATGCGAACATCAGAAGACACTCCAAACGCGTTCCCCTTGAATCTTGAAAGACGAGATTTTGTTGATAAAGTGCTTCTTCCTCCATTGAGCGTGAGTGTCTCAAAAGACCGGAAGGAAAGTGTTCCATATTTATCTGTTGATATCGTTTCTCCAACATCACAATCATCAACTCCAGGTTCTACCTCATAAGCTAAGTCGTCCTCATCCTCGAGGCATCCAGCTTCATCAATCATCATCTACAGCTTCCCAAGAAAGTACTTGGCCATGGACGATTGGCTTCCCACTCTGTTCTTCGGGATCTGCGACTGCGGCGAACACAGGGAAATTATTTCTTTTCCCTTCTCGAATGCAGTCCCTCGATGCCCTGTCCAGCGTTATTTAAGCAATATATTATGTCATCATCATGTTGTATAATAGGAAGCAAGTATTTCAGGTCATTTGGTGAACTGTTATGTAATACTAATATACAGGTTCATCGAGATATCAATGAATATTATTTTTAAGAGGCTACCCATTTGAAACATGTTAACAGATCATTATCAATCTTATGAAAATGTTTAAATTTTAAAACCTTCAACATGAACACGGTCCCGACCAAGGGTCGACCGAGTCCTCGGCCTCGGCCTCGGTTTTACCGAGGAATGGCGATTTTTCCTCGGCCTCGGTCAGGAGGACAATTCCTCGGTTCGCCTCGGCCTCGGTCAAAAATAGATTCGAAATTCCTCGGCCTCGGCGAAATTTGACGATTTTACCGAGGATTTGACCGAGGATGTTGAAATTTTGGGAATTTTTCTACAGACTTACAGAGGTTAATGTAAACGAATTTGTAAAATTGAAAATCAAAAATAAAACGACCAACTGACCAGTGACCAGGACACAAAACTAAAAATATCATAGTCTAAGATTCATCGTCTGATGAAATGACAATATCTGAGCACTCTGAATCAGAATAATCTTCTGTGCACAGCTCAGAAGGGGGACAGTCCTCTTTATTTGGGGCTTCAAATTCATTTGGACAGGGGCCGAAGTCGTCCCCAAATGTTCCGATGTTCTTTTTGAGAAACAAGCACCCCTCAAAGTTTGTTGGCTTAAGGCTGATAGAATATTTCAAATTTCACTGTCAATTACTCAGATCCTGCCTGGGCATGCCCACTCCTGACTCTTGGCGAACTTGCCCCTTCATAATGATTGTAACGTGTGTACACAGTATAGTACACAGTACAATCTGATTAGGTACAGTGCGCTTTTCCTAATAATTATAAACAATGCCCTTTTTCCCAACAATTTTTCTGCCAAAATTCCTCGGCCTCGGCCTCGGTCAAAATTTGCACTCCTCGGCCTCGGCCTCGGTAAAAAAAAAAGAAACCTCGGTTGTGAACGCCGGTCGGAGGTCGATCGGGCGCCGGTCGGGTGCCGGTCGGAGGTCGTTCGGAGGTTCGACCGGAACCTCCGACCGCAGACCGGCGCCCGACCGACCTCCGAGAAACTTCGAAAAATGTTGACTTAGAAAATTTTCGTACTCATTCTCGAGACTGTATCGAGAGCTTCCGAGCTCCGACCGAGGTCCGACCGGCCCCAGCTCCGACCGGCGCCCGATCGACCTCCGACGAACCTCCGTCCTCCGACCGACCTCCGACTGGCGTTCACCTACCGCCGACCGGCGCCCGACCGACCTCCGACCGATCAGCCTTGTCTGTTCTATGACCGTTTTAACTCATAATTTATAATTTTAATAAACCATGCTATATTCAATATTGGCTCACTTCTCTGAATATAAAATAATGTGGTGAGAGATTGTTGTATCTTAATTAGCTGTAAGCGTTACGAATTTTCATGGTAAAGTCAAATCACGTTAACTTTAAATTTGATACGAAGTGCGATATGCGATACAACATAGTTTATTCCAGAAGCAAGGTACTCGGTTGCTTTAATTTATTACAAGTCTGTGATAATATTATGTGTAATATGTAATTAATATTTGTATGTTTGATAACATTACCAGGAAGTCAATATTATATTTATATGTTAATGTTTTAACTTTTGAAATCTTAAGTCATGTTCAGAGGGATTTATTATCAGTAATGTTTAATAAGTTACCGGAATTTATAGTAACATTATACTTCGTTACTACAACAGTCTGGTTTTAATTAGTAACCTGCTATTTGTCAGATTTCACATTCAACAAAATAAAACTCATGAGTTACGAAATTTATAACAAAACAAATATGAATATAACAAAGTTATGACAAAATAAACAAAGACACACTAAACTACTAAAATTGACAATGAAGTTAAAATTATCCAAAATCCCTTAACCAACCATAAAGTAAAAGTAATAAAAAGTCGTACGTTGGTCATCGAATAAACGTATCATGCAGAAAGAAATCGAAATAAAAATTTTGGCGATAATCAACAAATTTGTTCGGTATTTTAATTTATTTAAAGCTGTTCAGTAAATTGTTTCATAGAAGTAAATTAAAAGAAAAACAAGACCCCCACCCTCGTTTACTCAATCAGCTGATCTCTATCATCAGGAGTACTTTTCTGAGACATATCGTCAAACACGGACTCATACAAGTTAATGATAAACTTAAGAATACAAATGACAAGAGGCCCGATAATAGCGCCCTCTAACCCGAAGTAGTACATACCCCCAGCCACTGCCAGTCCTGTTATGTAGGGGTGCCAACCTCCCTCAATCTCACTGTACACAGCCATGTCTATAAAGTAAGTAGGCAGCATCTGTAGCAGTATAAAGACTAGAGCCCGGAGGAACCTGTCCTCTACCAGCCACAGGACCAGGAACCCGGGAACGGAGGACCAGTAGACACCCACCACTGGAACCAGAGAGAGGAGACCTGCTAGGAGGGCCGGTACAAACACCATCTCCAGACCAAACAGTGTGTGGGAGGACCACACGTAGCAGGTGTAGAACACTGACAGTTTGAAACTAGCCCCGAATATACCCCTGGTGGCGTCGAATAAAGCGCTGGTGTACTCGGCCCTCTCCGCGGTAGTGGGGAGAAGAGATGCCATTATCTCAACAGGAGCGTAGTACACATCTGAGTAGATGAGGAGGTAGTAGAGTGCTGTGATGAAGACCACAAGTTGAACCAGGAAGTTGAGGAAGGCAGCGCCTCCCTCCACTAACCCACTAGCCAGGTTAAACACAAGTTTGAAGAGGAGGGCCATGTTGGAGGAGAAGACAGTCCACAGAGAGTTGAGCACGTCCACTATCATCCCCTTGGAGCAGAGCACGTAGTTAGAGATAGCAATACCCGGTCCTGGTGTCTCCACGCACCCACCAGAGAGAAGGTGAGCGAGGTTAGACTTCAGGGACTTTAGAGAGAGTAAGTCTAGAGAGTTCATGTTCCCTTTGACTGTGGTGATCAGGTGGTTCATGGTAACGTTACTTCTAGTACTGCTCACATTCCTGTACAGATTATAGTTATTATTATTATTAACAATATAAGTAAAAACATAATGTAGTGTTAATTTAACGTTATTAGTAAACCTGAAATTTCCATTATTTAATATTATTAATATTATTAAACTTCAATGTCAACTAAGCAAGCTATAGCATCATGAAAATACACATACGAAGAGCCTGGCTGATTTAGAGAATATTAGAGACCTACCTCTGAACCCATTGCTGATACATGTTGTCATATAGACTGAGCAGAGTATTCTCCAAATCCGTAGTTTTAGGTCCCTCTGGAAGTGTTGCTATCTTACCTTTTATCCACCCTCTAAAAATAACATATTTTAGTGTTTGCTGAAAGAATGGAAAGAACAAATTAAATGTGGTTGATTATAAGAAGCTGCCCAAAATGACGAAAAGTGTGAGAGTCGAACAGATTCGCATGAACTGATGAACATTCACTGTTCATGACTATTAACTATCTGTTGGTTTTATCTCGTACCTGCCGACAGAGTGAGCAGAGCTGAGTCCTACACTAATGTCCCCGAGTGAGTTGTCTAGAGACTTGAGGTGGTAGGAGGTGTGCGAGTTGATGAAGAAGGAGGTTGCTTGTAGCAGATACAACACCTCCGAGTGCACTGTGTACAGAATAAAACATGATACTAGGATTATTGCTAGTATCATGAGGACTACAATAGATCCTGAAACCACCTGACAGAAGATAAGGGTTATTGTGGAGGTTGAAAAACAGTAGTGTACTCTGAATATTATATTAAATCTAAAATTGTAACTTAAGTAACCTATGTTATCCATGCTGGTAAAGGGAACTATAAAATCGAAGGCTGATAACAGCACGAAATAAGGAAACTGTAATTGAAATGTAACCTGGTTAGTACTGCGTCTGAGGACCCCGAGCACCACGGTCTGCCCCTTCATCATGAGAATAGCAAGACCTCTCAGAGACTGAGGACAGAGCACACTGAACCTGCTACCACTCTGGGTCATCAGACCTCCTATCTTACTGACCCCCTCTTGTAGTCTGAGGAAAGTGTTATGTTTAACATGTAATTAAGAGTCCCGATACTACCCTTCTTGTATATCACCATAATACAACTAATATAACCTAACTAATCTAAGAAACAAGTCGTCACCTCTGAGTAAGTCCGAGGAATTTGTAGAGTTGGCAAGCAGCCAGGAAGATGCAGAAGAGACAGGACAACCTGAGGACAAAGAAGACATCTCGGCTGATCAGAGTGAAGAGGACAGTCCAAGCGAGTAGAATGAAGTACTTGTCAGTGTTGATTCTGTTATTATTCTCCAGGAACTTCAGTGAGGCTTGCTTTATAGGTCGTCTGGAAGTGGCGGGGGTCTGGTACCTGGTTTTGTTAGGGGCGGGGGTTGAAAAGCGTGATGGGGCGGGGGTCATGAAGCCTGATGGGGCGGGGGTATTGTTTGGAGTGCTGCTGGAGTGAGGCACCTCCTTAATCAGATCCATTTTCTTCTTTATAACTGGGGTAAACACCTCCTCCCCTTCCTCCTCTATCCGAACTTGCTTTATCTTCCAACTAGAACCAGTGTTGGTACTTGTACCGGTAGTGGTACTGGCACTAGAACCCTTTGCCTCTGGTACTGAACCATTCCCTCTGTAACTGATAAGAGCAGCATAAGTCCCACACCCCAACACTGAAAACACACAAATAGCAATAAGATCCCGCCACTGTCCCAGATACGATATCATGGTAGCAATGATCAGAGCCCAGATCGGCATGGCAACCCACTCCACAAGTGGATAATATCCCCCAGATCTAGGACCCCACCACACACAGACCAGCACCAGGTAAACAGCTGCTAGAGTCCACACTACATAGTTGTACTGTTCCAGCGTCTCCAGTCCGTACCCTGCTGTTAGGGAGATGTACTCTACTAGGTCGGTAAACATGTCTATAAAGTCTATCATGTCAGTGAGGAGAATAGCAAGGATAATAAGGAGGGACGTTATCATCTCCTTGTAGGTTGTCAGGGTAACGGCTCCTACCCATAGTAGGAACTGTTGGAGAGCGTAGAACGGTAACACTACTATACCCAGCACTAGTGGCACGCCTGTATAAGAGTATTGGAAATTAATATGATAATAATAAAAGCAGTAGTTTAATGTTAATGGTAACCCACTACTATCAGAAAAATAAAAGTACGTTGTCATGGTAACCCACTATTAAAAGTACGTTGTCATGGTAACCTAAGCTACGGTTAAAAGTACGTTGTCAAGGTAACCTACTATTAAAACTGTAAAAGTACGTTGTCATGGTAACCCACTATTAAAAGTACGTTGTCATGGTAACCCACTATTAAAAGTACGTTGCCATGGTAACCCACTATTAAAAGTACGTTGCCATGGTAACCCACTATTAAAAGTACGTTGCCATGGTAACCCATTATTAAAAGTACGTTGTCATGGTAACCTAAGCTACGGTTAAAAGTACGTTGTCAAGGTAACCTACTATTAAAACTGTAAAAGTACGTTGTCATGGTAACCCACTATTAAAAGTACGTTGTCATGGTAACCTACTATTAAAAGTACGTTGTCATGGTTACCCACTATTAAAAGTACGTTGTCATGGTTACTCACTATTAAAAGTACGTTGTCATGGTAACCCACTATTAAAAGTACGTTGTCATGGTAACCCACTATTAAAAGTACGTTGTCATGGTAACCCACTATTAAAAGTACGTTGTCATGGTAACCCACTATTAAAAGTACGTTGCCATGGTAACCCACTATTAAAAGAACGTTGCCATGGTAACCTACCACTCTCAGTGAGCGTGTCGATGCCAGTAATAATGAGATGTTTCCCCAGTTCCTTGACGGGATATAACACAGCTCCAAATAGTAGAGCCCAGAGGAGCGGTCTTATACAGAACTCTAACATGTAAAACACCTGTAGTTAGCTTTAGTTACTTAATCTTGTGATACCACTTACTAAACTTAATACAGTTAGCAACCGTTTCTTAATACGAACCAATAAGACCAGTTCGATGAACTGATAAATAATAACAGATGGACTTATTAGTTGATTAATTACATCATAACTCAACCTGAGTACAAGTATAGAAGAGGACCCCGATAAAGACGAGAGCGGCAGTGTTGTAGAAAGCAGTTCTGAGTGCTCTCTGTTCCTCTTTAGTCTCCTCATCAGAGGAGTGGGGAGCTGTGGAGAAGAAGGAGAGCGCTCGAATATTGAGGTGGACCTTCTGAGCAGGTTCCCTATACGGGCTATCTGGAGAAAAGTAACTGTTATCTTGATGAAGGAGCAGGATAAGGAGAGTTAACTCTAAGTTGTTTGCCGGATTACACGATAAATCTAGCTGACTAACCAATGCAATGTGAGATATACAAGATGGATTGATCTTCCCAATTGCCAAACGATAAAAGTGAGCATCTCAACAAGAATGTTAATAGTGTAATACATATGTTTCAAGCGTAGCCGACAGGACTGTTCTTTTAATAGATACGAATGACTATGTGGTCACAACATTTAACATAACTATCAGGAAATGAGCATACTAACAGAGTAATCATCTTATTGCTTATCCGGAATATACAGAGGATAGCCATCCAGTCTCGAAACTATAATCCACACCACACCACACCACACCACACCACACCACACCACACCACACCACACCACACCACACCACACCACACCTACCTTAGGAGTGGGGTTGTTGGAGGACTGGAGCGGTCCCTCTGTGGACTTAGATCTAGTGTACATTCCTTCTGGTCTAATTCTAACCTACGAATATCAGATGAGTTGGTCGTTGTTTTAAATTATTCTCGTAGAATCATTAGCGCATAATTTGACAGTTTTTATTGCGATGAGAAATTTAGATAAATCGTTAGTTTAACAAAAAGGTTTGGAGCAGAAAAAGGTGCTCAGAAGACAGCGAAAAGGACACAAAAGATTCACGAATGTTTTGTTGAAATTGGAGATGAAATTTGAGATGAAAAAACATTTGAATGTAGTTTAAACAGCGGTTAAATATAAAACTTCATTAAATAATCACCCTCGTGAAAATCGGCAAATATTTCTTTGAAACGATATAGTTAAAATAAATTACTAAAGCGCTTATGGACATGTTATTCTCGTTCACAGTATGTATAAAAAGAAGACCATGATTAAGATGTAGAATTTAAAATTCGTCCGTCATTATAGAATCGTACAGAAAGAACAGTCATATTCAACAAATATTATACCATGGTGAGCCAATCAAGTTAAGGGCGGAGAGTGTCCTTGGTTGTATATCTAATAATATGTACATTGTACTAAATAAAGAATACATTTCAGCTTGATTAAAAAGTTCTCAATTGTATCACACCGATAATGATACCCTGAACACACTTATACACACACTAGACCATGCTCATAGAGCTAGGAGGGAACTCACTGTCCAGCCACTGAAGGAGACAATGTTCAGTAGAGTTAACAGTGAGTTCCACGTCTGTGCTGGTAGTCTGACTGATCTTCTGTCTCACTGTCTCGTACTCCTCCGCGCGCACCGCGTCCCCCGTCTTCTCGTACAGCGAGCTCAGCAGCTGCGCGCTCCACACCTGTAGTCCCACGTCTGGGATCCTGTTTGCGATGTCGTGCGCACTGCGCACCATCTCTATTGCGTCCCTGTTATTGTCCATCTTGAGGAAGATGTCTCCCAGCAGCACAAACGCGCAGCTCGTCAGCTTGTTGAGGTCTGCTTTGTTAGCCATGACCAGGGTCTCTCGCAGCTTACTCTTAGCGTCCTTCATGCGCCCCTCAACCAGTGCAGCTAGTCCCTGTATACAGTAACTACTCGCCTTCAGACTGTGACACTTGTTGGGCATCTTGCCAGGTTCTATTGACTCTAGTAAACTATTTAGCTGCTCGGGAGGCAGATCTTGTTTTATGTGCACTATCGCTGAGTTCAACTTTATAAACGCCACCTGTTCCGGCTCAGCAGTGTATTTGAGTGCTGCGTTGAACTGCGCCAGCGCATTATCCAGAGAGTCAGGCAGCGCCATGGCGTAGAGTCCGAGCGCAGTGTGGAGGGACGCGCGGTGGTGCTTCAGGGTGTGGTGGTGCTTCTGGTAGACAGCAGTGCACTTCTGCAGTTCCTTGATAGCACCACTAGTGCTTCCTTTGAGGAGGTGTGTGAGTACTAGCTGCTCCAAGAGTATGATCTGGTATGAGGACAGCAGACTGTCGTTATTATAGGCTGAAAATATACCGCATTTTAGATTTCAAATATACCTCAAATATACCTCACTCATCACTGTTCCATTTCAAATGTACCACGATATTAATTTACTGCTTGATCTCTAGTATTCAAAAGCTTGTCTCCTATTGAAACTATAAGTACGGTTAGAAATATTTACTTACTTCTCTGTTTGTCAATGAGGTGAAGTGCTTTCTTGGCGTAACTTTCAGCCTTGTCGGTATAGCCTTGTTGCAAAGCGTGCATCACACTTACTACATATACTAGAAGAAAGAGTTGCTGTGTGTTCATCCAATGAAACATCTCCGCTGTGTTATTCGTACTTGCAACTGAAGGATTGTCATGGTAACTCTGGGGCTGTCATGGTAACTAAGGAGTTGTTATGGTGACTGAGGAGTAGCCATGGTAATTGGTAACTGAGGGATTCAATTCATGCTCCACCGGTAGTCCCTCAGGGATTGTCATGGAATCCTAGAGTTGTTATCTTAACTGAGAGGTGGACATTGTTTTTCGTGATAACATGAAAAGTAGCATCTAGTAAAATATCAGAGCATAGTTTGGAGAGAGAAAAGAGGCTGGCATTATACTACTGAACAGTTAACTGGTTACCATGGCCACTCCTTCAGACACAGTTTAAGGGGACAATTAACGATTTACCCAACTCGTCAGTAAAATTTAATCGCATTCAGCTTAATAAATAGCAGCCGGTATAGCAGCCGGTACATAATCTGCGTGTCATGGTCTGTTACACTAGATGTTCACTAAACTATTCTGTATTGCATTACTCTGCTGGAGGGATATTTAGAGTAAGTGGGGAACTAATTGAAGGAGAACTCTGAGAGTCGTTACCATGACAACAATAAAGTACAAGTACCGTTGTTAGCGTCGAGCTGAGTGAGCTGCTTGTAGCAGGAATGTAATTGTTTGAGGCTTTGTCTAGCAGACTTGATGAGCCCCTGCCAGATGTACTCCGACACCTGAAGTATGTGGTGAAAGACCTTTAGACTCAGGATCTCCGTACTGGTCAGTGCTAGCCCGGACTGCTCAGCGTTCTCTAATATCGCTCCTACCTCCTTCAGGATCACGTCAGCTACGTCAAAGTTTCTGCAGGGGAGTTGTGCTAACCAAGACGAGTATATTTAACAGAAATCAAATGGAGTACTGCCAGTTTAGTAGGTATAATGACGTTTTGGACAAAAATCAGCGCCTCCTAACTAAGCAAGATCTGACCTCTGGACTAGAAGCGCCATGGCCTGGGACAGGGAGAAGAGGAGTCTGGTGTTCTGAGCGTTTATCCGGCCCGCGTACTCCGCTCCAGCTGCTAGGGTGGTCACTGCTGCACTTATCTTACCTGTCATATAATAAGGGTCTATATAGGGGTCTATATAGTGGTCTATATAGGGGTCTATACAGTGGTCTATATAGTGGTCTATATAGTGGTCTATATAGGGGTCTATATAGTGGTCTATGTAGCATGTATACTGTATAGATTACAAGGATACAAAAGATAGATGTCTAAATACGAGTCTATAGATTTCCATAATATAGTGATCTACATAGAAGCCTGCCCAGGAGTGTATAATGTATATCAGAGTCTATATAAGAGTCTATATAAGAGTCTATATAAGAGTCTATATAAGAGTCTATATAAGAGTCTATATAAGAGTCTATATAAGAGTCTATATAAGAGTCTATATAAGAGTCTATATAAGAGTCTATATAAGAGTCTATATAAGAGTCTATATAAGAGTCTATATAAGAGTCTATATAAGAGTCTATATAAGAGTCTATATAAGAGTATATATAAGAGTCTATATAAGAGTCTATATAAGAGTCTATATAAGAGTCTATATAAGAGTCTATATAAGAGTCTATATAAGAGTCTATATAAGAGTCTATATAAGAGTCTATATAAGAGTCTATATAAGAGTCTATATAAGAGTCTATATAAGAGTATATTGATCACATTGCCGACTACTGGACTACAGTACTTAGGTTAACATTAACATCTGGAGTATAATATGGAGTATAATATGGAGTATAATATGGAGTATAATATGGAGTAAAATATGGAGTATAATATGGAGTATAATATGGAGTATAATATGGAGTAAAATATGGAGTATAATATGGAGTATAATATGGAGTATAATATGGAGTATAATATGGAGTATAATATGGAGTATAATATGGAGTATAATATGGAGTATAATATGGAGTATAATATGGAGTAAAATATGGAGTATAATATGGAGTATAATATGGAGTATAATATGGAGTATAATATGGAGTATAATATGGAGTATAATATGGAGTATAATATGGAGTATAATATGGAGTATAATATGGAGTATAATATGGAGTATAATATGGAGTATCAAGAGTTTAAATTCCCAAATAGTCAGACTGAGCAGGTTGAGCTGTAGTAAAACACAGTACTGAGGTGTTAAAACATTTTCATTACTATCTTCAGTAACATCCTGAATCAGAAACTCGGTTAATATCAGTTCCTACAAAGTGTAACAAGGAAATGAAATGACACAACTAAAAACGATACCTATGAATATTTTTAAAAACATAACTTTTGTGCCCCAATGCAATGGAAAACCTTTAAGATAAATCCAATAATGGAATCCCAAACGGGTCCACGGCATTGAGCCCCAATGGACGTATAGTTCTTAGTTTCTGAATATAACGGTGTTCATCCACTTCTAGAGTTCTTGGGCTACTATTACTGAGAATTGACACTTTATAAGCCTGGTTGAAATTGTCACGTTGTTTCATGTTATGAACTTCTACAAGGTGTTTACCCAAGCTGAATCCGTCGTCGTTTTCTTCAGGGACAAACGTATTGTCCGAAATGAGTTTGTAGTAATGGGCGCGATGTTCGTTTACTCGTGCCCTTAGGGGCTGCACCGTTCTTCCTACATAACACATATTACAAAGTTGGCAACTGAAGATGTATACAACATTGTAGCTGACACATGTACCAGACACTGCTTTGGCTCGCTGTCCATTGACTGTTATTGATGGATGTGGAGATATGATGTTACAGGTACCGCAGTGTCTGCCCCCACATGGTCTTGTGTGAGGTTGGGTTAAGTCATCCGCAAACTGTTTTGCTTTGACTAACTTCCTTCTAAATGATGTTCCAGTACGTCTGACGAATTTGAAGATAGGGCGTGATGTACCGGCTCTAGATGATATTGGGGAGCCTGGGGTGTTTCCACTTGTATGGGAACCAGATAATCCTGAGAAGCTCCTGGTTCTACTGAGTTCTGGTTCCAATCTTTTTACCGATTCTACTAACTCTTGATCGCTGCCAAATGTTGAAATAACGCGGACTGCTGGTTCTGGAGACTTTGGGACCAGGACACTGCTGTTTGAGTTGTCCAGTGGTTTGAGGCATCTTTCAAAGCCTTTGACTTTTTCACTGATGTTATCTACCATAGTTTTAGGGTAGTTGGATTGGAAGAAAAAGGTTTTTAATTCATCAATTTGTTTTCGGAGTCTGTCGTTATCATTGATGATTCGCCGGAGTCTCAGGCATGCACTATAGACTATGCTGCTGAATGTATGGTTCGGGTGGTGGGAACCGAAGTACAGGTAAGAGCGAGCATAATATGGAGTATAATATGGAGTATAATATGGAGTATAATATGGAGTATAATATGGAGTATAATATGGAGTATTTATTTACCTAAGTCCATGTTAGCCTTTGCCAGCTGGAAACACATCTGACAGTACCAAAACTGGTAGTTGATAGCCAGTTCTATAGTGTTGTTTAACAGTTTTACCGCCTCGTTGTTCTTGTGTTTAGCCATGTAGACTGACGCCAACAAACTTGTTATCTCAAGTTTTAGCTCCTCCATCGATGTCAGGTCCTTTACTTTGGATAGCTGTGATACAGGAGCTTAGAAAAGATATGAACAAGCTGGCTTCCCGGGAATTCTCAGGATAAAGTTACTAAGTAGTAATCTGGGTAAGTTTGTCAGTACAGAATCTCCCGGTTATAATTCCGACAGTGCATGTTATATCGTTATATGTGACGTAATACGAGCATGTCTTGCTACATACCGCCTTCTTGAGGTGGTCCCTAGCGTGGTCGATGTTTTTTGTGTGTAACCACATGAGCTGAGCAATCTGGAAGCGTGTTCGCACCTAGAACAGTCAGAGGATTAGGGGCAAATGATTAGAGGAAATCAAGGGTAGTACTATCAGAAAGCTCAAGATGTGTCTGACCCATATATAAAGCTTCAGTCGAGTTAAGTGCTCACCTCGACTCTGGCAGGAGGGTTAAGCGTTAGAATAGCTTCCAGACAATGTATAGATTTCCTAATGTCAGGGTTTTTAGAAATACGGAAGTCCTCTGCAGCCCCGAGCAAGGCAAAGTACATGTTCTCGAAAGTAAGGGCTTCTGCTACGGACTCCTTCGCGGAGTCAACCACTTCCATCATATCTGCTGGTAACAACAAGTGGTCAATCAAGTGTATTATACATTTCAATAAATTTATAATTTGCTGACAGAATAATTTACTTCTCGGAGTCATGCCAATCGTATTAATAGACGCTGTTAAAGCTTCTTCTTTATGCCCGCGAAATTGCCACAATTTCAATACAGAAAGGCGAAGAAAGGAACACGCGTGCGCGGCCCAATATCACAAAATGTCAAAGAAATGAGTTAACACAGCACATCTGGTATATAATCATATAAATCGCGCGTGCCGACAAACGCGGCTTTGCGCGTTCCTGTTTTTCAAATTTCGTTATTAAAATGTTACGCAAGTCATGTGGCAATGACTCTTAGGATAGCTCTGCAATGAAACGAAGAATCTTTTACAATATATATTTTACTGGAAACAAAGTTCGGTTGATACGTTCAAATCTAGTCATATTTTAGCTTTTCACTCATTTTCACATCATTATTTTTTCATACCTTTTAAGAAATGTACAACAATATAATGATAATCGTATCATTTGCATCGTAATTGCAAGATGACATAACCTCAACTCTAATTTTTGATAAATATACATTATGAAATTAACCCGTATGTTTCTTCATCATAAAAAAGTACAATGTTGTTTGTTTGTTTGTATAAGGCCCAATACCATTTAAATACAACATTAAGTGTTTCGTTGTATTTTTAGGCGTACAAAATAGTGCAATAAAAAGCAATGTATCCTGTGCCCTACAAAAGAGTATTCAACAATTTAACCTCTATACTTAATTTACAACTCTCATCCGAGATAAAATCATAGACTTGGTGCGCATTACTGTGAAGTAAAGTTGTTGAGATCACGTGTACATCATTTCAGCCATGGAGCTCATAGGTCGTGGGATAAACAGAGCATTCTCCATGTACCCCGCCAGTTCATCTACAGTGACATCGTTAGCTTGTACACGACACCCGCGCGCGTGTTGTTGCGGCCCAGGTGTTGCTGGTGCCGAGGGTGCTGGGTCTCCGACAGTGTGGCGGCGTCGTGTGGAGCGCCGCGCTGAACGTCGCGGCGTTGTGTGCTCCTCTGTTGTGGACTCCAGGAATTGCTCTACTTGCTCTTTACGCAGTTTGGGGGAAAGACTCTGTTTACATTTCGTTATGCGTCTCCTGAGATATAGTGATGTTACTTTACTATCCATATTGACATATAAATCACATACAAAATTCTTTGTGTTAACCCAGAACACACTTGAGGGCTTTGCACTTCAATGAATACAAGTGAGGAACGTTCATTTTAGTACGTGTTTCCAGTGCAGGGTTTTTATGAGCGTTTGTAAGTCACGTGACACACACATACACATGTTTCCACCAACAAGAGTCACGTGCCGATGCTATAGAAGTCACGTGACCAATTAGCGGGCACCAGCGAACAGTTTTTCTATGACAATGGAATGTAATTTAAATTGTTTAGATGATAATGAACTGTAAAATGACTTGTAGACGTGGAGCAAGTTTCAACATTGTTTCGATACACACTAGGTTCAATAGGTAGATTCACACGGATTGTTAGTACTATTAAAATGTACATACTCCTATCTTGCAGGAAATTTACAGCCGGTAAAATGCTCTATCTGTTATCCCGGCTCTTCTACTTACTCGAACGAATCTATCAAAAATTCTATGATATGAAATCTTGTGAAGAACAAAGAACTTACCCCTTATTCTTATCGATAGCGAACACAGAGTCGGAGTTATGTCTGACTTTAGTACCGCGAGAAGTCTGTTTCTTCTTGTCTGGGGTATCATTGGGATCGGTCTCACTACCAATATCTACACAGAGTGATTCAAACGTCTGCGTTAACACTGACGTCGGCGACTCAGCCATATTCCATCCACATTCTTACTGGGAGAAAGAATTAAGTTAATACAAAACATGCTATTATAATGGTTATTAACAAAAGTATCTAAATTGCACTGCTCTTAGTCGGAGTGCTATAGCCAATTGCATTTGTGATAAATGTTATACTAAATGTTTCACTTAATTTTTAGATGCTAAATAACTTCATTGTTGCATTGAAAACGCACACAAATTTTCACACAAAAATAAGTTGTGAGACCGTTCTACCTGAAAAAAAACTAGTGTTGCTGAAAAAATCAGAATAAAATCAAAATCTTCAATAATACCAAGTTCCTTAACTACCTACCCCTGTAAGCTTTATCTTAACAATTACTTTAGAATTCAGAACTGCAATCAAATAGTGTACAGAAAACAACTGAAAATTTAATCAACCACAATCAATCAATATAATTAAGTATCTGAAGAAACTTTTTTTATTTAATTAAAAGTTAATAAGTTTTCAAGTTCTCAAACAACAAAAAACAGATTTTAATAGAATATCAAGACAAGGTCATCTTACCAACAAGTTTCATGAGTCAGTGTTACATTATTAACATAATGTGTAAGCATGACAGCTCAAACGTTATCACTCTCAGTGACCGGTCCAGAATAAGATGATAAACTACAAGTTCTCCTGTAAACGATCCTTTTTTTGTTTGTTTGCAAGATTTAGCTTAAACCATGTTTATAAATATATTTGACATAAAAATCCGCCAGGACATAGTAGCATATTAGGATCAAATTATATATTATTCTAAGAATCAATAAAGAAATCACAACATTTAAAATTCAAAATTCTTAATCATCTAATTCTGAAAGTTTGCAAAGAAATTTGTAACATGATGAATTTCTCCTGAGTCTCCTCCTTAGATTATCATTTCAATGTGAAATAAAATGTTCATAAACAGAGATTAATAGTTCTACCGTACATGCTTTGCTTTCCTTTTAAGTATGGGAGATTTCTGCTGAGGATATATCAAGTCCATTTGTACCGACTCCAAAGATTTTTTACTTTCAGTACCCATTTTCTTAGGCAGATTAGACTCACTTTTATGTGATAACAAGCCTGGCCTGGGGCTTGTATCCCGACTCCTGAACCCTCCTGTCACCTTTTGGGGCTTGGATCTCTGTCTTTTTCTAGATGAGTTAGAATCAGTAGTGTGGCTGATTTCCGGGGTGACAAAAGTAGCCTTGCTTTCACGTGGCTGATCAATTACACAATAAGATATCTGATTAACCTTGTAGGACATCCGCCACAGAAAGTAAAGCATGATGAGAAGTAGGAAGAGAATGAGATTGGTACTTGTTACTAAAGTGTTCGATTTTGATTTTGAATCTTCCATGTGTAGCAGATATGATTCAAGAGCTGTTTCAAATTTTGCAAATTTTGTTTCCAAGTTTTGCAGTCGATCTTCAAAGCGAACCATTACTTCATCAATAGTTGACAAAGTCTTTTGAAGAGGCTTAAAAGATTGGTCAACCCGTTTGTATCTGCTAGAAAGTGTTTCAAGATAATCGTTGGAAAGTGACAAGTTCTTTTCCAATTCTTTTATCTTTTTGTCCAGCTCTACAAAAATAGAGTTCTTCTTGGGACTATTCGTCATAATCACACCTTTTTCAGAAGCCCCTCCATCAGGCTTTGGTTCTGAAGTCTCAGGAACTTTTTCGATTTTTTCTTGAGGCTTGCTCTCAGCACTCTCAAGTTTAACGTCAGGTGATATTGGTTGAACAACTGCAACAACAATTTCTGGCTCCCCCTCCCCCTTCACATCTGGCTTCTTAACCTCATCATGCTTAGAAAGATCAACTGCTTCCATTATTGCTTCCCTATCAGGTGCACTGGGAGGATCCGGAGTTCCCACAGTTGGAGGGATTGAACTCACATCAGCGACATCTTCCTCTCCTTTCAGCCTCTTTTCTGGTACACCCTCATTTTTTATTTCTTTCCCCATTTCATCTACTTTTATTATAACACTTTCCTCAGTAGGTTTGACAGCTTCCTCCCCCACAGAGCTTGGTGGTGCCTCATCTTTAGAAAGAATTGTGTCGTTTTTAACAACCTCCTCTTTAACAATTTCCTCACTCTTTGATACACCCAATACATTGAGTGCACTATCAACTATATTTTTAACTGTATCTTTAGCCCCTTGAATGAGAGATTTATCAGTTGGTTCAGTATCTGGTGGATCATCAGAGTCAAGAGGCTGCTCATAGAGATCAACTTCTTCATCCTGTTGATGTTGCACTTCTTCATACTCATCCACCATACTCATTCCCAATATTTCAAATGTTGAAAGGACACAAAAATGTTCTTTACCTCGAGAAGTTATCTTCTCAAACCTCACATATTTACTGTAATCGCCATGATTTTCGATGTCAAACTTCTGAATTTGTCTACTGTTCACAGTCTCAAAGGTACCAAGGTGTTTCCATTCCTTGGGAGGATATGTTTCTGCAGTGTAAACTTTGAATTCTTTTATTGAGGAAGAAAAAAGCTCGTAGTTAGCTAACTGTAAGGCATTAATTTGAATTGTGTCACACAACTCCACAACAAACCAAATAGCCCCTTCACATGGGATCATAGCATACAGATCTTTATTATTGTTCAAGATAGTTCCACTATTTTTGAATTCTTTTTTGCTGTCAACAATTTTTGACCCACATGAATTGTCAGCATAGTTCTTTTGTATGAGCTTTGGTTTTGGTTTTTCAACGACAGAGTCATCTACATCTTCAGTTTTCCTTTTCTCCACTTTTTTTGTTTCCTTTTCTTTTTCCATTTGTTCTTCTCTAAATTCTTTGAACGATGCTAATGGAACGTCTTCATTGGTATCATCAGTTTCCAATTCTTCTGCTTCCACAGCTTCATTTCTGACTTCCTCTTCAATGATGACTTCATTATTTACTTCAGTTACACTCTCTTGGTTCTTTGATTCTAATACAACTGGATTTGCAAGCACAGGCTCATCAAGCTTCTCAGTTGCTCCATTTGGTGCCACTGCTTCATTACTGGTTTCAACTGCTTTTGATGATCCAGTATGGTGCTTTTCCTCACTTTTAATTTCAGAAGCATTTTCTTTTTGATCATCTAAGGGAATTGCAGAATTAACGTCTTCTGGAGCATGTTCACCACCAACCCTAGGAACAGTGTCATCCTGTTCTTTTTCTAAAATAACATTTACATCTGAGTCTTGAGGCTGATGCTTGGGATGCTGGAGATTTGATGGTGGTGTCTCAACAATAACTTCAGCACAGCACATATAAAACAGGCTTATAGACAACCATACAAAATGATTGAAAGGAGACATGGTGTCCTGAAGAATTGACATTAGTTAGTTTACCAGTTAATGGGAGCAAGAGTTTAAAAACTAAATTGATATCAATTAAATCATATAATTGGTCAGATTGTTTTGTACTCAAGCTACTTTAGGAAACCACAATTAATGCATCACGGTATGTGATTTTTTCATTAAAACACTCAAATCTCTTTTGAAAGACCTCACCCACTTTTAACACTGAACCTTCTCAAGATAAGGTAAATTGCAAAAATGGGATTAATAATATAGAAACAAGAATGTCTGCCATTTCAGCAAGTTCTGCAAAGGCCGACAAGGAGTCTGTAATTGATTCTGGTGACGATCATTTGTACAGTAGATGGGAGAGGAACTGAACTACCTTCAAAATATTCCTCAATTCTAAGTTTCTGCAATATTCTTTCATTGTCGATACTATTATCTAGTCGCATTATATGAGCTATTCAGTAAAACTTCATAAACAAAATCAAAGCCAATAAGAACCCAGATAGAAAATTTCCAACCTCCTTGTAGTTAGAAGCAAATAATTCAAATTTAGGTTGTTGCGTAAAATTATATATTGCCACTAGCTGGCTCATCAGTAACAATAAAGAACTTTGATCAAGCTGTCTATCCTGAACTCATAACTAACTATACCACATCTAAGAATCTCCGGAAAGTATGTTTCCAACAAAAAATGGCCGAATGCAGAAATAAGTAAAACAAAATTTAAGTAAAACAAAATTTAAATTTTATTGCCATTACAATGAATAATAATATCATAATAAATATAAGTAGACATCCGATAATAAACTTGTTACATCCAGTACAACCCAAGATGTCAGCCGACGCGACTTACTACAATAGTTTCTCCAACATCTTTAAAACTATTCTTGATCATACATGGTGATGATCAAATACTCTCTGCCAGATACTTAGAAAAAGGGATCAACCTAATCTGCAACTCAAAAGCTTTATCTTGACAAAAAATACGCAGATGCTGTTGCCTAAACGACAAAAAAACAGTGAAACAATGAAACAGACATCAGAAACAACAATCAACATCATCGTCATTAATATGTATAACACATTGATAGGGTCCCAACTTACTGTGGTCTGTGTGTATGTACTGTTTAATTAAGATAATACCATTTAAAATTCAAGCTGGTTTGATCAAAGAACGAGCACAAACAGAATATAATAAAATACCATAATAGATTTGTCCACAAATAACAGCTTGTTTCATTTAGCATTACAGCTCACTTGTTGTGTGCCGAAGGTTTTCCACCCATTTACTGCATCAAATTTTACTTGCTAAGCCATCCAACATAGTATAGCCTTAATACAACTGTTCCCTGTCTGACTTGACGTGAAAGAAGTAAAAAGAAAATGGTCGCTTTATTTCAAATTGGGGAAGGATCATTTTGGTGTTTCTGAATATTAAAAGAACTCGCGGGAACATCAAGTGCTTAACAGAAAGGATTTCAGAAAAAGAGGACAAAATTTCCATCATGTATAAATAGCTTTTATAAGAAATTAGAGAAATCGTAAGTAAAGATACGTAATATATTGAACATTCAACCTAAAATCATTTGTGTAAAATCGATCCAACATTTTTTTCTAAATGGTTAGTTTGGATCGGAAGACAGACCAGTATGATTGTATAAAAGTAGGACTTTTAGGTCTAGAAAGCACTTTACTGGGCCGCGCTCAGCCTGTCATTCCACCTAATATCTATTCATATGTTTATAAACATGATTGACGGATGTTACTAGTACTCGTCTAAATTTCTTCGAAGTAGTGCGCGCCGCTTTCTTCTCGAAATGACCGACAGCAAGTGCTACGAAGTAGCGCGCGCCGGGACAGACCATTAACAATGGTCAATGAACACGATAGCCAGATAGCCTGAGGTCCCCAGGTAAGAAAGCATTGTATCACGTGGTGACCCCCACTGTCGCTTCACTATAGTGAACCCTGTAGAGTTTCTACGATACAGGGGGAGCCGCGCACTCGTGCGCGGCGGGTCATACAACGTATGACAAAGAAAACACTATGAACGAAATAAATTTCTAATGAAGGGCGCTAAAAATATTTTTAATTTAACTTTGATTGACGATGTCAACCCTTTCAGATCGCAATGGTTGCCTTTCAAATTAAAAAACAACGATCGGATCCCGTCTTCGATGCGAAGTAAAAATGATAGTTTGCGCGGCGCGTCGAAGTCCTCCGAATTTAACTAAAAATTTACTTGTTGTCCAGTTATAATATACACAATATAGCAAAAATTGGTTATTGCACATTTAAATTTAACTAATTTAATCTTCTATTCGAAATGTTGCGCGCCGGGCTCAGGGCTAGTCCGTTATCAACGGACAATGCCGCGCATATTAAAAATTGCTTGATTGTTGATTACATTTTTACAGCATGTATCAAAGCGCTCATTGTATTATAATACACAACTGAACCGAGCCGCGCATCAAATAATGCTTCACCATTCATGATTCACACTACCTTCATATTCGAAATCTTAGCAGAGTTAAACACGGTCAGTTGTAGCCGAACGTCACCAAAACAAAAGCTAGGTCAATTTATTGAAAAGCACTTTTACGAACCATGTGATCAGATACCTGTTACAATTTGTAAATTAAATTAGAGTGAGTGTCTATTGCGACGGATTCATTATGTTTAAGAAGGGGGAACACATCTGAAACACATTTCTATTTAGCTTTGCAGCTTGAAATATGGTTACATGAGGTCCAGTGAACAGGCATTGCTTAGGTGCCCTTTCCCAATTCGGTGTTTTCCCAAATTGTCCGTCTTAGTATAATAAGGAGGTCAATAATTGAGTTGTGGCATCAGGAATTCATTTAGGATTCTTAAAAGAAAAGGTCATTCAAACAATATATATATACATTCAATTAAATCACGTGATTTTCATTTTATATTGATGTGATTTTCATTTATATTATTTTATATAGGGTTATTATGTGTATATTGTTGGAATATCTTTTTTTTTAAAAATCAAGTAATTCAATTGGCAGAGCACAATTCATAGGTAACAGAAATGGTCCATTGTTACCAATATTTTTAAAACTTGAAGCAATCAGATATATACACAAAATTTTGAAAAACATGATTTTCTCCATCACAGGGGCAGGGATGAGGTTGTATGAGACTTCTGATAGAGAGGTCTCATGTTTGCTGTCCATCTTCTTTCCTCTAGCTCTGTACCCGGCCACGTAGAGCACATTTAAGATTCAGACATGAAGACTTTTTTTGCCAAATCGAAGATCCATTGCAGATCTTGTTCCAATTCCCTTAAAGAGATTGTGTCCGATCGTTTAACGAACTTTCCGAACATTGTCACAGGAGCAATTCGATGTTTGAAGTTACCTAATTTATGTTCTGTCGGACTGAACCGGATGTTTATATCTACATGGACTGACCCTTTCACACTTATAGCTCCAAAAATGAGAGTTCTAGCTTTACAAATGACTGAGATACAAAGCATAACAAGTTTATTCATTACGTGTGATCATGTGATTGGCTTACCTGATCAGGTGACGAAGTGACTCCTTTTAATTGAGAAGGCAGCACAATTAAGGTGCTGTGTCACAAAATCACCCAATAAATTTGCTAACAAATTAAGCAATAAAAAAGTAAAGTAAAGTAAAAATTATGACATAACATCATCACTAATGTCTACAAAGTATCATCACACTACATGGAAAAATAACTATTTCTCCATCAAATTTAAAGGTAATAATTTATCAAATATTAATCATGAATAAAAACAACATTACAAAATTTAATTTATTCATACTTCCCAGTGGAGTAAAGATTTATAAAACGTTTCTTTGCTACATAAGGATGGAACCACAGATAATCATTGTGTTTTTCCTTATTACTGATATAACTGGTACCTTCAATTCTTGTTAAAACTTCTTTCGAAACATTCCAAAAATGAAAGTCATTTACAATACATTTAGAAATCATATTCTTTTTAAAATTTTCCAATCCAATTTTAAAACTCAAAACTGTCAAGCAGTTCTTCACCTCCGAAGGGAGTTTGTTCCAATAAGGAACAACCCGCTCTGGAAGAGAAGAACACTGAAGATTCTTGACCTTTGTCACACTCTTACTACATCTATTGGATGAAACCAGATTAAGACCTGATCTGCTTGGTCTGAACAAGTCTGAACCATAATCAGTCAAGCCATTAATAACCTTAAAAGCTTCAATAAGGTCCCCACGTATTCGCCGCTCTGCCAGCGTTGTCAAATTAAGGATTTCCAGTCTACGGCTGTAAGGAAGAGTACCCACCTCATCAATCAGACGGGTAAACCGCCTCTGGACGCTCTCCAGCTCCAAAACAGTCCCCCAACTTCCATGAGCCGCAACTGGATTCCACAATTGGACACAATACTCTAGATGAGGTCTTATCAAAGCTTTATAGATGGCTATCATTACACATGCAATGCATGATAACTTTGCCATTTTAAATCCGTTTTGCCTCCAGGCATTACTGATTGGCTGTGAAGAATTCTTAGTTTTTGGTCAAGTGCTAAAAATAAATATTTGACCAGGATCTATTGAAACTTTGCAGAAGGTCATGATCACAACCATGACACTCTGAATTGGCTTAATGGTAAAAAGTTTTGGTATTTTTTACCTCTGATTTAAACTTGTATTAATTCATTAGATGGCTGTCAGGACCTCCAAGTTCCGCCACATTTACGGAGACCGAAATGTGAAGTCTTACAATGGAGTGCCTATCTCAAAAAATGCTCATGAACAGGGTTTCTGTTCTGTAAACCCCAAGTTTGTTGCGGTTGTTGCAGAGCAAATAGGGGGTGGAGCTTTCTTTGTCTTGAAAACTGACAGAATTGGAGGGATTGATGCTTCTTCTTGTAAAATCAGCAAACACAACGGAGCTGTTTACGATATCAGGTAACCTAAATATTTCACTCTCTGCATTGTGGTTCAATATGATATTCCTATTAGGAGTCGTTTATGTTGAACAAACAGTTTTTATTGCAGTATTTTATACGATTGAAAGTAATAAATTAAAATTAAATTTCAAGGTGGAATCCTTTCAATGATAACCTGATTGGATCTGCATGTGACGATGGACTAGTCCGTCTTTGGAACATCACTGATGAGAAAGGAGTGGAATCAAACCACTCCCCAGTACAGACAATGAAAGGTCATGGAAAGCGAGTAGGTGGCCTCATGTGGCATCCGTCAGCTGATAACATACTGGGTAAGTGAATATCTACAATCTACATATATCACAATATTACACGTGTTACCTGAATTACCTGAATTACCTGTATTACCTGAATTACCTCCATTCCTCCCTACACTGCGAGTGAGCCAAATAAAGATAATAAGTAAAGATAATATATTGTGGCCACTACAGGAAAAAATGTGATGAGTAAAGTAATATAAGTATGTATTATAATAACTGTACTGCTAACATGAATTTTTACTGTTTAATTCAACCAGTGCCAAGATTGAGGAGAGCTCAGCCCATTTCATTGCGAGGACCTTACTAGTGAGGACCTTACTAGCAAAGGAAACCTTCGCAATTATACGGTCAATACTACCTAGAATAGTGTAACTGTAAAACTATGTAGCTTGTAGTATGTAACTAGTAGCTTGTCGGTGAACGTCATGTTTAATCGGGATTTCAGTTGTGTGGTGTATAATATTATAGTATTGGGTGTGTGTATAATATTATAGTATTGGATATTATTATATAGACAGCCCACCACAACTCCACTACTCCGTAGCTCCCCTTGCATTATGGGTTATTTGTTAACGGTTTTAATACTACCTTAAACCTTGCACCTACAGGTTAACAACATTGTTTACTTGTTACATGACCTTATATCATGTTACACTGTTATTACTTCGTAACGTGTAACATTGTGCACTATAGATATTCTTAAGTTTCATTAAGGAATTACAACACACGTAACACGGTCGTTTTCAGCGTCATCCTCCTACGACAATACCGTCAAGTTGTGGAATGCAGAAACTGCCCAGATTGTGTCGGAACTGTCGGTAAGTTGTCATGGTAACAGTAAAGTATGCATTATATACTGTTAAAATAAAGTGTTTACTATTACAGTAGACATTTTACTATTTAACAGTACAGGGTTTTTGTTAGTTGAAGTAGTGATGATAATAATGTTTTCTTCAGTCGTTCACAAACCAAATAACCGACATGTGCTTCACAACGGACGGTTCTCAAATAGGAACTACTTGTAAAGACAAGAAACTCCGCGTATTTGACTCGCATACTGGCCAGATTGTCGTCGTAAGTATAACCATTTAACTATTTATGAAGGAGCACTCCACTATACATAACCTAACTATCTTTGGGATTGTGTTCGGGTCGCCATCTTTGGGAAATTACACCAAATTAATCGTACCAATTATATTTCTCCTTCTCTGTTTGGGCGGCCACTTTTGATGTGCTGCTCACATTGTTGTCCCTAATATGATGTACCTGGCAGGAAGGGCCGGGACATGACAACATGAAGGTGTCTCGACTGAGGATGCTCAAGGACGGTAATATCCTGACTGCTGGTTTCAGTAGCATGTCCTCTAGATGTCTGCGCCTTTACGACCCGGTAACTATAGCACTTAGTAGTGTGCTTATGATTATATGGATATATCAATACACTCATTTTAATAGATTTTGTGGTAATTTTCACAATCAATACGTTACAAGAGGAGTGAGTATTCAACTGGAAATGTGATAGTTGCATAAATTTTTTCCTTTTCACCCTTTTGAAAAAAGGCAATAGTGAAAGGTTACGAATGGAGGTTTTTGCAGAAAAACGTGGATTTTGGAGATTGCAGTAGGTGGGTCTGAGTATGTCGTGTTCCTTCCGTCCGTTACCAAGCAACGAAAAAGTTGCGCGCGCGCGAGGATTGCTTGCGGAGATGTGATGTATAGATAGCCTGTGATCTATGAATGCGCGGCGCGACTGTGTTTTAATGTATATGATGCATGTAATGTATAATATTACTATTAGGTAATACGCCCAATTTGTAAGTGGCACGCGTAGTGTATTGATTTGTACACGAGTATAGTTTACCTTTGCTGATCATTTCTTGAATTACAGATACAAGTTAAGTTCTACGGCAATTGAACTGCATTTTTTCCCGTATTTGATGCATAATTTATCAATATTATTAATATTATGAAAATTGAAGTGAGCTGATTGGAGCTTATATTTAAATTTATAGTAAATGTGAAATGGAAATCTAGCGTCCGCCAAAACGAAACAACGGGCGCAATTCTTGTTAAATTATGCGTAGAATTCCTGTTTATGACATATGTCTCTTGAAAGTAATAAAAATAAGTGTTCTGAATGTTAGCTCGTTGAAACACCGTTCTAATATATAATAGAAGTTCTAAAGTTCTAGTTTGCTATAGTGGTTGATAACGATTATTCTTATTCCAGTTAATATGGGATAGAAAGTTAAGTTAGACATTGTGTTGTTGAAATTGAGTCTAAATATTATATTGGGATTTTTGAACTTTTAAACTACAAAAGTAAAATAAAATTTAATAACATTATGCCAAGTCATTAAATTTAATGAGCTAGATGTGAAATCTGCTCAATTAAAAAATGATCTATGTCTATGAGATTGGACGCGAAATACTTGAAATACTCGACAGTAACAGAGCGCAAAACCACCGCTCACTTTGTGAGGGTTCTTGTTGATAACAAATACTTGGTCCAATCATACTGCTGCAATTAGGCTAATTAGGGCAATATAGATACATTGAGTGTTAAAGCTTACAGTCTGCTTTTTATCACTGGTCTCTGATATAGGGCTGAACTAAAAAAGGATAAAACTTAGACAATGTTTAATATCTAGTCTCCATCACTGAGCTTGATATGTATTTTAAGAATAAAGATTGTTCTGGACATCTATATCACAGAAATACACCATATTTGACTAACAAGCCAGAGAAGTTTGAGAACAGCATAACATTTGAGCTAGTGATGTAAGCTATGGCTGCTATACGTGAATTATCCACTGTGTGTTATATTATATTAGTAATATTCTGTGTATGTGTTAAATATGCACTACTAATTACTCCACTTATTACCGGACATCAGGGCTCAGTAGAATGTTAATTGGGATGATAATTATTACTTATTACTGCATTAAGTTAGGGAAATATTTACTATCCACTCAGTGTGATAGTAGTGCTGAAATAATGCAATTTAGTAATCTAGTATAATATAAATCTAGCGTTCTTTACTTTTATATGTTATATTCTTTGGTTAGCTATCACGCACAAGAAAACAGATGAAATCATCTCCTACATATTCTTACGCGCTATTCCTCTTTTCCAGAAGTTACAGCAAAACTTCCTGGTCATGCTTAGTCATCTGTTAACATGACTGCACATTACACAATGCTCCATAATGTGCTCGTGTAGCAGGGTGTCAGAATTATTGGCGTGTTTGAAATTTTATGCGTATTTTATAATGACATCAATATTTGTCAACGGGTCGTAACTTTACAAGACTACACAGGAAACTGACCCTCAGAAGTCAAGTAATGGTCGTTTTTGAAAGCTTGGATAATCTAAAATTTCCTTTACTCCTTTACTCCCTCACAGACCCATACATATTTAGTGAAATCTCATTTAACCTTCTTAGTCTTCATAGCATACTTAAAAATTGATTTGATGAGGGCTTAAAGATTGTTTTTTGTCACGATATGCGAGGGATATAAAATAAAGCTAGTATGTGATCCGGGCATGGGCTTGATGAGTTAAGTAAAAGTAAACAGATAGAACACTCTTCTTATCTACTTCCTTCTATTCAATCTATTGTCTGAGTAGAGAGAGAGAGCTAAACATGAATATATTTGTCTTGTTACTGAGTAACAATAAGAAGAGTAACACACAGTATTGGGGATATTGCTAGCAGGCGCCTGTGTGAGTGTACTAACTGTGTACTGTGTGTATTGTAACACAAAGAGACGAGTAGCCTACTAACTTGTAACCTGCAATTTAGTAATAAAGTAATCAGATACGATGGATCAGATTTCACAATGAGACAAAGCAGTGCTGCGTTCACTAGTCGCCATGGTAACTGCATTACACTTCCTGTACCACACCACACCACACCACACCACACCACACCACACCACACCACACCACACAATACCACACCACACAATACCACACCACACCACACCACACCACACCACACCACACCACACCACACCACACCACACCACACCACACCACACCACACCACACCACAGTACCACACCACACCACAGTACCACACCACACCACAGTACCACACCACACCACAGTACCACACCACACCACACCACACCACAGTACCACACCACACCACAGTACCACACCACACCACACAATACCACACCACACCACACCACACCACACCACACCACACCACAGTACCATACCACACCACAGTACCACACCACACCACACCACACCACACCACACCACACCACACCACACCACACCACACCACACCACACCACACCACAGTACCACACCACACCACACCACACCACACCACAGTACCACACCACACCACACCACACCACAGTACCACACCACACCACAGTACCACACCACACCACACCACACCACACCACAGTACCACACCACACCACACCACACCACACCACACCACACCACACCACACCACACCACAGTACCACACCACACCACACCACACCACACCACACCACACCACACCACACCACACCACACCACACCACACCACACCACACCACATGTTGAATTTGAAAACAATCGTAAATTTTTTCATCAGAAAAATTCGCTGGCCAAAATGACAATTAAATACCTTCCATATGAAATATCTAGTCACAGTAATGAAATTCCTTGTACAATATCTAACGTCAAGTAGAACTAGAATTAGGTTATATTAGAGGAAGAGCAATACCAGTACGCCACTCTTGGACACAGGAGGATTCCAAACTACACACTTTAACTGAATCATGATAGAGTTGCTCTCTTTTAACCTGTTTAAGGAGTTACCATATACTTATCTCAGATCAGGATTCTTTGGACTATATAACTTAAAATATATCATATTTAAATGCAATGCATATTATATATTGGGGCTGGCAATAGTTGCCTGACTATAATTGTCAATTGATATAGCTACGTGACTTTTAACCCAATTAACTTTATCAGAGGAACATGAGCAGTAAGCTGGAAGAGTTACCGATTGACAGTGCTACTGGCAGCTTGTTTCCACACTACGACCCGGACCTCAACCTCATGTATATAGCTGGCAAGGTAAGTAATACTTAGTCAGACTAAGCTAACATATGTAGATTCACTAAGCTAACATATGTAGATTAACTAAGCTAACTTATGTAGATTAACTAAGCTAACTTATGTAGATTAACTAAGCTAACTTATGTAGATTAACTAAGCTAACTTATGTAGATTAACTAAGCTAACTTATGTAGATTAACTAAAATAACTTAAATAGACATAAACTAACCAAGGTTAGTCATTGAGCCTGACAAAAGAAAACAAACATTAACTTTGACTCATACCAGGGAGACGCAAAGTAATACTTAGTCAGACTAAGCTAACATATGTAGATTAACTAAGCTAACTTATGTAGATTAACTAAAATAACTTAAATAGACATAAACTAACCAAGGTTAGTCATTGAGCCTGACAAAAGAAAACAAACATTAACTTTGACTCATACCAGGGAGACGCAAAGTAATACTTAGTCAGACTAAGCTAACATATGTAGATTAACTAAGCTAACTTATGTAGATAAACTAAGCTAACTTATGTAGATTAACTAAGCTAACTTATGTAGATTAACTAAGCTAACTTATGTAGATTAACTAAGCGAACATATGTAGATTAACTAAGCTAACTTACCCTAACATATGTAGATTAACTAAGCTAACATATGTAGATTAACTAAGCTAACATATGTAGATTAACTAAGCTAACATATGTAGATTAACTAAGCTAACTTACCCTAACATATGTAGATTAACTAAGCTAACATATGATTTGATTTGAAACTTTTACAAAATAGCAACTTGTATACAAATGTACAGCAATTCGAACAAACATATAAAATGGGCCGAAATGTATAAATGCTAAAAAGCGTGGGTCAGTGAAACAAGTACAGAGGACAACTTTCAGAACAGAAGTTTTTTGGCCGCCCAAAGTCTCAATAACATCACCTCCACCTAGTGATAAAATTATGAAACGTGAAAAGTGTGAAACAATCAAATAATAATGTATTTATATAATATAATTGTCTCTCAAATACAGATGACGTCCGTTAACTCTTAAAATACCCCTACAAGTACATATTATACTGATCGGTGTCCGAGAAACATGAATTACGTCATCATGGTGCCTTCTTAACACGGCTACAGACCTTCCCGTTACGGATGTAGTGGTCGAGATGAGTCTGTTCAGCCCTCTTCTTCTTCAGGTCAGTTACCACGTTCTTCCTTGCTGCACGCTCTTCACTGGATCTATCAGGACAGATCCATACATCTTTGTGTGCATCAGCCATCCTCAGTCTCCCTGTTTTCATCAGAATCTGATGAACTGCTGTTGAGCTTGGGACGGTGATCTTGACTGGTCGGATAGCCGTGATACCTGGCCTCTTCCAGCCGACTCTAGTCGCTTCAAAATGAGGTTTCTCCCCGATCTCCTCCAATACTGCGGCTACCAGAGCTGGAAGCTGTTCTCCATCCTCTTCTTTCAGTCCAAACACTATCAGATTCTTGCTCCTGTCCTCCTCTGCAGCCACACTCTTCATAACATTCTTCAGAATTTTACTGTTGCAGACTGCGCCATTTGTGCTGTTCTTTTGTACAGCGGCACTGTAGCTCTTAATCCCTGTCTCCACCGTTGTTTGTACTGTCTCTTCAACTGACGTCTTAAACAACTGTAGTTGTTCGTCCTTCTGCACTAGCAACTGGTCCTGCAACCTGACCATCTTTTCCTTGTCTGCTAGTGCTTCTGTCTTGAGGCACTCAACGATTTCCATCATAGCGCTCATCTGACTACTCTGCCGTCGTACGAGGTCTGCTGCTTGCATAACCCATTCTGCCATATACCTTTTATAGATAGACGGAGACATGAGAATTTCTTGGTCCATATCTCCACGAATTTCGAAGTTTTCTAATTTCAGTAGACTTGCCATCGAAGTGAACCATCTATCAGCACAGCCCTCTACATCTTCCTTTTCTTCATAGTTGAAATCCTTGAGTTTCTTCTGAGATCGGGTCAAATGTAGATCATCCTCCGTGGTGTACATTGTATAGTAATGTACAAGTATACACACGCAAAGGCTTACTACGCGGTAGCAGCAAACTGAACTTATCGCAAAGTTACAAAAGATATGTAGATTAACTAAGCTAACATATGTAGATTAACTAAGCTAACATATGTAGATTAACTAAACTAACTTATGTAGATTAACTAAGCTAACATATGTAGATTAACTAAGCTAACATATGTAGATTAACTAAGCTAACTTATGTAGATTAACTAAGCTAACTTATGTAGATTAACTAAAATAACTTAAATAGACATAAACTAACCAAGGTTAGTCATTGAGCCTGACAAAACAAAACAAACATTAACTTTGACTCATACCAGGGAGACGCAAACATTAAGTTCTACGAGTTGGCGGGAGGAAGTGTGTTCTACCTCAACCAGTACAGTAGCGGCGATGCACAGAGGGGAATTGGCATGATGCCAAAACGAGGGCTTGACAGCACCATCAACGAAGTGGCTAGGGCTTACAAACTGAACGTCGGAAAGAAGCTGGTGAACGTGATCCCTCTGAAAGTGCCCAGACAGGTTACCATGACAACCTATATTCCACTACCGTACTCTGCCTGGGATAACTTGTTGAATATTATGCTTTATAACATTGCTTTATTATAAATTATATAATAATATATATTATTAGAATACTTTGTCACGATACTAATATGTAGCAGACGTAAGCAGGGAATCTGTGAATATTTGGGAATGTAAGGGAATGTAAGGGGAATGTAAGGAAAAATGTGGGAATATTCGAGATTATATGGGAATGTAAAGGGCATGTAGCGAGGGTTTCCATAGGAACACCCCGCCGAGTGTGTACTAGTAGCAAACGATCTGAAAGCCCTGTAAACCGCACTTCTAGCACAGATTTGTAAGCTTCACAAGAATGTTAAGTATTTGACGTCTACTATTTGCAGAGTAAAACGTTTGCGGAGGATCTCTACCCTGATACAGCAGGTTACACACCCGCACTCACTGCGGACCAGTTCATTGCCGGGGAGAACTCTGCGCCGGCTGTCCTTCCTTTCCTGGAGCTCCAGGCTGCTAACAGCACTTCCAAGGGCTTCTCTGCTTCCAACGCAGTAAGTTTACTAGTTGAATCTGGTGTTTCTGTGGAGGTTGTTTTTAAAAGAACGTTCCAAAAAGGTGAAGTTTGCGGCTTGATGATAGAATGTAATGTAATCTGAGTACATATTTTCAAATACTGAATGTAGTATGTAAATATCTACTTCACTACTTCATAATATTGGTATTATTTATTCATACCAATATTCATTCATTCATTCAATCATTCATTATACTTTTCAGAAAACTGGAAGCTAACTTGATACTGTGTATAAACAAATGTGTAAAGAGAACTCTGTAAAAGAGTGTGAACAATATCTTGAGGAAGTAATAAGTTCATATTATAATATAAGTGAATGATATAATATCTTGGGAATTATATATTCTAATATTCATTCACTCATTCATTCATTCTACTTTTCAGAGTACAGAGATCCCCTTACTAGATACTGCCTGTACTGAGCAATATGTAAGAGAGTGTGAATCATATCTGGAGACGTTAATTACATGATATTTTATACGAAAATATCTTGATTAGTTAATGATACAATATCCTGAAATAATTGTATTTTCTCTTTCAAATATGATCAAATAAAACTCATCTTGTTTCTTAAGTTTGAACTAAAAGCGAACTGTACTTTCAATGATCATTGTTGATTGTGTTTATTTTAAAGAGAAGGTTTCTAAAGCTCACACCTCTGGGGCTCTCTTCGTCTGAGTGGCTCCTTCTCTTATCACTAATCTTATTCCCATTGGCTAGATAGAAATCGTGAATTGAGTTTCTGATTTGTTGACATGGTGCGAAGTTACACACCTCTAATTATAGCTCATGTACCTTTAACCTTGATGTATTATATTATGAATTTATGACCTTTGCAGAAATTAAACATTAAATTACGTATCATCCGGTGAGGCGGTGACACAAGCTTTTTTAATTAGTCTAAAAGTGCCCCCGCAACCGGCCATAAACTCGAAATAGACCAAAGAAGTGACCTGACGATGTCAACAAATTTAGAATTTAAATGGAGCAGAAAGTAACGGTTGTCAGCAAGGTTGCAGAAAAAGATTAATAAAATTTGAATCGGTCCTGATTTTGTTATTGATGTAGGTAGGAAAAGAAATATAACGCTAGAATTATACAGAGTGGGGGTGGGGGATGGTGACGGTTTCTAGCTAAGTCTTATGATTTAATTTGACCAATCTTTGGATTCTTCTTCCGATGTAAGTTCTTGGCTTTCATTAAGAGTCTTATGTCGCAGCGTTTTTCTAGTCTTATTGTTCAGTGTCCAAGTCTATGATTCATTAATAGAACATGGTCCACGCACACTTTGAAAACCCCGACTCAGACAGGATGGGAGCTACTAGACGTCCACACTTTTTGGAGCACAATATATGATGATACCGTTACTGCTGTCAGCAATGTGGTATCCTAAGTGAGTTTTGTACGTGTTCCGGAGATCTTCCGCACGTTTGCAGATTTAATTGTTACTTTCAACTGTCTTATCAGACAGTATCTTGTTACGACAGAATATGGAAATATGGTGGACATGATAAGAGTTATCAGGCTTTGAATCCATGGGTTTCTCTTTAGAAACACTCCTGGAGATATTTAAAAGAGTAGTAGTGAATTATAGGATTCCTGCAAACTCGCGTCAAGTCATATTCGCGTTTTTTTTTGCATTTTCAACCCAAATTTGGTAATTTCAGCACAAGTAAATCTAACGGGTTTGCTATATCTACAGATGCGAGCTTATAGCAATAGATTGCCTAGACTATTGCTATGTTGCTATGTGTTGCTATAGCTATGTGAGGAATCTTGTTATTTACTGACGTCACGTGTACACTATCACATTCTCATGTAGAATAGGGGGAATTAATAGCTGGGGGAGTTGATGCACGTAGCAGTGTGTAACATCCCTCTACTGTAAACACAGATAGGGGAGGTGATGCACGTAGCAGTGTGTAACATTCCTCTACTGTAAACACAGATAGGGGAGGTGATGCACGTAGCAGTGTGTAACATCCCTTTACTGTAAACACAGATAGGGGGAGGTGATGCACGTAGCAGTGTGTAACATTCCTCTACTGCTAGCACAGATAGGGGAGGTGATGCACGTAGCAGTGTGTAACATTCCTCTACTGCTAGCACAGATAGGGGAGGTGATGCACGTAGCAGTGTGTAACATTCCTCTACTGCTAGCACAGATAGGGGAGGTGATGCACGTAGCAGTGTGTAACATTCCTCTACTGTAAACACAGATAGGGGAGGTAATGCACGTAGCAGTGTGTAACATTCCTCTACTGCTAGCACAGATAGGGGAGGTGATGCACGTAGCAGTGTGTAACATTCCTCTATTGTAAACACAGATAGGGGGAGGTGATGCACGTAGCAGTGTGTAACATCCCTCTACTGTAAACACAGATAGGGGGAGGTGATGCACGTAGCAGTGTGTAACATTCCTCTACTGCTAGCACAGATATGGGAGGTGATGCACGTAGCAGTGTGTAACATTCCTCTACTGCTAGCACAGATAGGGGAGGTAATGCACGTAGCAGTGTGTAACATTCCTCTACTGTAAGCACAGATAGGGGGAGGTGATGCACGTAGCAGTGTGTAACATTCCTCTACTGCTAGCACAAATAGGGGAGGTGATGCACGTAGCAGTGTGTAACATTCCTCTACTGTAAACACAGATAGGGGGAGGTGATGCACGTAGCAGTGTGTAACATCCCTCTACTGTAAACACAGATAGGGGAGGTGATGCACGTAGCAGTGTGTAACATTCCTCTACTGTAAACACAGATAGGGGGAGGTGATGCACGTAGCAGTGTGTAACATCCCTCTACTGCTAGCACAGATAGGGGAGGTGATGCACGAAGCAGTGTGTAACATTCCTCTACTGTAAACACAGATAGGGGAGGTGATGCACGTAGCAGTGTGTAACATCCCTCTATTGTAAACACAGATAGGGGGAGGTGATGCACGTAGCAGTGTGTAACATTCCTCTACTGCTAGCACAGATGGGGGAGGTGATGCACGTAGCAGTGCGTAACATTCCGCTACTGTAAACACAGATGGGGGAGGTGATGCACGTAGCAGTGTGTAACATTCCGCTACTGTAAACACAGATAGGGGGAGGTGATGCACGTAGCAGTGTGTAACATTCCGCTACTGTAAACACAGATAGGGGGAGGTGATGCACGTAGCAGTGTGTAACATTCCTCTACTGCTAGCACAGATAGGGAAGGTGATGCACGTAGCAGTGTGTAACATTCCGCTACTGTAAACACAGATAGGGGGAGGTGATGCACGTAGCAGTGCGTAACATTCCGCTACTGTAAACACAGATAGGGGGAGGTGATGCACGTAGCAGTGTGTAACATTCCTCTACTGTAAACACAGATAAAGGGAAGTGATGCACGTAGCAGTGTGTAACATCCCTCTACTGTAAACACAGATGGGGGAGGTGATGCACGTAGCAGTGTGTAACATTCCTCTACTGCTAGCACAGATAGGGAAGGTGATGCACGTAGCAGTGTGTAACATTCCGCTACTGTAAACACAGATAGGGGGAGGTGATGCACGTAGCAGTGCGTAACATTCCGCTATTGTAAACACAGATAGGGGGAGGTGATGCACGTAGCAGTGTGTAACATTCCTCTACTGTAAACACAGATAAAGGGAAGTGATGCACGTAGCAGTGTGTAACATCCCTCTACTGTAAACACAGATGGGGGAGGTGAAGCACGTAGCAGTGTGTAACATTCCTCTACTGCTAGCACAGATAGGGGGAGGTGATGCACGAAGCAGTGCGTAACATTCCTCTACTGCTAGCACAGATGGGGGAGGTGATGCACCGTGTGTGATCTACACACTACACATCCTGGGCTCATTATCTGGGTATATAGTGTGTGCAACATAATACACATTATCTTACCTGCAGTTATATCCCCTGAAAGGTGTCATGTGTCCAGTGTAATATTGTTATGGGAAGTGGGGACAGGTTATTAGTAAGTCAATACTGTCCAGGTGACAGCACCCAGACCGACCTGGTCCCTGACCGTCTGTTAAACCAGGTTCAAATTAGGAAATAAGTTTATCTCTGCAATGTTCAGGGAAACAACATGTAGTAATGTAGATTTTTTCTTCATTAGTTCTATTGAAGAGCAACAAAGAAAATTTAATGAAAAAAAGGCTAATGCCAAGCAATAGCATCATGGTGGAATGGATGTGGGCTCTCTTTCTAGTGATTGTGACCTGTATGGGACGGTCGTGAGGTTTTAGGGACAACAAGTTAAGGGGTAGAAAGTCTTGTAATAGTTAGTTAACTTAGATTTTGATCTAATCGTTTCCTGAATATATTAAATCTGGAGACTGGCGGGGAGGTTAACCATATAATTGTTGACACTTGACACTTGACATCGACTAACCAATCACCTTTCACCACTTAAAGATTAAATCCAAAGTCACCGTCATGTGTCAAAATTAGTATGATTCCCCTGGCCCTCCCACCAGATCAATTGGCCGGGTGATTCACACTCACAAGGGCACGGAAATCGTCGCCATTTCATTTTAAAACGCCCCCCTGGGGAGTAGAAATATTTGTCACCTTAGTCGTGGCGCGGCCAAATGATTGACGGTGACGCGCACGACAGTTCTTTCTCTGTGCGTGTAGTTTTACGGACAACATTAGATTAAATTATTGTTTAGTGTTATAGTGGACGGACGATGTAATTATGATATAATTATGATGTAATTGTGAAGTAATTGTGATGTAATTGTGATCAACATAAATGTTTTCAGACAAATGGAATAGACAACTCAAAAGAGGTTGCCACACTCAAAGCAGAGATATCGGCGCTAAAGAACACCGTGAATGAGAAGATGACTACAATCGAGACAAAGACGTCAAGAATTGAGGAGCTAGAGGAAGAGAACCGGAAACTTGAGGAGCAGCTGAGCTCTGCTAATGAGGAGGTTAGTTGATCTGTAGCCAGGAAGACTTTGTTAATTCGACATGTAGCTATAAGCTAGGAGTAGGGTAGATCAACATGTGAATATAAAACTCATCCTGTGGCAAAGACAAACCTACTCGTTTAAAGTGATCTGTAAATAAGAAAAATATGACCGGTCACTCAGGGCGTCTGGTTACCCTTTACTCTTCACAATAATCCCCTAAATATAACTAGTATTAACTCCTGAAAATTGCCATGTTTAGAAATTGAGGCTAATATGCAGCCTTGGTAACGGTCAAAATACCTCTCAAAATCTACCTGAACCAAGATCCATACCAAGACCTATTCTTAAAACAACTGTGAGAACAACTAGGGTTCAACGTTTGGTAAGCGCTGAGAAGGCTAATTTTAGCTACACAACTTATAAAGCTAACTTCAACTATAAAAACTTATAAAGCTTACTTTAGCTATAACAATTTATAAAGCTAACTTCAACTATAACAATTCTTAAAGCTAACTTAGCTAAATCAACTTATAAAGCTAACTCTATTTACAACCACAACAATGCTAACTTAAGCAATAACCACATTAAAGCTAACTTCAACTATTATATAACCTAGGCTATCCATTATCGGTATGAAATCTTTTATCTAGATAAACAGATAAAAATTTAGGTTTTATCTAGATAAAACCGATAAAACCGATAATTTTTCTGCTGAAGGCCAAAGCCAAAATGTCTTCCAAATTTCACAAAAACTAATTATCGACTTTTATCACTGTTGACCAGTAATCTTGATAAAGTACAACACCAACGGTTTCCTTCTCCTGAGAACAGTAACGCACTAGTTCTCTTCAAAACAGTAGACCACCGGTTTCCTTTTCCTGAGAACAGTAACGCACTAGTTCTCTTCAAAACAGTAGATCACCGGTTTCCTTCTCCTAAAAACAGTAGTGTACCAGTTCTCTTCAAAACAGTAGACCAAGGGTTTCCTTCTCCTGAGAACAGTAAGTAGTAACGCACTAGTTCTCTTCAAAACAGTACACCAACGGTTTCCTTCTCCTGAGAACAGTAACGCACTAGTTCTCTTCAAAACAGTAGACCACCGGTTTCCTTTTCCTGAGAACAGTAACGCACTAGTTCTCTTCAAAACAGTAGATCACCGGTTTCCTTCTCCTAAAAACAGTAGTGTACCAGTTCTCTTCAAAACAGTAGACCAAGGGTTTCCTTCTCCTGAGAACAGTAAGTAGTAACGCACTAGTTCTCTTCAAAAAAGTACACCAACGGTTTCCTTCTCCTGAGAACAGTAACGCACTAGTTCTCTTCAAAACAGTAGACCACCGGTTTCCTTCTCCTGAGAACAGTAACACACTAGTTCTCTTCAAAACATTAGACCACCGGTTTCCTTCTCCTGAGAACAGTAGTGCACCAGTTCTCTTCAAAATAGTAGACAAAGGGTTTCCTTCTCCTGAGAACAGTAGTGTACTACCAGTTCTCTTCAAAACAGTACACCAACGGTTTCCTTCTCCTGAGAACAGTAACGCACTAGTTCTCTTCAAAACATTAGACCCCCGGTTTCCTTCTCCTGAGAACAGTAACGCACTAGTTCTCTTCAAAACATTAGACCAGCGGTTTCCTTCTCCTGAGAACAGTAGTGCAACAAATACCAATTCTCCTCGAAACAGTAAAGCATTGAAAGTGATTCAGTGAATTGTTTCCTTATCCTGTGGAAAACTTGGAGCAACAGATTCCTTCTCCTGAAGACAATGTTTCACGCATAGAACACTTACGGAATTTAATTCAGTGCCCTGCCGGTATTTTTGACTCTAGTTAACAGTAACATGCTCGTTCCTGTCTCCAGAATGGTTGTAAGGTAGAACGCCAGTACCCTAGCCTCAAGATAACAATGTCAATAACTTTCTCTAGACTTCTACAGTTCTACAGTTCTACAGTTCCATAGGTATACAAATGTAAATAAACCTCTTAAGCTCACATTTAAGTAAACTACCTCTTCTATCATACTATAAAACGTTTGGGACTGTTTTTTGGATTACTTGGGAAGGCAAAAACACTAATATTTCTTTAAAATTTTACGGTATTGTGGCAGTTTTTTCGGTAATTTCTAGTGAATTTTTATACCGATAAAAATATGTTTTATCTAGATAAACAGATAACCTTTTTTAACGAATTATCGGAGATAATTATCGGTAACGATTATCGGAGTGGATAGCCTAATATAACCGCAATTAAATAAAGCGAAATTTAGCTATATTAATTAAGGTAAATTCAGTTTTCACTGCACACGAAGTAACAATTAAAATAACCATTAGTTCTTCCTCCTTATTAATTTATTAATCTTCTCCAAAATGTGTAACATCATTTTGGCTTTCAAACCCTCTTGCAACTGTCAGATAGCGGAATTATACCATATTGGCCAGTAGATTTATTATACAAAATGACAGGCTTTTATACTTGATACTTAAGTCAAGAAATAAATGTCAAATATTGTGAAGTAAAGCAATATAATTGGAACATCTCCCCCTCCCCTTAAATTTCTGAAGAACGTACTATTTAAAAATTGAATCTTCTATGAAGCTACTACAATGAACTTTTGACATTTAATCATTTGTTTTAGGGAAATATTAGACTTGGGCTTTGTGTTTTACTATCCCTTGTTTAGAACTTTTAATTAATAAGTTACTATAATGACTTAAAGTAGTGTGTTAATATGATTAAACAGACTAAACTGATATAACACTTTGTTTCAGATTGCAGAACTGCAAAGGAACGGAGTAGAAGACGACAACTAAATTCCAGTTACTTAGTAACTAGACTCTAGTAACTAAGTAACTAGACTCTAGTTATTGAAGTGCCGAAAGATATGGTGACAAGATAGTTAGAATAACTCTACTATTATACTGCACTAGAAGTTGGATTCGGTGACTTGAACGGTGTGACTCTCGGGCCTGGCTTATAATTTAGAAGCCTTTATATCCTATACTGTACTATTCTGTAGCCCTATATCAATATCCTACACTGTGCAATACTGATCTTACTTTTACTTACTGTTAACAATGTAGCGTGTGATTACTTTCATTTTTGCCCTTTACTATGAATATTCTTATAGTGCGCTACTCAACTCACAATAGCAATCTACTCTTTTTATTTTCTCGTGATTGGTAGCCATTATTCTTTAGTGTAACAATAGTGTTAATCATAATAGCTATGGTGTTAGAATATTAGCCGTCATGTTACCACGATAACCGTTCTTTTACCATAGTAGCCATTGTGTTACCATACTAGCCGTGATGTTACCATAGTAACCGTGGTGTTACCATAGTAACCGTGGTGTTACCATAGGAACCGTGGTGTCACCATAGGAACCGTGGTGTTACTATAGGAACCGTGGTGTTACCATAGTTATCGTGGTGTTACAATACTAGCCGTGATGTTACCATAGGAACCGTGGTGTTACCATAGTAACCGTGGTGTTACCATAGTTATCGTGGTGTTACCATAGTTATCGTGGTGTTACCATAGTAGCCATTGTGTTACCATAGTAACTGTGGTGTTACCATAGTAACCGTGGTGTTACCATAGTAACTGTGGTGTTACCATAGTTATCGTGGTGTTACAATAGTTATCGTGGTGTTACCATAGTAGCCATTGTGTTACCATAGTAACTGTGGTGTTACCATAGTAACCGTGGTGTTACCATAGTAACTGTGGTGTTACCATAGTTATCGTGGTGTTACCATAGTTATCGTGGTGTTACCATAGTTATCGTGGTGTTACCATAGTTATCGTGGTGTTACCATAGTTTTCGTGGTGTTACCATAGTAGCCATTGTGTTACCATAGTAACCGTGGTGTTACCACCTGAAGCAAAGACGTCTGGTGGTTGCCCGTCACGCTTTGTACGCGGCGTAAGTTTGTTGTTTTTTGCAATTCAATTTGAATTCAGCTGTACTTTGAGGTACACTTATGCCGCGCAGCGATTGCATGTCTACGCAAGAGGAAATAACATCTCGGTTACCATGGTAACAGTAACATCACTGCGAAAATCTTTATCTGTTTATTTAAATCTGAGTGTATAATTAGTATTCATATTAACTGTCTAAGTAGCTGCAAGTTGGATTCATGTGAATATTAAGGACTGATAACTTCGGGGATTGTATCAATAAGGGTCGTGGATCTTAGTTTTTTCCAAAATAATTTATAGATATTTGTAAAGTTCTTCAGCGAGTGAATTGAGTTTAGATTAACAAGTTCTGGAGCATCAATTTCTAAATGTAAAGTTCTGGAATAAGATTCATCTGACCCAATTTTAATATCGTTTTTTCCCAATTTTAAATTTCTATATAGGATTTAGGAAAAGTATGCCACAGTCATTTATTGGCTAATTTTGCTAAGAGATGTATGGTTTAAGTGTAATTCAAAATCACGTTGTTTATATTTTATTAAGCTTTGTTTTAATTAATTGATTGAGTGAATCTGAATCGGATTGATCATTATCAATATTGACAAACATTATGATTATTGTTAGTATGATTTTTATGTTTTTTGGATTTCGACTAATAATTTCAAATAACTGTTTACCTTGTCACTCGTGTATCTCCCCCGTACGCGCACCATGCACCGAGTGCATGATCATAAGGGTATGCAAGTAATCTATAATTCGGTATATTTTGGACGCTGATTCCGAATCGACCCCCATGACGTAGGGTAGTCGTAGATCATGACGTAGGGTAGAAACGCTTCCCTGGAGAGTTATGGGCAAGAAACTGTTTTGGTATGGTCTTCTTCTTCGTACATCGTACTCGTAGGGGCTGTGGCCATCATCACTACACACTATAAAATAGAGCACTGTTTTTGGTCACGTGACAGGCTAGTTAAACACGAATTCGATTTTTTAGGCTCTGGTTGTGGTTTGTCATACGTTGTATGACCCGCCGCGCACGAAGTGCGCGGCTCCCCCTGTATCGTCGAAGACAGTGGGGGTCACCACGTGATACAAGTTGTGGTTAGGGTTATGCATTATAATAGCTCTGGGGTTATATTGTGTATGGTTAGGATCGGATTGGCGTTTAATAAACGGTTTATGTCATGTAAAACCATTAGTTGTACTTGTAGGTTTAATATAGACTACCAAGACACGCGTCGCGTCGAGTTGGCATGGAAGAAATATTTTACGAGTATCAGTATCGACACCTTGCTTTATTATATCCAAAGCCCTCCCGGCGGTAAAAACTTTACTATACCTGTGAAACAAGCGCGCCCGTTGATTGACGGTGTCAACCCTTCCAGATCGTTGCTCTGTGAAGCAGAGCATGCAACGATCTCTCGACGCGAAGCAACGGTCTCGATAATGCGAAGCAAGAATGCTTATTAACCATTGTTAATGGTCTGGCCCGGCACTTGACCATTGTTTGTCATACGTTGTATGACCCGCCGCGCGCGACTCCCACTGTGAAACGACCATGGGGGTCACAACTTGATTCACGATGTCAATCCTTCGCATCTCGCCGATCTGCATACGATCTGTGGTTGCGAGAAGCATTATTTGATGCGCGCGCGACCCAGTAGTGCATCGCGCTACAAGGTCACAACGTGATACAAACCATTGTTAATGATCTGGCCCGGCGCGCGCTACTTCGTAGCACGTGCCAATCGGGCCACATTTCGAGAAGAAAGCGGCGCGCGCTACTTCGAAGAAATTTAGACGAGTAACGACCGTCAAGCCCGGCGCGCGCTACTTCGAAGAAATTTAGACGATTAACATCCGTAAACAAGAATGCTAGTTTGCGCGGCGCGTCGAAGTCCTCGAAGCACAGGTCCGTATTGCCGGATTTAAGTTATGGAAAAGCCAGCGGTCAGCTATCGGATTATAGCGGATATATATCGGAAACTAGCGGAAGATGGCGTGCGCCTAGCGCATAGCGGAGACTTGATTCACGATGTCAATCCTTCGCATCTCGCCGATCTGCATACGGTTGCGAGAAGCATTATTTGATGCGCGCGCGACCCAGTAGTGCATCGCGCTACAAAGCGGAGACGCGCTAAAATATATTGCCGCTAGGTCCGCTAGTTTTTCCGTAACTTAAATCTGCGAAATCGGCTATATACGGACCTTTGGAAGCGCGCCCGCAGCGCCAAAGCACATGGTTAGGTGAAAGTATCACCCGTTAAGTATTTCTTCGAGTAAAATTCTACTCGAATTTCTTCGAGTAGCGCTAAGCGCGCCGATTTCTTCTCGAAGTAGCGCACGCCGTTATCTTGACTATTGTTAAACTTAATGGTCTGGCCCGGCGCGCGCTACTTCGAAGAAATTTATACTAGTAACTAGTGAAGTCAATCCCGATGTCGGGAATTCCCGATCCCGGTATTTCCCGACCATTTTTGACCTGAAATTTTTTTATTTCCCGAATTTCGGGAAATTTTATGCAATGTGATTTTAATAATTTTAGCGCCTAGATTAGCTTGATAATGCTCGAATATTCGATGCTCACGCTGGGTAATAAATGATCATGATATAACACTCATCGAAAAGACAAATAAAATACCACTGAAGACCCTGACTCGGCAGAGTTGACTGCTTTGACTGCTCGACGATGAAGATTCAAGATATAGATAATGACTCAGAATCAAAGACAAAAGAGCGATGAACAATGAACAACCTGAGGCGGATCATGAAATATATCTTTTCACGAGCTAACGTCTTTGATAGAATCCTCTCCATTGAAATTAAGTCCAAAAATTCTAATCAAAATTGCAATTACTTGGCCGCGCTCAGCCTGTCATTCCGCCTAATCTCTATTTTGTTTACCAACATTAAAGCCTGGGGTCCTCAGGTAAAATTGCAATTGACACTCTATATACTGCTCCAAGTACACTTTTATTAAACTCGTAGTCGAACTCCAGGATTGGTACCATTTGTTTTAACAAACTTTTATTGTTCGAGAATCCCGATTTCCGGGAAATTCCCGATTTTCGGGAATCCGGGAAATTTTTCCCGATTTTCGGGAATCCCGGGATTTATTTCGGTCGGGATTCCCGAATCCCGGGATTTAAAAATGAGATCGGGAATGACTTCACTACTAGTAACATCCGTCAAGCCGTTCTCTGGCTCGCCAATCCCTATGCGCGGCGCTCTTTTCAAGCTCCCTGAACATGGGAGGAGCTTACTGGGCCGCGATCAGCCTGTCATTCCGCCGAATCTCTATGTTTATGAACATAATAGCCTGAGGTCCCCAGATAAGGAAGGAGCGAGCAATAGGATAGCAAGCTCGGTATTAACGGGTGATACTCGTAAAATAGTTGTTCAGCATTAGCTATAGTAACGGATTCAGCTTTGCAGACGACACAAAGCTGATTGGGGCTATCCGAGGAATGAGTAGTGTGGAGTTACTGCAAGATGATCTCAACATAGTCATCGAGTGGTCACGTGTTAACAACATGGAGCTACACGAACAGAAGTTTGAGGTTGTAAACTACCCCCTGAATGGATCAAAAGCTCTAAGAGAGCTCCCGTTCTACCCAGAGACTGTTGAGTATACTACACCAAAAGGACACGCAATATCACCACAGGAAACTGTCAGAGACCTTGGAGTGTATGTTAGCAGCAGTAGGTCATGGGGTCCTCACATTGAGAAGACAGTTCAAGGAGCTAGAAAAATGGCGGCTTGGACATTGAGTGCCTTTAGAGACCGGTCACAAGTAGTCATGCTGACTTTATACAAAAGCATGGTTCGCTCCAAGCTAGAGTACTGCTGTCCAGTCTGGAACCCTACAAAAGTCACAGAGATACAAAAGCTGGAGACTGTACAGAGATCCTTTACTAGAAAGATATCTGGCTGCCGTGATCTCCAGTACTGGGACAGGCTGAAGAAGCTTAAGTTGATGTCCCTTCAGAGGCGGAGAGAGCGTTATTCTATTATTCATGTATGGAAAATTCTTAATGAACATGCTCCGAACGATACGGGCTTCGAGTTCAAGTCTCATCAAAGGCATGGTATTAAGGCAGAGATCCCAGCCATGAACAAAAACGCACAGTTGTCGGTAAGAACAGATTACGACAACAGCTTTAGAGTTAGAGCAGCTCAGCTCTTCAACGTGCTCCCATCGGAGCTCCGGAGTATCACATTGCTAGACAGTTTCAAAGTTGGTCTAGGCAGATTTATGGAACAGTACCCAGACACACCACCGGTTCCGGGATACACTCCGACAAACGATAACTCAATGCTGAGCTGGAGGAGGACGCACTCGATGCAGTTGTCCTGAGCACGCCCTGCCAAACTCACCAAAACGTACCAAAACGTACCAAATGTTCATTTTAGAAGACTGTTAATTAGCAGAGCAAATTGCAAATATTACTATTAGAAGACTGTCGACGAGTCCAACTCGTCTCGCGTCTTGGTAGGTTATATAAACACAAAACAATAAGCCTACATGCTAGGTAACGCGTGCCGGGTCAGTCCATTAACAATGGACAAGTTAATTATCACCCTTGAAATATCAATATATATTCATATACACTTTGTTGAGGTATCCAAATACGTTAAAAATCATTACATCAGTAAACCAAGAAAACCATTTTCACAAAATAAAACTCTCAATATTTGTCGTATTTGAAGGACAAAAGTAACGCAGTCAGATTTTGATCGATCTATTTATGTGGCTTCGAATGAATTATATAGAACTATTAAAAAGTGGCCAGATATTATCAAACAGGTGTTTCTCCCATGATAAGCGGCCAGGAGAAGAGTGATTTGAAGCGAGCTGACAGAACACGAAACTCTTCACTATTAAGTAGAGGTTCGGGTAGAATAGCTTGTTGGTGGGGACGCACACCTGAAATGTGAAAATTTAAAAATGAGTATAACTGATACCAGTCGTTAACTGTCTCATTCAGAATTCTGAAGAGATTTTAATGAATACTGAAATTATAATATCGGGCTAATATAAACTGAAAATAGCATGTTTGATAGTAATAATAACCCTGATGACTGTGCAGTGTGCATGTAACCCTGGTTACTTAACATTGTATGGTAACTTCAGTAATCAGTAACCATTAACCGTGGTAACAGTAACCATGGTAACAATGTCCTTAGTAAATCAGTAACAGTAACCCTGATAACTCACCAGCTTGTTCCTGTAGGTTGGGGAGGTGATCCACGAGGAGGTTTCTAAAAGCTGATAAAGTAGTAGAGGAAGGAGGAGTATAATACATTTTGAACTCAGCGTCGTTTCCCACCTCGAACGCCTGAACAGTTTCAGTGGTAATTTCATCATTTATCTAATACGTTTTTGTGTCCCCCCCCCCCTCAATATTAAAATGTTTTGCCCTCATATTCAGCAAGACTGCTTTTTAAGCAGAGGGCACTCATAAGTGTCAAAAATTAGCTATGAAAATAAGATAAACTTTGTAGTTGGCGCTACCTACCTTCTTGTAGATGCTTCCGGCGTTTGAGCGCAGTAAATTGTGGACGCTGTGATTTGAGTCAGTATTTTTGTTTCTAATGAGGGGGAGGAAATGAGGAGGATCCTCCTCTACCTCCTCTCCCGTCAGCTCTTGTACCCTTCTCTTCAGCTCTGTCTTATAAAGTGCAGTTCTGCCGTGTATTTTACAACGTTCTAGTATCTCCTCTATCTTAACCTTCTCCTCGGCTCCAGGTAACATGTCTCCTAGCTCCTCTTGTAAAGCTTTAGTCAGGTATCTCTTGGGGCGAAGGAGCTCGTTCATAACAGTGCGCTCCCAGGGCAGGTGTATTCTCTTGCATGAGCCGTTTAACAACTTCTGAATTCTATCCCAGCGTCTGAACAGAACAGGGGCCGTATATTTGAGTTGGAAATCTTTTCTGATAGCCGCCCAGCTCTTAGCCCCGTGTTTCTTTATTAGACTCATGAGAAGGAAGGTCTCCTCTACACTCCAGTGCTTAGCCCCACCATTACTCCCTGACTTATCCTTAGCAGTCAGTATTCGCACTCTTTCCCTCACCTGGGCTCTGGTCCGGTGTGACTGAACGTCCTTTATTTTCTGCCAATCAAACCCATGCTCTGATACAATGTTCATGACCTCCTCATCCTCCTCGTTAGTCCACTTCCCCCTCCTGATCTGTGGTCGGAGGGAGTATCGCCACCTCTGCAAACATTGGTCACTGTTTTTATCCCCCATGTAATACGACAAATCCGAAAAGGAGGACTCTCCGTAGATCATGACAGCGTCAGTAATGTGCTTATCATCGCTGACATTCCAGCTTGTGAACTGTCTCTTCCTGACCTTGATGTGTCGCTGTAAACACTGCCAGCCCTTTCTACCTGTTTTAAGAGACGAGGCTATTAGTCCCCAGGAGTTTGTACCATGCTGACTAACCAGCTGCTCTAACATTTTGTCTTCTTTAGCGGTCCACTCCCCCTTCTTAACACGTGGGGAGAGGTAGTTGTTCCACTGATTGGCACAGTCTGCACCTGATCTGATTGCAGAGAGGGAGGACATGGACTGTACCACCTCCTGCCAGTGGAGGGGTGACCAGGAGTCTATATCTACTGATGAGAACAGCTCCTCTGGAGGACTGCTCTGTAACTGTTCATGGTACAGCTCCAGGTCCCCCTCCTCTCTCCCTCTCTTACCCCCACACATGACATCACTCATCTTCTCCTCTATCACTGAGCTCCTCAAACACTCCAATAAGTTGTTACGATCGTTCTTACCCCACCCAGACTCGTACATAAACACCTGAAATATGAGTGCATATTATAAACAAGCAACATTTCCTTTCTGCAAACTCACCACTCAGCGGTAAATCAGGGTTTTACTATCTAGGATATATATATCCTGGTACCTAGGGGCTAGGATATAGAACTTGGTATGTAAGATAATAATATGAAACCTGCTGGCTGCTATCTAAGATATGTAACCTGGTATCTAAGATATGTAACCTGGTATCTAAGATATGTAACATGGTATCTAAGATATGTAACATGGTATCTAAGATATGTAACCTGGTATCTCGGATTATTAGCTAGATTGAGCTGGTCTGCGTTCAAACGAGGTCCTATTTTGTAGTAGTTGGAGAAATAAGGGGCCTTGAAGCGCTGTAGGGAGATAATCTTTGAGTTGAGAGCTCTTGAGCGGCTGTCTTTATCCAGCAAACCTTGTGAAACAAGGAACAAGTGATCCTCCTCCTCTCCCATCTGCTTCTGCGAAAAAGGAAAGTTATATATCTTTGAAATTACGTTATCATCTCCATCGTTCTCTCATTATCTTCTATAAGTTTACATTCACAGTTCCTACAGGAATACATGGTTCCATATAATTAAGTTAGTTTGGTGACAGTATTTTACCTAAAACTGGCAGTGTTCGCAGAGTATCGAATTACAAGCGTTCTTACACCTGAGGTTGTTCTCATGTCTATTACTACCATTTGTGGGGAGGCCGTCCTTTTATTACCCTTAACATCTGGTCGTTAATTTGTAGGTTAGGACACCTGGTAATCTAGTACAGTTTATGTTTCATTTTGAATAGGGAGGGGGCCGACTTAATCAAATTAGAAGTGGAATGGGACACCCAATTAACGAAGACTAAATTTGAAATGAATCAGTTTGAATTTCAACTTTCCGAGATTCGAAGTTTTTCAGTAGTTGTCATTCTGTAACACTCGCGTGATTTTTAGTTTTTCCCAACTTGTGCCTGTTCTGCCTATAAATTTATCTTACAAATAGTGTGATAACATTTCAATACCCATGCCGTTATTCCCCTTTATTATAGTGGTGATAAAGCTGTCATCCTGTTTACATACGCTGCGGAATATTTTCATCCTAAAACCGAAATAAAAGCTCAGAGTTTTAGAACTAGCAAAATAATGGGGTACTATACAATATAGGGAACATAGCAGCCCAATTATTATTATAGTCTGATTTGTTACCATTCAGATATCTTATGTAAACAAAGGACGGGGAGTTAACGACATCGATATGGCACATGATAGCTGTTCTGGAGCAATCGGTCAACTGAAGAACTCAACCAAGAGACGTCGTCAAGACAAGTCTTTAGAATGTAATCACTGTGATTATCGAACTGAGTACAACGCTACTCTCCAAGCTCATATACGAACTCACACCGGAGAAAGACCTTATGAGTGCGAAAAGTGTGATTATCGCGCGGTCCAGAAATCTCAGTTGAATGTACATATGCTGTCTCACTCAGCAGTTAGACCTTACAAGTGTGATTTGTGTGATTATGCTTCTGCATACAAAGCTAAAGTAAAATTACACAAACTAACTCACTCTGATGAGCGACCCTTTAAGTGTGACTTGTGTGACTTCTCAGCAAAACTGCCAGGTACTCTTAGAGGCCATATGAGGACGCATACTGGAGAGAAACCTTTCCGATGTGAAAAATGTGATTATTCAGCGAACAGAAAGGACATGTTGAGATCCCACGAGCTCACACATAGTATAGAAAGACCTTTCAAATGTGATATGTGTGATTATGCTGCTACTCAAAAACAAGCTTTAAATTCACACAAACAGACTCATACAGGTGAACGACCCTACAAGTGTGATTTGTGCGATTTTGCAACGACCCAGAGCAGTCACCTCACAATACACAGGAGGACTCACACAGGGGACAAGCCGTATGAATGTGACGAATGTGACTATAAAGCAGTCCACAAAGGATCTCTGGTGGAACATAAACGAACTCACAGTGATGTTCGTCAACATGAGTGTGATCAATGCGAATTCCGAACCAAACGGAAAGGTTCTTTGAAAATCCACAAGCTGTTTCATAGCAGTGAAAGAAATTGGAATTGTGATGAGTGTGACCACATGGTTAAGTCACGTGCTCAGTTGAATGCTCACAAACTAACCCACTCTACGGAGAAATCCTTTTTATGCCCAAAATCACAATGTGACTTTAAAACGACTGTTAAGAGGTATCTAACGGCGCATATGGCTAAGCGACATTCGGAAAAAACTGAGAGTCCTAAGGCTAAGCCGTTCAAATGTACCAAATGCGAGTTCATGTTTAGAACCAAGACACAATTGACAGTACATGAAAAAAGTCACACAGCAGAAAAACTATGGGATTGTGATGAATGTGATTACGCTTCAAGAACTGAAGGACAATTGGAGGCTCACAAAGGTACTCACACTGGTGAAATACCCTACTCATGTCTTCAGTGCGATTACACAGCGGACACTAAGCAAACTCTACGAACACACATTAGGAAACACTCAGAAGAAAAACACTCAAAGAAAAGATATTTACAATGTGAATACTGTGAGTACAAGGCTCGCCAGAAAAACACTCTCACAAATCATGTGAAGAAGATCCACGAGACACCGCAAGAAAGAAACCTTGAGAACGATTGTTATGAGGACAAAGAACAAGACATAAAAAGAAGAGAAGAGAAGAAAAGGAAAGTGAATTACAACACAGAGACTGACACAATATCAGTCTAGGAACTGACTGAGCATCATATCAGTCATCAGTGACTAAGTTCCTCCCAGCTATTAGAAAAACATACCTCTCTACAAAGATACCCACCACGGACAAATGATTGATGATTCTTTAATTTAACCAATGTTGTTCTCGGTTATTATCTTTATCCATTAGTATTAGATTGAAACTAATTCTGGCTCCATGATTTCTTTATTTGTTTATGTCACTAATCAAGACATCTAATTGGGCCGTGAATGCTTCTGCGAAAAAGGAAAGTTATTTATCTTTGAAATTAGGTAATCATTTCCATAGTTCTTTCATTATCTTCTTTAAGTTAACATTCACAGTTCCTACAGGAAAACATGGTTAATGCATATAATTAAGTTAGTTTGGTAACAGTATTTTACTTAATGGTCTGCCCACACTACGCCATGTGGTGACGAGCCACATGGCGTGGGTCAAAAGGCACAGTGTGTTTAGAGCTCCCGCCACTAGTCACAGGATTCACACAACGAGGCGCGTAGTGCGTTTAGAGCTCCCGCCAGTTGGCGTGGAAACTCTCGGGGAATAGGGGCACAGATTTTAAAAATCCGTGCCTCTATTCCCCTTGCTAAATCCACGCCAAGTGGCACAGTGTGTTTAGATAGACGGGCCACATGGCGGGAGCTCTAAACACATTGTGCCTTTTGACCCACGCCATATGGCCCGTCACAACATGGCGTAGTGTGGGCAGACCCTAAAACTGGCAGTGTTCGCAGAGTATCGTATTACAATTAGTGTTCTCGCACCTGAAGTTGTTCTCATGTATATTACTACCATTTGTGGAGAGGCCGTCCTTTTATAATTTATTACCCTTAACATCTGGTCGTTAATTTGTAGGTTAGGACACCTGGTAATCTAGTACAGTTTATGTTTCATTTTGAATAGGGAGAGGGCCGACTTAATCAAATAAGAAGTGGAACGGGACACCCAACTAACGAAGACTAAATTTGAAATGAATCAGTTTGAATTGCAACTTTCCGAGATTCGAAGTTTTCCAGTAGTTGTAATTTTGTAATACTCGCGTGATTTTTAGTTTTTCCCAACTTGTGCCTGTTCTGCCTATAAATTTATCTTACAAATAGTGTGATAACATTTCATTACCCATGTCGCTATTACCCTTTATTATAGCGGTGATAAAGCTGTCATCCTGTTTACATACGCTGCGGAATATTTTCATCCTAAAACCGAAATAAAAGCTCAGAGTTAAATTAGAACTAGCTTTATAATGGGGTACTGTACAATAAAGGGAACATTGCAGCCCAATTATTATTATAGTATGATTTGTTACCATTCAGATACCTTATGTAAACAAAGGACGGGGAGTTAACGGCATCGATATGGCACATGATAGCGGTTCTGGAACAATCGGTCAACTGAAGAACTCAACCAAGAGACGTCATCAAGACAAGTCTTTAGAATGTAATCACTGTGATTATCGAACTAATTCCAACGCTGATCTCCAAGCTCATATACGAACTCACACCGGAGAGAGACCTTATGAGTGCGAAAAGTGTGATTATCGCGCGGTCCAGAAATCTCAGTTGAATGTACATATGCTGTCTCACTCAGCAGTTAGACCTTACAAATGTGATTTGTGTGATTATGCTTCTGCACACAAAGCTTCAGTAAAATCACACAAACTAACTCACTCTGATGAGCGACCCTATAAGTGTGACTTGTGTGATTACTCAGCAAAACGGCCAGGTACTCTTAGAGGCCATATGAGGACGCATACCGGAGAGAAACCTTTTCAATGTGAAAAATGTGATTATTCAGCGAACAGAAAGGACATTTTGAGAGACCACGAGCTCACACATAGTAAAGCAAGACCCTTCAAATGTGATCTGTGTGATTATGCTGCTACTCAAAAACAAGCTTTAAATTCACACAAACGGACTCACACAGGTGAACGACCCTACAAGTGTGACTTGTGTGATTTTGCAACGACCCAGAGCAGTCACCTCACAATACACAGGAGAGCTCACACAGGGGACAAGCCGTATGAATGTGACGAATGTGACTATAAAGCAGTCGACAAAGGAGCTCTGGTGGAACATAAACTAACCCACAGCGATGTTCGTCAACATGAGTGTGATCAATGCGAATTCCGAACCAAACGGAAAGGTTCTTTGAAAATCCACAAGCTGTTTCATAGCAGTGAAAGAAATTGGAATTGTGATGAGTGTGGTCACATGTTTAAGTCACGTGCTCAGTTGAATGCTCACAAACTAACCCACTCTACGGAGAAATCCTTTTTATGCTCAAAATCACAATGTGACTATAAAACGACTGTTAAGAGGTATCTAACAGGCGCATATGGCTAAGCGACATTCGGAAAAAACTGAGAAGCCGAAGGCTAAGCCGTTCAAATGTACCAAATGCGAGCTTCATGTTTAGAACCAAGACACAATTGACAGTACATGAAAAAACTCACACTGCAGAAAAACTATGGGATTGTGATGAATGTGATTACGCTTCAAGAACTGAAGGAAAATTGACGGCTCACAAAGATACTCACACTGGTGAAATACCCTACTCATGTCTTCAGTGCGATTACACAGCGGACACTAAGCAAACTCTCCGAACACACAGCAGAAAACACTCAGAAGAAAAACACTCAAAGAAAAGATATTTACAATGTGAATACTGTGAGTACAAGGCTCGCCAGAAAGACACTCTCGCAAATCATGTTAAGAAGATCCACGAGACACCGCAGGAAAGAAACTTTGAGGACGATTGTTCTGAGGACAAAGAACAAGACATAAAAAGAAGAGAAGATAAGAAAAGGAAAGTGAATTACAACACAGAGACTGACACAATATCAGTCTAGGAACTGACTGAGCATCATATCAGTCATCAGTGACTAAGTTCCTCCCAGCTGTTAGAAAAACATATCTCTCTTCAAAGATAGCCACCACGGACAAATGATTGATGATTCTTTAATTTTACCGATGTTGTTCTCGGTTATCATCTTTATCTACCCTATCTATCAGTATAAGATTGAAACTAATTCTGGCTCCAAGACTACTTTATTTGTATATATTGTCACTAATCAAGACATCTTATTGGGCCGTGATTGATAAAGTGTAAAATAGCTGTAAAATATGTGTTAAACTAACGTTACTGTTGTCGTGGTGCGGGAGAAATAATGTTTTCGGCATATTGGCGTCGTAAAACTGCTAGGTACGTGTAATTAAGGATTTTTTAGGGCGTTGACCTTAATTTTATGCAACTATATATTCCTGTAGTAAGGTAGTTACTTCATTATCTTTAGATACCTATTTGTATCTATAGTTACCTGTTTGTCTCTATTTTTGTGGAGTCGTCTCTATAGTTACCTGCTTGTCTCTAATTTTGTGGAGTCGTCTCTATAGTTACCTGCTTGTCTCTATTTTTGTGGAGTCGTTTCTCCACCTCTCCGTTAAGTTTTGAGATAAAGTCCTGATACTGAAGGTTCATCTCCAGGACATCATACAGCCGCTCCACATCCACCTGTGTATCAGAGTCTACAAACTGGTTCATTCCTTTGAAATAGTCCTCCTCTTCCTCCTCCGCCTCTTCCACTGGGTCATTTAACTGAAGAATGTGTTACCTTATCAGTGATACAGATAACTGAGGCATGTATAATTTAGGTCTTGTAAATTACAGCTGATACGTTAACGTCCCTGACTAGTGCTCTAGTGACTAGTAATAACGTCCCTGACTAGTGCTCTAGTGACTAGTAATAACGTCCCTGACTAGTGCTCTAGTGACTAGTAATAACGTCCCTGACTAGTGCTCTAGTGCTCTAGTGACTAGTAATAACGTCCCTGACTAGTGCTCTAGTGACTAGTAATAACGTCCCTGACTAGTGCTCTAGTGACTAGTAATAACGTCCCTGACTAGTGCTCTAGTGACTAGTAATAACGTCCCTGACTAGTGCTCTAGTGACTAGTAATAACGTCCCTGACAAGAGCAGATAACCAGAGCAGCAATGTTTAGAACGTGAGATACTGAGATATAAACTGACCAGTTCTGAGGTCTGTACGTTGAACTGTTCGTACTCCCCGTTACCCTCCTCCCCCTCCGGCACATCCTTCTTCTGGAGAACTCTGTCTATTTGAAGGAGGAGTGCTTCATGGTCTCGCAGCAGAGACGCTAAATCAGGAATATCTCCTTCAGTCGGGTCCAGAGACGCTAAATCAGTCATTTCTTCCTCGGTGGTGCCTATCGTACTGGTATTTCCAGTCAATGTGTGGTCAGGTTCACTTTCTCTTTCTAGTGATTTAGAGTTGCTAGTTTTACTTTCTGTTTCTCCCTTTGGTGAGTTAGAGTTGCTAATTTTACTCTTTGTTTCGTCATTTAATGATCTGGAATTGATGATTAAACTTTCTGGTTCTTTCTTTAACGAACTGGAATTGCTTATTTCACTTTCTGTAACTACTCTTGATGTAGTATTAGACACAACTTGTTCAACTACTGTGTCATCCTGAAAAATACGGGTTAATTAGGAGGTTTGGGGGTATTCAACCAATTGACACATAGTGGGGACTGGGCGGGGGGGGGGGGGGGGGGGCGGGGTTCTCAGTAAATCAGTTGCATAATTCCAACTATTGTCTAAATGAGATTTGTTAATAGTAACCATAGTTACTAGTAACCTAGTTACCATAGTTACCTGAACTATGTCTCCCTCCTCCTCCTCCTCTTCCACCTCTAATAATACCGAGGTGAGACGAGCCAAGTCAGCCTCTACATCAGCAAGAAACTGCTCGTGAGACGACATATCACTAGCGGAGAATAATTTATTAAAATATGGTTCATTTTTCGAACAAATCAAACAACAAACGACTTAATTTTCTGTAATATTTGTTTTTCAGTAAGAGAAGCAATAAACATTCGTTGTACAACAAAAATATTTATAAAAAATGTTAAAGTTTATAATACAGTAATTTTGATATGTACGGAGAAATAATATAATAAAGGTCATATTTAAATATTCTGATGTTACAAAACTAAAATAAAAATTGGTAAATAAAACTGAAGCAAATTGTCTTGGAACTGAATTAATTGAGTGTGACGTGGGTGTGATCAGAGACGGGAGTGTGATCAGAGCTGCCATGGTAACTAGAGTTCAGCTCACTGGAATGTGTGAGACTTCGACTGTTTCCAGTCAGGATGGAGGACTCACTGTTCTCACCTGAAACAATACTCACTATTTAACATGGACACCACATATTGGTTGAGCTGGGATTTATATAATACAATACGTCATGTTATTTACATTAATAGGACAGTCATTTTCAAAAGGTGTTTATGCTGAAACTACAGACCTGACAAGACTTTAGCGTATTCCTGGAAAAGCTGGAAAAGACTGTTAGCTAAAACGGGCCCAAAGTCGTCTAGACTGAGTATCTTAGCCAGCTGTCCCTTCCAGACTTCAGCAGATTCGGAGCTAGAGGTGTTGTTAACTTTAGTAGAGCTCATGATGTCGTGGAAGTCAGCCTCGCTCAGTTGGAGGAGAGAGGAGGAGAGGTGTTTTGCTCGGTTATACTCAACACTACTCAAACTGCTGGCTACTGTCCTTCTGTCTTTCTCCTGTACACACAAATATTAAATAACCAGGTAACCAGGTAACCAGGTAACCAGGTAACCAGGTAACCAGGTTACACTACTAATTATACTCAACACTACTCAAACTGCTGGCTACTGTCCTTCTGTCTTTCTCCTGTACACACAAATATTAAATAAAACAGTCGCAATATAGTTACACAACACTATTAGAACGGTATGAAATTACGCCTTTATCAGATCTCACAGTATTGTTTTTTTTATTGAAATCTTTCAAATCAGTCAATTACATACAAGTTTACACAATGAATTAGTTAAATATAATATTGTCCTCTAAGCATGGATTGTCAGAGTTGAAATTGTCTCGGACAAATGTATGTAACCAAAGGACCTGAGGGTCACCAAAACACAGATATTGAGTGCAAATGCAGCTCCTGCACAAGCATGGGCCCTTAATGTTTACCTGCTTTATCTTGTCCACTATTTTCCCTATTGCTTGTCGTATGCACTTCTCCCACTCCATAGTTCTCTTGCTCAAAACAGTAAGTTTCTTGTTCAGGACGTTTTCCACCGTACAGAACTCTCTCCCCTGATCCTCCAGCTGGCGGGATGCCATCACCTGGAATTCAACACGTCAGCAACTTCACTTATACTAGTAGCACGTTACCATGGTTACAGACTATTTGAGTGGTATCGTCATTGCAGACAGGACGTGGTTACACGTTACCATGGTTACACGTTACGATAAGCGTTACAAACCTGAACTTCAGATATTAGTTTATCCTGTCCGTCAAGTTTCCTGGTCAGTCCTCTCAGCTCCCTAGTTTTATTATCCAGTTCAGCTTTACTTTCAGCGCTACGAGCTGTCGCTTGTTCTAGGTTAATCTTAGCATTGCTCAGCTGGGACTTTAGTGTATCTATGTAGTTCTTCCTGTTGTCTGATACCTGTCACATATGGAGTGATTAAATGGTTACACGTTACCATGGTTACATTTCGAAGAACGCTACGCAAAATTTAAAATCACAAAGATTTACTGTTCTCCTTTAATTTTATAAACAAACCTCCTGAATTTTCTTGAGTCGTTTGGTAAGTTCCTCAGTCTTGTTGCTGTGTTGCTGAGTTGAGGATCTAACTGTAGCTAATTCTTGTCGAATGAGATCGTTATCAGATCTCTGTTGTTTTACTATCTTCTCGCTTCTCAATAACTTCTCTTCTAATTTTGCAACTTTAAGACTCTTATCCTCTGCTTCTTTCTCCATATCTACACAGAAATAATTAAGGGGGTAAAGAAGTGAACATTTGAGGAACATCTGAGGCACAAGGTGGAAATTTATATGGCCATGGGCATATCTGGGGTGCATTAGGAAGAACAGTAAAACTAATTCTCTCTCATCATTTATATTGTTAGTATTAGTATTCGTCTTGGGCAAAAGTGATTTTACCATGATAATCATGCTAACACTCTGCTACCCCGTTATCATGCTAACACTCTGTTACCAAGATAAGTATATACTATACAAGTAAGTATACACTATACATTATACACTATACATTATACATTATACATTATACAATTATCTCACCTGACAAGTTAGAGTTAATTTTTGATATCTGTGAAGATAACAGATTGTTGTGGTGATTTAGTTTTCTGATCTCCACAGTCTTTTCTTGTAAAGTAGCCAGTTCACTTTGCCGCAGCCCACTTCTCTCAATCTCCTGCATCTGCAACAATCTCAATTATAAGCGGCTTATAACTAATATGCTACAAACGCAGTATTCGAGCCTTATAAGGCTTGATTAGAGGCTAGGTGCCAGGTGGTTAGTGCAGAAAGTTCAGGGTTCAAATCCCAGTGTCACCTAGTCTAGGGAGTAGCCAGGGGTGTAGGAATGATTTTCTTCATGGGGGGGCCAAATTCTAAATATTTTTTGGCGCTTCGCGCCACAGCCTAAATTCGTTTGCGTTTTGCGCCAAAGCCTGAATTTCGAAGGTAAGGACAAAAGGAAATTGCAGCATGTGCGGTATCGGGATTTTTCACGTTTTTTCAGTTCTCTGCTTCAAATTGCGCATTTTCCTTTAAATCTGAGGACCAAATTCGCGTATTTTCCTTTAAATCTGTGGGCCAAATATCACGTTTTCTATAATTTAGTAATTAGTATATGAAACCAATCAGTATCACATACACAACCTTCCGAATGTAGGTACGGACCTTAAAAAACCGAAAAATATATTTTCGGCTCATAATGATCAGGGTAGCACTAGCATGAAACAAGAACAAAAGTAGTTTCCAGAAAAACTTTCCAGAAAAACTTTGAAAAATTTTTACTTAGAAAATTTTCGGTCCGAGTCATCCTCGATACGTACCTCTGAAAGCAGAGCTCCCGCTTCCGAGCTCGTATTGCGAAGCGGAGGCCTGCCTTCCGAGAGCGCATTACAAAGGGAAACCCTCGAGTCCAAAATCGTATATCGAACTTCGAAAACCGAAAAATATATTTTTGGCTCAGAATGATCAGGGTAGCATGAAACATGAACAAAAGTAGTTTCCAAGAAAACGTTTAAAATTGTTGACTTAGAAAATTTTTGAAAATTTTCGGGGGAAAAAAAAATTTTAGAAACCTAAATTAAAAAGTTAGCCCTTTTTGGCCCCTTGCCCAGATTTCATGGGGGGGCGATGGCCCCCCCTGCCCCCCCGCTTCCTACACCCCTGGGAGTAGCTCAGTTTGGTTACCTGGTCTCGTAGATTCTGTGTCTCCTGATTGGCTGCCCTCACGTCCTCGTTTAGTCCTGTCACGAGGTGCTGAGAAGAGGAAAGTTGCCGGAGTGCAGTGGATAGTTGGGACTCTAATCGCTCTACTTTGCCTGCCTCCTCAGCCATCTCCTGGTTATTGTTACCATGGTTATTGAGGCATATCCTGACCTTTGTTTCTATGGTTACTGGAGCATTTCCAGTATATTGTTACAAAAAGCTACTTTGTAAGCATGAAAACATACCTTGGAATGTCTATTTTTAGCCTTGGTAAGCACGGCTACTTGTTGATTAAGAGAAGCCAGTCTAATCTTGAGAGCAGCTGGAGCTTTCTGCAGAACCTTTACAGGGGGGCGGGTTATTGTCTGACAACCTATAGTTTTAGTGCACACAGCTCTCTTAGTAGTCTTGTTACGCGCTGTATTACTAGGTTTGGTGGGACAGGAGGGGGCTATATTCTCCTGATTAGCAACTGTGTTGTACTGCTCTGCTGTGTTACCATGGTTACCAACTGTTAACTTGTTCAGAAGAGTCAGGGTGTTGGAGAAATTATCACTGTTACCATGGTTACTGTTATCTTTCACCTGATAATATTGATAAAACAAATATTTAATTGAGATTAATCAAAATATTAACAGATATTACCAATGATTACATAGCTCGAGTGAAAGATGCTGAAATAAAGCCCTCCTATCGGCTCTCACCTGTATAATATTATCAGTAACAGTCCCAACAGAAGCTGTTATCTGAACACTAGTCTGAGTGGAAGAGTCCTCAAAATCACATACACAATCTTCCAGCGTTGAGACTCTGGAGTGCGCGGCTTTTAACGCTGATATCAGCTTTATGTTCTCCGAGTTTAAAGCTTCCGTTCGTTCTGATAGTTCTTCTATCTGTGTGTGTTTTATAAATCAGTACAGACGGGTGATCATGGTAAGACAAAGTGGAGTTGTCATCGTAACAGAATAATAGTCATGATAAACGATTAGTATACGCTTAAAGGCTCCTAAAAGTAAATATCCGTGTTAACAGTTAACTGCATGAAGCAGCACTAAATATTAATCATTGATGGGAGGGGATGTGCACTGACAGTAACACGGTGTGCACTGACAGTAACACGGTGTGCACTGACAGTAACACGGTGTGCACTGACAGTAACACGGTGTGCACTGACAGTAACACGGTGTGCACTGACAGTAACACGGTGTGCACTGACAGTAACACGGTGTGCACTGACAGTAACACGGTGTGCACTGACAGTAACACGGTGTGCACTGACAGTAACACGGTGTGCACTGACAGTAACACGGTGTGCACTGACAGTAACACGGTGTGCACTGACAGTAACACGGTGTGCACTGACAGTAACACGGTGTGCACTGACAGTAACACGGTGTGCACTGACAGTAACACGGTGTGCACTGACAGTAACACGGTGTGCACTGACAGTAACACGGTGTGCACTGACAGTAACACGGTGTGCACTGACAGTAACACGGTGTGCACTGACAGTAACACGGTGTGCACTGACAGTAACACGGTGTGCACTGACAGTAACACGGTGTGCACTGACAGTAACACGGTGTGTACTGACAGTAACACGGTGTGCACTGACAGTAACACGGTGTGCACTGACAGTAACACGGTGTGCACTGACAGTAACACGGTGTGCACTGACAGTAACACGGTGTGCACTGACAGTAACACGGTGTGCACTGACAGTAACACGGTGTGCACTGACAGTAACACGGTGTGCAACTGACAGTAACACGGTGTGCACTGACAGTAACACGGTGTGCACTGACAGTAACACGGTGTGCACTGACAGTAACACGGTGTGCACTGACAGTAACACGGTGTGCACTGACAGTAACACGGTGTGCACTGACAGTAACACGGTGTGCACTGACAGTAACACGGTGTGTACTGACAGTAACACGGTGTGCACTGACAGTAACACGGTGTGCACTGACAGTAACACGGTGTGCACTGACAGTAACACGGTGTGCACTGACAGTAACACGGTGTGCACTGACAGTAACACGGTGCTTGTTACAATTGTAACGTACCTTATCACGGTGTATCTCGAGTTGTAGGTTACACCCGCAAATGGACTGATGATTAGCAACACGTAACTTTCTCTCGCATTCCTGTTGGTCAGCCAATACTGCTGCTTTCATTTCTGAAACAGTACAACATATTCTAAATTTCCTTAGGTTAAATTATTATCAATTTCGCCATTTCTCGGTCCTGTTACTGATACAGTAATGTGTGCTTCAGGCTAGGCTGTATCAAATTTATTGTGCTGTGTTGAATATTTTGACTGCTAGAATTAATCTGTGAACATGTTTTAAAGGAGGAAAAGATGCCATTTTAATATGTGACCTGACTCATAGAAACAACTTGCTGGCCATTTTCTGTGACTGGGTGCTCAAAATGTAACATAAGGCTACAAGGAAGAGGCTTAGCAAAGAAATGTCTTTTAATGTGTTAGTGTACAATATACATAGATATGAAATATGTATCTAACACAAGAAAGTAGTTTAGAATGTTGTAGCTAAAGAAGATCGTAGCAGAAATGATGTGATCTATGGTCTCAAGATGCAGGAATGGATCTGAATGATACTTGTGAAATGTTTGGAAAATGGTTGAAAAGTCACGCTTTGAAGCTGCTCGAGATGGGAATAAATCTGCTAAAAAAGAAATTAGACCTGTCAAAGTATCATTAGGAAGTCATTAGATTTTGTTCAAAGCTCAAACTCAGGCTGTCACAGCGATATAAAACTGAGTTTATTTCACCGGATCGGTCACCTGAAGAGCGAGCAATACACAAACAGAACTATTTCTTGATTTGAAGGAAAAGGTCTAGGAGAGCCCGAATATATTGTATTTTATCAGAAGTGGTAGAATATGTGAAAGTAGTGCAAGCCTTAACCACTAATCAGGGCCTCAATGACATTGGTGTTAAAATCAAACTTTCGTTTTACCATTAAAAGTGTTGATGTCCAAGACCCGCTGTAACTTGAGTTGATCTAGTTCTTCTTGCCGCCTATCTAACTCTCGTTTCAACTTGGAACAACCCGTCTTATAGTGAGCCAGATCCGCCCAAACCTGAAAATAAGGAAAATAACATACCCAGGAACTGTACTTATGACTGAGAAGTGAGAGGAGAGGTGGTGAAAATAACTACACTTACTGTGGAACTGTCCTCATGTCTGAGGGGTTGGGGGTTGTGGTGAAGTTCCCTAAAGTCACAGCTCAGATCCTTCCATCTGTCTTTGTCTAGAGCCTTCACTTCGTCCAGCACTTCGCTGATAGATATGTGTCATAGTTACTGGTTGTCATGGTTACTGGTTGTTAACACTCCAACTGAAGTACTGGATACTAGTATCGGGCAGAACGGGCAACTAAAGTTAAGCTGTGACTCCGTCATACAAAAATTAAGGCCATGATCTCACCTCAAGTGCTCTTGCAGATTACTCATTCGCTCTAATCGGTTGTCGTGAACTTCTTGAAGTTTTGCCAGTCCCACACTTTTCTCCTGACAGTTAATCTGCAGCTGCTTGATCAGCTTGGAGGAGCGTTCCAAGTCTTCATTACAGGCTGCAACATCGCCCAGTATTATATCTACCTGTATTTGTAAGATAGTAGCCATTCAGCTGCCCATTATTCCAGTCAAGCTATCATGAGTCATATTAAAACGAGAAACAACATATAATGAAAATAATAAATACAAATTTGGTAATATCCAATTAATTAATTAATTAGTAATTACCACATCAGGGATGTCCTGTGAAGCGAGAGGTCTGGTGAGATAAGAAGCACACTTGTCTCTTACAAGTGACAGAAGTTCCAGACCCTTCTCCCCCTCTCTCAGCTCCCTCTCCTTGATCTGTAACGCTGCTTTCAGGTCACTACATCCCTCACACCCCGCTCTTTTCAACTTTAAACATTCCTCTCTGAGGGTTAAATCTCGTCAGTATCTCCACTCATTATCAGGTTATCATGGTAATCAACTTAAACCACCATAATATGTTAGTTACTTACTGTCGTGATTCAGTAAGCTGAATGAGAGATGAATAATATGTTAGTTACTGTCACAAAACAAGAAACTAGCCTGATATCCTGCTCCTGTTTGACCAGCTCAGTAACACGTTCCTCTAGTTGAGCTATAGTGTCGTGAAGGAGCTCCAGAGAAGAGCGATGTTTCTCCTCCTTTTGGTGTGCTGTCTGCTCTCTTACCAGCCCCTCCTGTTCAGTTTCCCTCAGTGCCTTGTCACTCTGAGGTTATTATGAGTTAGTTCACCAAGTCTAGAACCTCGTGCTCCAGGACCTGTATCTTAACCTCACTCTGGAGTTGATGTCTAAAAAGGGTTAACATTACCTTCTCCAGAGCTCTAAGAGCACCAGCAGCGTCTGCCTCAGTGAGCTGGAGCTGTTGTCTGAGTAGAGCTGATTCCTCTTTCCTCTGAGCGAGGTTCTCCTTCAACTCGGAGATTATCAGTTTGTGAGACTCCGTCTCTACATGTTTAGACTCCAACACATTCTTTAGATTACAGTTCTCCTCGACCTGCTCCTCGTGTCTCCTCTGCAAACAAGCGCAGTAAGTCTCGGCACAAAGGGAAAGCTAACTCACTAACCAAATGTTTGTCTTGCTATTAGTATTACTATTACTCTTCTAGCAACACTTACTTTGAGCGAGTCCATCTGTGAAACACATGATTTCAGATCAGTACGCATGTTAAGTAACTGTTTTTCAAGACTACTTTTCTTCTGGTCCAGCTTCTCTGCCAACACTTCTCTCTCCTGAGCGAGCACAATACTTAATGCAATAGTAAGATACTTAATGTCAGCAGTATGGTTGCATAATGCACGATGACTGGAGATCTTGTGTGTTAAAAAAGCGAATGAAATAAAATCATACTGCCAGATAAGATAACAACAATTAAGATTAAAGTAAGGTTGCCAATGTGTTAACCTGTTTGGCAGGATCAAAGATCTGCAGGTTTTTAACAGCGATCTGCTCCTCAAGTTCACTAATAAGCTCGTTCAGATCATCCTGCTTTTCCTCCCACTCCTTTTTCAACCTCACTGCCTCCTCTCGCTCCTGCTCTAGCGAGCCGCTCAACCAAGACACCTATGTGATACATATTATAGAGGTAAAACCTAGGGGGAGTATAGAGTTAACATATTGAAGGACAGAATATCTGGGATCAGAGGGACGGAGTCGGGAGTACATAATATAGAGATTATACCATATATATGGTTGAATGTTAACTGGGTACCTCTTGAGTAAGGGAGGCTATGTGAGCATCTTTATCTTGAAGTATTTGTAGAATATTGTTATCTTTATCTTCATTCTGTTGGGCTACTCTATCCAGCACCGTGTTTACTATCAATCCAATGTCTGCATGCTCCGATTGTACCTGTGATAAGATGAATATTACAAGCTGCTAATTATTATACCGCTCATACTCTTAGTATTACAACTCCTAACTTCACAAAAACACGACGCTGTAGCAGCCGTTCTTCGCCAGGCTGCTCCTCATATTTATTTAAATGCGGAAACAGTGCGCTAGATAGTCACTGAACTTGCTATTAGGTCATTTGGGTTGGGAAAATTTAGTGTATACCCACTTAAACCAAACCTGGGTTTGAAATACTACTATAATAATAACTGTTACTCTAACATTACCTGTCTCCAGAGAGTTTTAACAAAGTTCCTATCCTCCTGGGACTCCTTTAGTTCCACCTCTAACTGAGTAACTCTCCTAACATACGACTCACATTGTCTACACGGCGACATGACAAGTACTCTACACTTAGTCAGACATCAAGCTACAGAGTTAGAGTTTTATTTGGGAACAATGTCGATAACAAAATCCTCGGAACCAGAATATAACTTTAGTCTGAAAATTTGAATTTAAGAGAAATCAGTGATTTAGCAAGCAACTAAACGTGTTTACATGTTGCACATATAAAACATTGAAAAAGCAACGAAATCAAACTATAAATACGTCATCCATTGTTCATAAATTAGTAAACAGAGTGAGGGCCAAAATTCACTGTCTAAAATAATGTCCGCACACATGCCTTTACAAATTAATAAACGCGCGCGCGGTCCGTGCCAGTCAACTTGCTGAAATTGGCACTTTCCTAGGAGATGTTGCATCGCGCCGTACCAAATTTAACAAACCAAATTGTAACTGCCCGAATAACTGTCAGAGAATGTCTACTGAACAACAAATGCAGATGGTAAATCAGAACACTAAAACTCTAAGTGTTGTCAGTTTCAATTGGCCCTGGTACCACTTTCTCTTACATGAAGTACCTGCTCGTGCATTTCATTGGTGCTGTAAGCTGATTGCTTTAAAAACCAAGTGGAACCTTCGAAAGCGAAGACTGCTGCCAAATAAACAATACAAAATTTCCAATTTAACTGACAGTTTCAAACCCCATGTGGATCCGTCCAGTTACCCAATCAGTTCTGACTTATTAATTATTCAATTGTCATTTCGCCCCCTCACTGGTCCTGTGTTTCTTCTTTGAAGGAGTCAGGAGACTCTTTCTTCTGTTCTTCTAAAGATTCAGGAGCCGGCAGAGTTCCCACATACTGAAAATAAGGAAATATCAACAGGTTTTATAAAATGTTTTGTTAAGATGTAGTATAGAAACTATGTATTGAAAGGTAAGTAGGGTATTGTTGCTATAGTAACCTGAAGGACCGCCTCATTATGTCTCTCGTATCTAGGGTGTCCTATAGCAAGCTGAGCACGCTCCGCTGCTAGCAGTTTACATATCACGTGGGCTCCCTGAACCGGAACAGTCTGTTCGGGAGACAAAGAAGCAAAGCCAACGTGTTTGTGTCCCCAGTCAACCATCAACAGGGGCAAAGTTTCTTGCATCTGCAATCACAAAGTTTACCTTTCACTGCATATTATATTACTCACATAATTAGTATTTACATCTGAGTATTCAATCAGAGCTCTATTATACACTTTTACACATACTCCGGAAACGAGACAGGGGATCTTCTTACCATTGTGGAACTCCAACATGTAAAACAACGTGAGAGTACTAATAAAGGTGTAAATTATAATAAACTAACTTGATGTTCATGTGTCAAACTGCTGATACTTTCCAACAGCTCGTTTTTCTGTTGCATTAAATCGGATATAACAGGATCAGGTGGTACCTGTAATTTAATAGAGTTTTTTGTGTATTTTAACTTAAATCTAATTTTAATAAAGTATAATATGTGTTTATGTAGGTTAACTAAAGTGACATCTTAGTTCTAATCGTAATGCACAAATATTATATTAATCATGTATAATGTAATTAGTCCTTTATTGCACAGTACCTGATAATAAATTTTAATAACTTTGCCGACCACGAGACACCCCTCGAATACCTCCGCATGACCACCACTATTGAGCCATGAACTGAACTGTTTGTAGGATCTGTTGTAATGAGGTCCCTGGTCCTGTGTGGGTTCTAACTTCTTCACTGGCAATCTCTTCTCATTGTAAGATACTGCCACATGCTTGCTAGATAACTGTCGTACTGATTGTAAGGAAAACATACCTCTGACACAACGTGAACCTATCATTCCTTTAACATCAGCTAAAATACACCCTGTGTTATTGTGTTATTGTGTTATTGTGTTATTGTGTTATATAACTCAGAATATGTCGGTAAATTCAGGTCAGTAATTAATAATACACCGCTTCACTTGTGCTGGCGTAATATCAAAAGAAAGATTAAGTATATTATCGAATAATTAGTAAGACAATCATACATAATTGAATTAAATAAAACAATAAATAAGTGTGATAGAAGATTAATTTGTGTTTAATAGTTAAATTGTAATAACAATATTGAATTCTTGAAATAAAAACGAGGGTATGAAAATTACTATTAAAACCATATTTAAAAAAGTCTAGAGATTAATAAATAAAAAATGTATTAAAATGTTTCAATTGTCACAATTGAAACATTTTAATACATTTCTTGTTAACATTTTAAACTTAAAAAGGTTGACAAGAAGACTGCAAGGATTTTGGAGCAGATTAGCGAACCAGGGAGCTCAAATTGGCTCTCATGTCTACCACTAAGAAAACATGGTTTCGTTCTAAATAAATCTGAATTTAGGGATTCTATCAGATTGCGATACAACTTAGATCTGGATCGTTTACCTTCACACTGTCCATGTGGAAAAACGTTTGATGTGAACCATTCTCTAAATTGCCATCTTGGTGGCTACATCATTATCAGACACAACGAAATTAGAGATTTTTTAGGAGGCTTGTTGAAGACGGTTTGCTCGGACGTGGAAGTTGAACCTCAGCTTCAAGAACTAGAAGGAGAGCAGTTCACGAGGTCTTCGACACTTACGGGTGACCAGGCGAGACCGGATATAAAAGCTCGTGGTTTCTATAGGGCAGGCCAAGTGGCTTTTTTCGATGTTAAGGTAATTAATCCTAATTCTAATTCCTACCTTCAACATTCGACAAAGAAAGTCATGGAGAATGCCGAGAAACAGAAATCCAGATGTTACAACGAAAGGATTTTAAATGTAGAGCACGGATCATTTGCTCCATTAATCTACTCAGTGACGGGTGGCATGGGACCGCAGGCTAAGACGTTCGAGAAACTACTATGCAATAAACTTGCATATAAACAAAAACAGAATTACAACGATATTATTAATTATTATCGGTGTAAGTTATCTTTTTTAATTAGAAAAATGATTTTATTATGTATAAGAGGATCTAGAAAAACCTCAAATAGAACTGTAGAATTATCTAACATGGATGATTTAGAATTTAACTCTTTCGAATCGAAAGTTAATTAATTTTTTCAGTCCCATGGACTTTTTTTTATTTTTGACAACGATGATATTCATTATATATAACCTGTAATACTATTCTGTATATATCTAATTTCGTTTTCCAAAAAAAAAAAAAAAAAAAAAAAAAAAATTCAATTGTCACATAAGAAATACATGAATGCAAAATCTGCACATGGTATGCAAGGTATGTCCCTTAATTTAATAATAAATTAATCAAAATCAAATTAAAATGATAGTCTGCAGTTTGCCCCCAAAAATATTATAATTTGAACTTTATCCCTGGTCAATCATATTTCCGCAGTTAAAAAAAGCTTAAATCTATGAGATCTACAGATTTTCTTAAAGTTAAAAAGCAAAATAAATGTAAATATCAATGTAAGACAGCGTAAGTTTAAGAACAGTCAATAGTTAGCTACAGGAGAGTAACATGTGTAAAATAAGTAATCTGGTCACTACATGGCAGCTAGTATGAGCTCTGTTGTTATCTCTACACTCTCCCCTTCTTCAACACCCACCTCCTGACACAGTACCTGCAAATCCTCTGGAGATGCACACTTAAGCAAACTGTCGGCACAAAGCTCCTTTATCAAACTAATCTCCTGACTGGTTACTAGTTCTATTAAATCACTTTTCTTGTTGACACCTTTTCTACCCACCTTTAGTTCATCGAGTATACTTTTCAGATCGTGAACACGCAAGTATTTAGTGCAAAACAGTGTCACGTGACCCATGATGAGAGTCTCCCCTGAGGGCCGCACTTTCAGTTTCTTGAGAGGTGATACCAATCCTGGAGTAGTTTCTTTGCTTTCATTTGGAGGGGTGCGCTTTCTACTTTCTACATCAACAACTGAGTCATCTAGCTCGTTCTCTTTATCTTCATTAGTTTCAGTACTCATATTGGCGGGTGCAGCTGCAGGTATATCAATAGCAGCATTCTCAGGGGCTGGCTGGTGTTCAGTAATATAAGTTACAAGTCGTGAAACTTGTTCACCTTTGTTGCCAGAAACCTTAAGTTTTAGAGGCCCCAGTATTTCCTTTAAATCAGCTGCAGTTAGATACTTCATTAGTGAACGAGTCAAAACCTCGGGTATTTTATCAAACTTTTGTTTGTGTAGTAACTTTAAAAGGTCCTGTTTCTTATTTTTCCCTTTTTCGGTTGTTAGGCCTGATACCTTTACCAAGTGTTTCACTTCATCAGCTTTTGGGATGTTAAACAGCCACTTTTCAACTAAGGACTCAGCTATGACGTATGGGTCTGAGTCAATAAATACCCCATTTTTCTTCACTTCTTCTTGTCGAATTGTTTCAGCTATAACGGCATTCTCGACCATTTCATCAGACATTGATTGTCCAGTTATATTCAAGTGCATTTGCTCTTGATCCTTCACTGAGATGAGATCTAGCCCGGGGTAACTCTTCAGACTATCTCTATTTGGGTCTTGATTGTGGGCCCTGTATGTCGGACCCCAGAAACAAGCAGAGTGGAACCAAATCGGAGCTACACGCTGATAACCTTCATCAAATTCTCCTCCAGTAAATTGCATTTGTACCTCTTTCCCCACTCTCAATTCACTTCTTCGTTATCTTGATTCTACATACCTTACATTCTGCTCTAGAGCTCGGTGAATACTCTAGCATGTAGCAGCTTCCACATGGTCTTAGTTCATAATAATTAGGAATCTTCTTCTTCTTCTTCTTCTTCTTTTTAGGTAAGCTATTCGCCCATTCTTCCAATTGATCAGTCATTTCATCCAAGGCTTCCCATGGTTTGTACCAAGACATTATACTATAGAGTACCTGGCCTGTAAAGTGAATAAATAAGCTGTAATGTACATAATAATCAGCTTGAAGGGAAAGAAAGAAGATTTAAGATCATTTAATATCGGCCCACATAGAATGATAGAAAACAATCATTGGAAGTTTGGTTACACGTGACTGATGAAATTATACTCCGGAATAATGTTGAAAGTAACTCAGTACGTATCAGTAAAATATTATATCATTATCAAAATAATTATCAGTCTATCGTTAGTGGTAAAAACAAACACTTAAAAAATTCCAGAAATGTACAATATAGCACAATCGTCATTATGCATTAGGTTATCTCGTCATCCCAAAGTAGAATACTTAAATCTAAACTAAATTTATAAACTAAAATCTAAAAACTCTGCAGAGTCAAGTGTCCTCTACAGCTGCAGTACTACTACTAGAGAGGAGTTCTTGTGAAGTAGACTGCTCTCTTCTCTGTCACTATCTGAGTTCTCTTTATCCGAGCTGACGTCCAGACACATAGTCTTGGAGAGATGGTTAGTATCGAACATTGAGCACAGCTCTTTTCTTTTTCTTCCCTTGAAAAGTCTCATTTTTAGTGACATTACAGGTACCTCTCCGAGATCATCAGAACCGTCAGAATCACTCGTCCTTGATAACTGAAATTAAATATTATGACTCTCCAGCAGCGCTATCCACATAAATTAAAAATATTATTATTATTTCGATGTACCTTGATTGTCATGTATATTAGAAGAGAGGAACATCTGCCATTTAAGAAACGTTCTATAAAATCACAAAACACATAATACCATTGATTTCTAAAGCCCTAAAGTTGAAGATCAGGATGTCTGAACTCGTTTATAAAAGGTATCTGAGATTCTGATGAAGATTGCACAGACCTGAAGTTGAGGAGGAGCCTCGTGAGCGAGGAAGTCAGGGAGATTGTCAGGGTTCAGATCACACTCTCTTTTGTGAGAGGAGATGTTAGTTAGAGGGATCACCACATCACACCCCCTCCTCCTAAACGGACACGCCACCCTGTGATCTCCTATAATGTTCTCTAAGATAAAGTCAAAGTGCATCTGGTTCCTCCGCAAGGGTTTCCTGTCCTCTGGGCAAGTTTTGCGGTTTTTCAGCCACTGTTCGATACACACACTACAGTAGGAGTGCCCGCAGGGTGCGCGCAGTGGTTTAAGAAACACTTCCATACATATGGAGCAGTATAGGTGCTTACTAACACTTCCTGGGTCTAGAAATCTGCGTTCTTCGTCCTCTGCCATCTCAGTATCATTGTTGTATCATCTTCACACTGTCATCAACTGATGGTTTAATTTCAGATTTGGAAATTATACATTATATTTAATACTAGAATCTATAAAAATTTACCATATCAAAATATGAACGGCAAAAAGTCTGTAATTTATTTAAATATTTTTGGAAAAATATAATTGTATACAGAGAGGGAGGCCGAGGGTGGCAATTCTTAGACATTTTCTGAAAAGAGGTTGCATCTCGTTGGTATACTTTGTTAATCAAGGAAGATGACAAATCTTTTAAAAAACATCATTTAGTGGTCGTTCACATATTACGTAACCACTTTTTGGCCTATTTTAACCCTCTTCCGTCCCCCCTTCGTAATCAGTTTAACACGTAGCAATTGCTAAAATCACACTATCGTTATCATTTTGAAACCCCTCCCTCCCTCTCGGTGATTACGTAACATGTGAACGACCCCTTAATAGTTTAATTCAGCAAACAGTAATATCAATCCAAAAGATTTATTAATCAGCTTGAGATTCATCCTTCAAAGCCAAACATAACTGATTACTATGTCAGTAACAGTATCATGAAGGACAATAGTAATTGCTAAGATTCACACAATTACAAATAAATAAAGGTACCTCTCATATCATAATAATATAATAGCACATTGTACAATCAATATCTTATAAACAAATTAAAGTAAGAACAACAAACAAGCTCGTCAAGAGTCGTTACTTTTCTTGTTTTGCTCCAGAGAAGGAAAATGGGGTAAATTGGGAGATTTTAAACCCTTGGCAGCAGCTGCCTTCCAAGGGGACTGGCTAGCATTGATACTGTCTATTTTCTGTTTAATACTTCTCAAAGCACTAGGAGATATTCTGAAGCCACCTTGAACCTCAGGAGAGCGTTTGAACGCACTTAACATGGAGAAATGGTCCTGATCCTCCATTACAAGTCTGTCCTCCTGAAGAAGGGTGGCAGGGGAGGTGGTGCGCAGCATACTAGCAGGTGAGGTGGTGCGCAGCATGCTAGCAGGTGAAGTAGTACGCAGCATGCTAGCAGGTGAGGTAGTACGCAGCATGCTGGCTGGGGAGGCATTGCAGGAGGTATCTGACTCGCTGAATACATCTATAGGGGTGTGGTCGGAGGAAGCGCGCGCAAGCAGCTCATTTAGATCAACACCAGGAGAGTAAGGGAGGGAGGAAGAGTATGACTGTTGAGAGTGCTGACTGGTCAGGATATTACCTGGAGACTGGGAGAGCAGCGAGGGGGACATCATGAGACCTGATGCGCGCGAAGCTGCAATAAGACCGCTTGGTGTGAGGTTTAGACCCAGGTTGGCGGGCCGCGGCCTCTTTACTGATTGTTGGTGAAGTGGGTCCTTCATAGAGGCAGAAGGGAGTGAGATGACAATTGGGTCTAGTTTGTTGCGCTTAAGTTTGTTTTTGATGGCTGTTTTAGCCTCAGTGTTGATGTCCAAGACAGGGCCCTGTAGTTTAGTGATAGGTTCTTGTGGGCCTTGAGGGGCTATCCCAGGCCCCTTGTGTTGAAAAACTATTTTTATCTTAGGTATCTTGGAGACAGATCCGTCAGGTTCGGTCTGAGCAATAGCAGCAGCCTCAGCCAGATGTGTGTCGAGTCTCACTCTCTTTCTCTTATCCGCTTCTGGGAAATAAAGACATTTAGTCAATAAAATATATCAAGTATTATATTCATTAAATTAGAAATTATCGAGTGCCACTGTGTAGAAAAGTTGAAGAATCAAGCATATAAAAGCAACGTATACCTTGTTGTTTCTTGAGTAGTTTGTGTTTTTCAGTGTGTGCACTGTTCATCTCACTCTGTAACTCCCAGGCCTCTTGTTCGTATTGTAGCAGGTGCTGCAGGAGCAGCTCACGTTCTCGCTCTCTCTGGGCTATCTACAAGGGGGCAGAGCGTTCGTTAGTGTTCATTGCTTTACAAGTGGGATCAGGGATGGTTATTGACACCGTTGTAATAGTGAGCCACCTAAAGACTAAAGCTCACATGACACATCCGTAACTGAAAATCAATTCACTACGACGATTTTGACTTTAGAAAAATGGCGAGAAGAAAACTAGTGGACATCTAATTTTCAATTCAAAAAGGCCTCATGTAGCCTCCAGGCTCGACAAACCCCGACACACCCCGACATATCCCGACAAACCCCGACGTGTCGAGATATGTCGTATCATGTCGGGCCCACCGGCTACATGAGGCCTTCAAAAGAACAATTACCTACATAAAAACGGTTAAAGATAAGATTTACCATCTTTTGACACTCCAGAATTTCAGCCTGATAAGCACTATTTTCGAAGATAAGCTCTTTAGCACCTCTCCTCAGTTCATAGTACTTTCCTTTGTAGTCCAAACTGGACTCTAAACTCTTCTTCATATCATGATCTCATACCATAACTCCTATCTTATCAACTTTACTTGTAACTAAGATAATTCAGATAATTGTTATGGTTAATGGTAATTATATTATTATAATATTATCTTAGAATACTTTATTTTTGTGAGAAATTAAATTTGTACCATAACAGAACAGTAATTCATCGAGTTTGTTTGGTTTTCAGCAGGTTGGTTTTATACTATGTATTAAGATGAGGAGGTAGACAATTTGAGTTTGGTTAAAATGTTCATTTCAACTCATACAAAATATATCATAAGAATCGTTTAACAAATAAAATGATCATATATATCATACTGTGATATATCAATTGATAAAAATGATTTCCTATAGAAAATGGAAATATTGGATTCAGAAAAAAGTGAGCATAAGGTTATCAAAAATTAGCAATGAAGAAAAATGAGGGAGAAGAGGTGAGGAGTCATTACAAAATTATCATGACCAGAAGGAACTTTATTCATATCAGGAACAAGACGTGAAGCTTCTCAAGTTTCTCTTCTTCAATCTTCCTGCTCCTCCCAACTTCTTCTTGCTGCTCACTGATCAGGCTGGAGGAAGGGGTTTGCTATCTGCTCTATTCCGTCCTGCGGACATATCGTCACGATGTTGGTCCCTCTACACACTACTAGTCCTAACGGTCTTGTCTTCTGTCCTGACTTTAGTGTTTCCTCCGTCTCTGTAACAATGCAACAATTAGAAACAATTTACAATGTAACAATTCTCACAGCAATAGTCTCAATAGTCTGAATAGTCTACCTAAATTACTCAAGTTGTTCCCTGGATCAATAATACACAATGTGAGTAGGATAACATACCTTTAAGATACTCTGTAGCACCGTCCAGTACGAGATTAAGAAGAGCGTCGTAACCCTTCAGAATTCCGCTTGCTTCTCTCCCTCCGTTAAACTTAACTCTCATTCTCTTCTCAAGGTAGGGAGCTGAAGGGGTGGATATATTTAGAAATGAGGTAAATGATACGAAACGGAATAAATTCTAAAACGAGTCTAATAGCTTTGATGGCCAAACTGGTAACGATTTCATTTGTAAACAGTCCTCGACCTAAAAAAACAAAGGCTTGGCAATTGAAAATATTGAAATAATCTCACCTAAGTCTAGGATTGACTCCTTCTTCTTGTGGGGCCCCTTCTTGTCTTGCGGCTTCCTTACTTCAGACATATCTCTAGATGTTTACTTTATGAGACATGTTATAATGTATAATGTGTAATTTATGATGTGTAATTATTGAGAAGATGGGTAAATCCGCACTATTGGTCTTCAACACATGAAACTTATAATAGTAGCATCTTGTCAAGTCGAGTCAATTCAGAAAACATCAGCAATTTTGAACAATGAAACTAGACTTGAAGTTCACGGTTGTATCAGAAAATATTACGTGGATAAAATATATTTACAATGAATTTTTTTGTTTGAATAATATAAAGTGAACATCATATAAACGTATTTCTCTAATAAATGATTGAATGTTGGCCTAAAACCCAGCCTTGTTTAAAATTCAAAACATTGTCTGACGGATTTAATTTGAAAATAACTCCATGCAGTTGCAGTACTGAAATAAATGTATCAAAAATGTGTATCCGGTACAGCATTGACACTATTTGGGAAGCGTGTCATTTATAAATAATATCTAACGTCTGTAGTTGGAATTTTCGACGAATTAAACCCTGGCATCCGAATGAAGTAACTCGGAATTTTTAATGGACCGTCATGACTTAACAAAATTATTTCATCAAAATTTATAAGAGTTTAATTCATCAAAACTGCCAAGTTATACTTCAATTCATCTTATAAAATACCTTTAGCATTGTAATTTCACACCTAAAGCTATTCAACTCCTACTATAAATATGTTTAAAGTAACACAAAGTAAGTAATTATAATTTTAAATTTATTCCTTCAACCTTGTGAGACACGATATTCCCTGTATCTTGACAAAATCCTAAACTAATAATTAGTTAAGATAATAGCTGAGAGTGGAGTACCACTGACTAAAAAAACACTCAATACTGTGTACTGTAAATAGTCTGCGTTAGGTTTCCTTCTATCAAATCAGTCACGAAAAATGGGAACATGGTGACTAGATTTACAATAATGTTATAAATATAATAATATGATTATTCCACTACAGATTATATAATTATAGAGGGAAAATTATTCATGCTTTATTAAAACGATGCTTCTCAATGCTTCACTGCGTTCATAATCTATCGAAGTAGGTATCGACCTAATGAAAAATTCAAAATATAGCAAAGTCTTAACTTCAAGTTTATACATGTAACTAATATGATAATATCACAGACACATGCAAGGGGTCGTCCACATATATTACGTAATCAGCCGAGGGGGAGGGGGGTTTCCAAATGATTACGCTAGAGTAATTTTTACACAATAGCTATGTGTAAAACTGATTACGGAGGGGTGTTACAAATTATCCAATATGTAACTATGTAATATGTGAACGGCCCTATAGTACACAAACTTTCTGGCCAGCTTCACTGAATTTCTCAGTTAACATGTTCTCTGAGCCAAGCAGAATCCTTGTAATAGTTCGGGTCCCCCAGTCTCAGAGTGGTTCTTTTGTAAAAGAAGTAGTAGAGCACAGAGCCTGAAAATATGTGTTATAACACTAGAGTTGTGGTGTAAGATATCCCCTTCCCTATTTCAGAAGCACTTCCTCGACCCTCTTGAAACTTCTACCCGTTTGTTTTGTAAAGTATTATTACCTGCTCGCTGACAGACATATAGGATAAGATAGCCGTCTTTCCCTGCGTCCCATATGTAGAAAGTCTTGTCTTTTCCCCACCTCAACTTCTGCAATAAGGTTTAAGTTAACGTTTGTTTAAAATTTGTGAACTTAATTAAGAATTGTCAGAAGGATCAGAATGTCAGAATCCATATCCAGTTCATTCAAATTTTATCAGCTCTTAAATTTTAAATCTCAGTAACCTAAAATATTATATTGGTTTATCTTTAAAATCACTGTATATTTAATATTTAGGACTTACCATAGCCCAGACATGAAGAGCTAAGCACAGAGCCAAGTAGATGAGAGTAACAACAATTGTAGCAACAAATTTCCGTATGAGAAGAGCCACCAGGCCAGCTTTAAATACATAAGTGTTGAAGAAAACCAAGAAAAGGATGATGAGAGCCAACACCAACGAAACATCTTGAACACTGAAATTAAAAATTATTAAGATCATGCGCTGTCAGCGTATATTTGTTTTCTTAGTAATGAAGATGAAGAACAGTTATAATAAACTACACTCACATGTACATCACAAGGAGATGCAGCTCTGAGCTCCTAAAGTGCTCTGATGCTGTATTGATGATGATGTCAATAAGCATGAGCGAGAGCTGGAGAGTTGCTATCACTCCGTACTGAAGAACCTTCATCTCACCAGATTCACCAAATCTTCTTTGAATCTTTTCACTCGATGTTATTTCATTTTCTAAGTCATGGTGATATAATATGATAAGATATGAAAAGATATAACATTATTTTAGACTGTGCAACAAAAATGATAATATAGTAATCAAATATTAATCTGAAGTTAGTCCAAAAATGTAGACAATTATACAGTACTAATAATCAGAAATGATAATTTATTGATAAATCAAGCTCAATAAGTACAATTTGAACAAAAATGATAAATAAAAGAATAAGCAGAACGTCAATCCTCGAAAATAATAAATTTAAACTGTCATAGCTTAATCGAAAATAAATAAGCTTCTCAAATGATCAATACAAATGTTTTGGCAATGCTTAACAGAAGCCAATATCAATAGTTTTACAGTACACATCGATGTAACTTACAGTGCAAATTTTTGACGAATCTTCCCTCCAATGTGTACTGAAGTATCAAGATTCATTACATGATAAAAGTATTATATGTATCAGTTATTGTCTTATAGCTAGTAAATTGTAGCGTGAATATTCATTGTTTAAAAACTTTTCAGAGTAAACAATTTCAATAAAAAGTTTATTACAATGTATTATATGATTAAAGTAACCGCTCAAGTTACTTTTTTAGTTTACTTTTTTTGGAAGACTGAGAAACAGTTTTCTTTGAAGTCTGGGCTGGGACAGTCTCCGCTATTAATTCCTGAAGCCTGCCATTCTCTCGAAGAATTGCTAAGAATTCAAACAAAAACTTGTCATAATTATGACTTCTATGGTTATGATCATTCAGAAACCGCTTTCTCTTCTCTTTTGCTTCTTTCATAAGCTCTAAAGTCACAATGTAATCTGTTTCTATACGATTAAGTTCTGATACCAGGGTATCTTTATCATTAGAAAGATTAACCCGAGGTAGTTCATAAGCAGAGTATAAATTTATATCAGTGTTCAAAGAGTTAATGTTTGGTAAATTGAAGGACTGTTTTTTAGATCGTTTTCGTTTTGTCTCCCCAGACCAAACTTTCGTTCTCCTTGAATCGTCCCCACCCTCTTCAAAAGAGCTGCAGGCGTTAGTTAATGAGTTTGCTGTAGTGTCCGTTGAACTGCATAATGACAAGACACCATCTTCATCATTTGATTCGTCAACATCAGTACTAGCAGAACACTTTCGTGGAGTCTTTCTTTGATTGGTAATTGAAGACCACAGTGGGTCCTTAGTGTAGCAGTGGGAAGGAATTTCGTATTTGACAAGTTCGTTTAGATCAGGTAATGGCAGTTTAGATACACTGGCAATCAAATCTTCATCTTTTGTAAGAGAAAACAATTTATGAAGTACAGCTGCTCTATGGTCTACTAAGATAATTAACTTGCGTTTGGCTGACTCAATTTCATCCCTCACAACAGCCATTAGATTAAATCGAATGTCCTGGTATGGAGCCCCAATGTTCATACCTAATCGCTCAGCAATTATCCTTCGAAAGTGATCAGTCCATTCTTCATTAGATTGCCATGGGCCATGATCAATAGGGAAAGGTTTCAATCCATCGAGTTCAAAAAGTCTGCCATTTATTGGAACATAACTGACAAAATGAAAAGTGTCGATAGCACTTTTACATGTTATACCAGCTTCTGATTTGGACAGTTTTTCAGGTAACTTTTGCCTCTCTGGCTTAGCATAACTATTGTGAATGTGGGCTAACTTGGGCAAATTGCCAATAACATAGCCTTTGGATTCAGGATCCATACCATCAGTAAAATGTTTAATTCTCTTCAGCGTTGGCCCTATATTTACACCTTGAATATTCATCAGAATGCTCAAAAGAGCATGGGTTGCACATGAGTTATGGATTGACTGATGAGCAAAAAACATACTGTTTATGACTTCAGGATCCTCTACAAAATTTTCATTGCCTGGTTTGCGTCGAGCTCTGCGTTCTTCGATCCATTTGAAAAGAAATATAAAACCATAAACAGGACCCTTGATCTCTTTGTTGATGTCATACACTTCATCCACTTGAACTCCTTCAGCTCCATATTCATGAACAAGTAATGTAAATAAGCCAGGATCACTCTCAAGTTCAAGCCAAGAGCCTGTGCGTGACATAACTTCACTACCTGAAGGAGATAGGATTTATTGAAGCAAAAATAGCAATTATACCTTACTATATAAACAAGGGTGCTGTGTGCAAATTCACAACGAATAGAGTCAGGGAGAAAGCAAACTCAAGGGGAGGGTTGGCAGATTACAAAAATCAAACAGAATCTAATTATTAATAGCTAAAAAGTGATCTAATTAAACACATCAATGCCAGTTATCTTAAGGTGCCACAGAAAGACTTTATCATCCAATTAAGACAAGTCACTCAATATTTTGTTCCATCATTATATTCTAAGTTTGCCGAGCTTTTCTGTGGTGTTGCTCCAAATGTGTGTACAATCTTCTGCCTGTAGTAAATTGATCCCCAGGAAAGCTACCAGAGTGCTGCGCAAGAGTTTTTTTATGAATTTGTTCATGTAAATTTTGTGAATAACTTATTGTAGCTTCTATATTGTGTAAAATTTTACAGACGAAATGATTCCAAGGGGGGGGGGGGGGGGAAGGACTCCCAACTCACCGCTTCGGCGGGTAATTGACGCACCTATCACAAGCAAGACTTTGGTCTACTTACTGTGAGGTGTCTCAGCTACATGGAATGTTTCTAATGAAGTTTTAGTAAGAACTTAGGGAGCCAGTTATGTCAGTAATAAAGACAGTGGTCGACCGGGGCCCCGGCCAAAATCACAACCCCCGGCCCTTCCCGGCCCCGGCCAAAATTTGGCAAATCGCCGTGGGTAAACCCCGGCCCTGGCCAATAAATTTAACCCCGGCCAAAAACCATGCATTTGCCGGGGGCACAGCGGGGGATTTCATGAATGATTTTGGCACATTTTTGAAAAAAATCAAACACAATTTAATGGTAATTATGAGATTTCAAAGCTGAAAAATTTATTGTCTACGTTGAATACGTTTAAATATAAAAAATACAACATACGGCTTAAATTAGACTACAGCTAGTAACATAAAAACTGTGGTTCTTCCTCAGTATGATGATCAGACTTTTCAATTAATCGTCTCCGAGAAATTTGCTATAAAACATACGTAGAACTAGAAAGTAAAAATACTGCACTACAGCTAAAACTACGGCTCAGCGTAAACTACAGAGCCTAACATTTATGGTAAATTTTTCTGAACCGAGCCATATTTGGATGTGGGATTACTTTTAAATCCCGAGGTCCAGATAAAGTAGCAGCTGAGGGTTATCCTCAGTTCCGAGTTGAGGATTAGAAATTAAGTATGGATCTCAGGATAATGAGGATTATCCTGAGTTGGTTCACAGCACGAAGTTGCGGTTTAATCCTCAAGTCGGTGAGGATAAGCGCACCTTGAGTTTAATCCCTCCCGATTGCATCACACCAGCCTAAATTATTATCAAATTCATGTTTCAATTTCTGACTTCAGTTTGGTAAACTACCCCCGGCCCTGGCAAAATGGAAGATTTCCCGGCCCCGGGGCGGCCCCGGCCAATTCTCAGTGGTCAGCCCCGGCACCGGCCCCGGCTATATTGGGGCTCCCTGGCCCCGGCCCTGGCCCCGGTCAGAATCCTGGCCCCGGTCAGAATCCTGCTCCCGGTCGACCACTGAATAAAGAGAAACATAACAATTATCTTTGGTTTCATCCTTATGTGGCAAAGAAGCGTTTTATAAATCTTTATTCCACTGGGATAATAATAGGATAAATGTTTTCGATAAAAAAATTTTTAAATATTGTATTTGATAAATAATTAATGTTGGTGGGGAAATATTTATTATATATTTGTTCACATAGTGCGATAATATTTTGTAGACATGTGTGATGATGTGATGTCATGAATGTTACTTTACTTTATGTGATGGGTCCCCCCTTTTTTTGCTATGCAAGAGGTAATAATACCACCAGGAAGAACTACGGCCATAACTTGTACAGAATGGGATATTTCGTACTAGGGAATTAAAGAAATCAAATCGTCGATCCATATAAAACTAAATTTAGGGATATAGTTTTGCAAAATTTGAGCGACATCCAACCAACAACGTTTGGGATCGTATGGTCTAACTGTCAAGGAAAACGTTCTAGAACGAGACATACTTTGGGGTGAAAATAAATTATTAAGAAGTCACCCCTCCAGAGGCGGCTATTGAGGGCGTCCAGGCGTCCGTGGACGCCTTTAAATTATTATCTGGTGGCTGGTGCTTAAAATAGAAATAGTAATTAGTAATAGTGTTAGGAAATAACAAATCGCAATTTAAAGGTCTTCGTTTACTATCATACGTTTTAATGTAAGCGCACGCATGATCTTCGTGAAATTTTGTGTTGTAGGGAGTCCAATCCTACCTCTGGACTACTCAGCCGCGCAGTTTTAACACATAGTTAATTGTAAACGTTACAAAGCACATCGTGCGCATCCCACTACAGGTAATCTATTATGATTTGCCTCGATTTGGGGGTCCAGGACCCTTTGAACTATTGACTGTTGTGATACTGCGCGGCTGAAATCGTACACGTGTGGTGTCCTGTTTCACCCATGTTATAAGTTTTTGTTTTCGTTTGCTGTCGCCTGTAAAGTGTTACACATAACATTTACAAGGCCCTGTGTGTAATGTAATCGGTAGTTTGGAGGGATCAGCTTGAGCCGGCTCCCAAGCCCCCCTCCCCCCAGTCCATCGATTGGACCCCCAACAAAACTGCCAGCCAGCTCCCACGAGCCGCCTCTGCACCCCTCCATATGATAATAAACTTTATTTTATTCAATCTTTTAAAAGCATCATTGCATAATTAGTAAAATAACATAGTAACTAGGCTTTTACGGGCATTTTCTGCTCGATACGCTAGAAACTCCAGATACACCTTTCTAGACGTATTTTTTATCGTAGAATCGGTTAAAAGTGGTTTTAAAATATGTGGACTGAGTTTCCCTGGATAAAATCGCAAAAAAATTTTGGGCCAATTTTTGGGCCAAAAATATACCAAAAACCATGTTTTTTGATATTTGGAGCAAGTTAACTTTGTTGACATGTCAACAAAATTTGCATGAAGATAGTTAAAACACAGCCGCACAAGATGGTATAAAAATAAAACAAATTTCTTAATGTTTCTTTGGGTAAAAATCCAAAAAGGTGGTAAAAATTTAGGCTTTTTTGCGCGCCATTCATTTTTGGTACGCCGGTGCTATATTTTGAAAATTTTTTCCACATATCTCGTAATAACGACTAATATAAATATATTAAATATAATTCTGGCCAAAAAATTCATTTTAAATGGAACCAAAATTTTAGGTGCGCCGCGCATATTTTCGAAAATTTACAACGTAGTTTGAAAATCGAGCGCTAAAGCAATTACTGTCATATTTTCACAAAAATATCTTAGTGGATTTCTAGTGTTATTGTTGCATTTCAAAACTCCTTTTCACTCTATTTGGTTATCTTTTTGATGTGTAATTTGATTACTAACTCTTTTTTCATATATTCACATTGATTTGGAGTACCCATTCATACTATTTTCTAATTTATACTATTTAATCTATTTAGGCAAACTGATGAATCGCTATTTTACTGCCACTCTACTGATAACAGCCCCTGGCTCATTGCGCGCATCTTACAATTTCCAAATTCTATTCATATAATGTTATCATGATCAGTCGCATCTCCCATTATAAACATCATACACAGTACCACACGAAAAATTCCTAACGACTTTAAAATTAACTTTGAAAATAAAAGGGCTGGCTGCTAATTATCAAAAATTAAACTGAGTGCAGTGTGTTTTATTTTATGTTATAGTAATATGATAATGAGTCAAATTAAAACAAGTGTGTGTGTGTGTGGGATTTACGTTAGTCGTCAATTTTATTGATAAATTTTATGCATGAATGAGTACATGACATTTATGATATTTAATTCACTATTGTGTTACTTTAGTTTTAGTTAAGATATTATATTGTATTCTAATAAACCCGTTTTGTAAATGGTTGTTAGAACCACCGGCACTGTCTGGGCCAACAACAACAACAATCATTTAGCGAAGTCAACCGAGAAAAAATTACACAGATTGATGTAAGTATTCAACTATCAATTTGATCCATAGTAGAGGGTTAAATTAAAAGTCCCATGACCCAGTTGGCTCAATCCTAGACAGCTTTACATGTTCCTCACAAACAGGTGAAGATTCAAGTAGTACTGTGTAACATTTTACTCGATTTATCTATTCTATTGTGAGCTTTCTCTGTAGTATGTGATACCAGAGGTGATGATAATTAATTATTCTAATCATGATTTGTTGTTACTAGTATTTAGTGTGCCTTACTCAAACATTTAACCTAGCCTTATAACAATGAATAGAATGTGGCATAAGTTTCAGGCACTCAGTTTAACATAGGGTCACACGAGAGTGGGGAGGCCAATTTAACAAATTTCTGATATGTGATGCAGCCCACTCACAGTCAACTGCTATGATATGGTTAACTGCCTTCCTCGTGTTGGCTGGTAATCACATGAGCGGGATGTAAATACTTCATTTCAATTCATTCATGAAAAAACAAAAACAAACAAGTTGTATCATTGCTAACCTGTTTTTTTAATTTAAGGTAATTATGAATGTTATCAGACTATCTTCATCTGAGAGGAAGTACATCATAGACAGCATAGAAGACGATTTCAGAACTGATGGGAGATCATGTGAAGATTATCGTCAGATAGAGATCGAAACAAGAAATTTACCAAACACTAATGGCTCATCCAGATGTAGAATTGGTAAAACTGAAGTTTTAGTTGGCGTGAAGGCAGAAGTAGTGGATGTAGATCTTCATAATCCAACCAGAGGAAAAATTAATATTGCAGTTGACTGCTCTGCAACAGCTTCGCCTCAGTTAGCAGGAAGGGGTAGTGAGACAATCGAACAGGAGATATTGTCTGTCTTGAACCTTCTTTATTCATCTATTGATGCTTTAAACTTGACTGACCTTTGCATTGTTAAAGGGGAATCTTGCTGGCTGTTGAACATTGATGTGTTGTTTGTCGGGTGCGGGGGGAATATTTTTGATGCAGCTTCAGTAGCGCTCAAAGCCGCACTTCACAGTACCACCATGCCAAATGTGTCAGTTTCGGGTGAAGGAATTGAGATGGAGCTGGAAATATCAGATGACCCTTATCAGGTGTGGAAACTGAGCACTGCAATGTGTCCTATCTGTGTGACTTTGTATCAGGAGGGTGAAAGTTTTGCAGTGGATGTAACCGAAGAAGAAAGTGAATGCAGCGAGGGTTATGTTCATGTTGGAGTACTCCCTTCTGGAGAGGTATCTGCTATGGAGAAGTCAGGTGCTGGTAACATGGACCCTACAGCACTTTTAGAGATGATTGATGCTGCTGTGAGGATCGGGATGGATATTCATAAACAGCTGGATAGACATTTACATGCAGAATCTACGACAGCTACACTGTAAAATCTACTAGTGTATCAGACTATTTCTGCTGCATTGTCATAATTGTATTTTAACGTTTCTCATCGTTTTTATCCTTTATTGACCATTTTCAAAGTTATTTATATAATTTATTTTACAACCTAATATGTTTCATTGATTTGGCTTCTCGATTCAATAAAGACCAGAAAACAGAATCTAATTTATGTGATTATTGCAATGTTACCAGATTGGTCATAATTGATATGATAAGTGAAATATCGTTAACTAATGACAACTGTTAGATGGGGGTCTCATCGTCCTGTAACCTAGTGTCCCTGGCAACAAACCCCCTGTTAGTCAAACTAACCTCCCCTGAACCTATCCCTCTTCACGACTCTTTCTGGGAGACACTTTTGGAATTCTCTTTCCAGTCCCCTGATACCAGGTATCACCTTTAAATCTCTCAATCTAGAAACCTGTTTTTATTTCTCCAAGATATGTTGCTATCTCTCCATAGCCAATACCTTTAATCTTAGTATCATTAGATGAAAATGATTATTTACGTATAACTTCAGTGCAGACTCCAGATTACTAGAAGAGAGTGTTCAACAAATATGCTCTTCTTTTGGTAAGAAAGTTTACATTTCTTATCTTCTTGGAAGACTGCTACTCCCTATCGACCTAAATTCGAGCAAAAGCTTAGGCAGCCAACATATATGGCACAGTTGAACAAAATTTGTGATGTAATATTGAAGAATGTTTGTAATATTATGCTAAAAACTAACCCTGCAGCGAAGAGTAATGCGAGTAGTGGAAACATGTCCACCCTTCTCTCCATCGTCACTTCTCTTGTTAAACATGCTCTCAGTCTGACTACTCCGCAAGCGTTAGTTACTTTTCAATAAACTACTTGTTACATTTTCATTGTGAGGATTGCCCACTGTAGTACTATTCAACGGGTGAAACACATCTTTCACTTTTGAAATGGGTGGGCTTAAGATCATTACTACAAGAACATTTGAATCTACTTAATTTTCAATTATAAATTATTTGGAAACTTCATGGGCAGTGTCGGATCGGGTGTCCGCTTTTAGCTGCATATTAAATACATGTACAAGTGTATCCAATGTACAGTGTACAGTGTATAGTACAGTGTATAGTGTACAGTACAGTGTAAAGTTTATAGTGTACGTTCAACTCAATATGTTCAGCTGAACATCTTCACATGATTTGTTAAGAAGCCTTATCTTCGGTTCAATGTACACCATGTACACATTAGTGGTCTTATAATACCCACAATAACTGTACACAGTGTAGTATTACAGTAGTTGGCGAATGACACCCACCTCCAAGTATGAATTATAACGTCTCCTCTAAATACTAACATATTATGCGAGAGTTATATTATATTTAATTTTAATAACTAATGTGTCAGCAGGGAGGAGTTAGAGACCCTTTACAACTCTCTACTAATCTTAAGAACTCTAACAAAGCATTTGGTACAGAACGAGCCACTCTCTACTTCTTACAACCACTTCCTTACTCCTGACATTGTTGCTATGCAACCGCAGGGCGAGGCTACTGACGTGGACAGCTCTCCTACAATCGCTCTTAAACACGGTACCATTTCCTTAAACACGGTATTGTTTTTCTTAAACACGGTGCCATTTCCTTAAACACGGTATTGTTTTCCTTAAACACGGTACCATTTCCTTAAACACGGTATTGTTTTTCTTAAACACGGTGCCATTTCCTTAAACACGGTATTGTTTTCCTTAAACACGGTGCCATTTCCTTAAACACGGTATTGTTTTTCTTAAACACGGTACCATTTCCTTAAACACGGTATTGTTTTCCTTAAACACGGTACCATTTCCTTAAACACGGTATTGTTTTTCTTAAACACGGTACCATTTCCTTAAACACGGTATTGTTTTTCTTAAACACGGTACCATTTCCTTAAACACGGTATTGTTTTCCTTAAACACGGTACCATTTCCTTAAACACGGTACCATTTCCTTAAACACGGTACCATTTCCTTAAACACGGTTACATTGTTTTTCTTAAACATGGTACCATTTCTTTAAACACGGTATTGTTTTTCTTAAACACGGTACCATTTCCTTAAACACGGTACCATTTCCTTAAACACGGTATTGTTTCTCTTAAACACGTACCAATTTCCTTAAAGACAGTGGCGTAACGAAGGCCCCGCTCGCGCTAAATCGTCGTTTGAATGTGGGACAATTTTGAAAAACTTATTAAAGTATGAGCAAAAAATATCTCTTAAACACTGCGCAGTTTCTCTTAAATTTATAACTTTCTCTTAAATTCATTATATAATATCTCTGACAGAGTTTCTCATCAGTTGCTCGTTACGAGACATCAGTGGACGAGTTGTGTTTCTATTTGTACGAGTTCCTCATCAACTATCCTGTCAGGTTAGTTGCCGTGACTACAGAGTTGCCGTGACTACAAACCTTTTCAACATTCTGAAATAATTTTTCACTTATTAGATCTTTAACAAATAACAACCATCTTGAAAGTTATTTTATCGCTATTTTCTTCTGATAATAATTTCCTTCTCAGGCTGGATACAATCCAAGTACACAGCGAATGTGTGAAGATACTGACCACTCTCCTCTCTTCGCCGCTCTACCACACCCCCTGCTCCTCCTCCTCCTCCCCCTCCACCTATCTTACTGATATGATGACAGGACGCTGTAGCAGCTCTGCTCCTCAACTTATCCAGACACTGATAACTAATTCTGTGCATCAGCCCCTACCTCAAGTAACTACAGTTGCCAGCTATTTGTGGAGCTACGTTCCTTTCTCTGGATCTGACAAGCCCCTCTACTCGGACACTCAGTTCTTCAAGGAGTGTCTCCTCCTCGTCCTCCTTCTCACTAATCACTCATCCCTCTCTGATAACCCTTACAAGCGTGCACTTTGCTCCTTTGGGCACAAGGAACCTAGTAGTAATGCTAACGAGACTTGTTTCGTTATGGACCTGGACTTACTTTATAGTTACTTCTGTAGAGACCCTGAGCACACTAACGAACAAGACACCTTGCTACTTTACACTCTTATTCAGGTGATATTCTTATCTTTACAATCTTATTCAGGTGATTTTCTTATCTTTACACTCTTATTCAGGTGATATTCTTATCTTTATACTCTTATTCAGGTGATATTCTTATCTTTACACTTTTATTCAAGTGATATTCTTATCTTTACAATTTTATTCAAGTGATATTCTTATCTTTACACTCTTATTCAGGTGACATTCATATCTTTACACTCTTATTCAGGTGATATTCTTATCTTTACACTCTTATTCAGGTGATATTCTTATCTTTACACTCTTATTCAGGTGATATTCTTATCTTTACACTCTTATTCAGGTGATATTCTTATCTTTACACTCTTATTCAGGTGATATTCTTATCTTTACACTCTTATTCAGGTGATATTCTTATCTTTACACTCTTATTCAGGTGATATTCTTATCTTTATACTCTTATTCAAGTGATATTCATATCTTTACACTGTTATTCAGGTGATATTCTTATCTTTACACTCTTATTCAGGTGATATTCTTATCTTTATACTCTTATTCATGTGATATTCTTATCTTTACACTCTTATTCAGGTGATATTCTTATCTTTACACACTTATTCAGGTGATATTCATATCTTTACACTTTTACACTCTTATTCAGGTGATATTCTTATCTTTATACTCTTATTCAGGTGATATTCTTATCTTTACACTCTTATTCAGGTGATATTCTTATCTTTATACTCTTATTCAAGTGATATTCTTATCTTTACACTTTTATTCAGGTGATATTCTTATCTTTACACACTTATTCAGGTGATATTCTGAATTCAGCTTAAATTCTATTTAAATTCCAGGGTAATGTGAATGTCAAAGCGTTCCTGTTGTCTAGGACAGATGTGGAGAGAATGTTGATGCCGATGTTGCACGTGGTTTACGAGGCTGAGCAGCACAGTACCCACCACATGTACATGGTACTCATAATACTTCTAATCCTCACTCACGACGATCACTTCAGCTCCTACATCCATGACCAGGTAGTACATTGTTGGCCTACTACTGGGGGTACCAGATGTGAATATATATATATATGAAACAGAGGTCCTTCGTTTTGAAGTCTGAATTTTATCACTTACATCATGTACATGAGTCTTGAGTTTCTTGCCTATAGTTTACCTAGATTGTCCATGTGGCATATCCCATTTATGGCGTGCTGATTTTGGAACGCGCGATGACAATTTTATTGCTAATATTTGTGACGTAGAGCGCGCGCGTATATATAATAGACTATATATTATATATATATATTAACGCGATCGAGTTGGTTCTAATTAAATTATTGATAGTACATAGTTCAATTAAAGTTATGTGGAGTTGACCGCACTCCAGGACCATCAGCCAGATCAGATCCGCGGCAGTGGGACCCCTAGTTCTGTTAGACCCAGTCACACGGCAGGATCTAGCAAAGCTATGAGGCTGGCACGAAGAGCAGGTAGTTTCCTACCTTGCTCCCCCCACTGTGGCACAAGCACGACGTGTTGCTTGGCCGACTTAAGTCATTGAAATGGTTCAGCAAAAATCCGATGTGTGGTTACTAGAATCCGATTTGTAGTTTTAAAATCCGTTGTGTGGTTGTAAAATCACGTCTGATGTAGTTCCGAGTTCCATCATCGCACCATTCCTTTTCCGTGAGGGGGTTTCCATTTTCCAAGATCTGTCAAGTCCGTTGTAATCACCATGATGTGAGCCTCACTCGCCGATGGGGATGACTACATCAGAGGAGAGTGCTGGTCGCACCAGCAGGGGTGGGAGGCTGCTTACTCGGCTCATATCTGCCTGGAGAGCTACATTCTGCTTTTCCATTTCTAGAACGATGTCCGTCTGTACTCTTTTTTCTGATATCCTGTGCGCGATTCTTTGGGCGAAAACTGTCTTTAGTTTCCTATTGATCATCAGCTCGAACTCTTTGAACGTTCGATCGTTCACAATGTCCAATTCTCGGATCTTGATGATCGTAGATTGGAGTCGAGTACATGCCTGCCGGCTGTCTGCTCTCATGGTCTTTACTAAGTAGATGAGGAGTCCTAGAAGAGCACTTCCTATCATGAGAATGAAGATCGCAATGATCAGGAGGGTCGATTCTTCCATTCTTGAAAATGTGATTTTCTTTGAAATGTGGGTTTGCTGGATCAAACGATCTAGCAGATTCAAGCGTAATGTAAAAGTTACTAACGAATCTGGGACGATCATCTGTCGCTAGGATATTTAAAGCAGCCCACGTGCAGTTTTTCAATTTTTGCTAAACTTCGTCGGATCTGCATTCCGCACCTGTAGTTTGTTGCGAGCCTTTGTTGCGAGCCTTGTTCGACTGTATCGATATTAATAATTATTAATTTCCGAAGCTATGCGAAGTACGAAATAGCTATGCAGTACTAAAATTGAATTATTTCATCGGAATATTAGTAAAAATTTCACTTAATTTTGTAGACTATGATTATTTGATGTCTGATACAGAAACATTACTAAAAGTTTGACCTCACTGTCACCAAAGGAGCCAAAATTGGCCGAATTCGGTTTCTATAAATATAAATTGTCAGTTGAAAGTGAGTGCTTCTTTTAAACAGCCAGTGGCCACGCTGCTACTTTTTCGTACTGGTATTGATCATTTGTCTTTAGTCGAATTTGTCCATTACACTGCACTCCGACAACCTCTGAAGATGCTTCAACCTGTCTATCTGTCTATATTCTGGTACCAATCTGTTCGTGTAATTTAATCCCTAACACCAGATGTGAATCGCAGGTGCTAGGAAGTGTGTCGTGGTACAAGGAGCGCGTGTTAACAAACATATCAACCGGAGGGATATTGATACTGGTCATCTTGAAGACCATGCAGACAAACATGACGAAGATGCGCGACAAATATCTGCACACTAACTGCCTCGCTACCCTAGCTAACATGTCCTCTAAATTCCACTCTTTTCACCCTTATGTAGCGGAGAAAGTACTCAACTTATTCACTACTATTGTTAAGAAGTACACTAAGATGAGGAACTCGCTGCTAGGAGTCGGGGGTGAGATAACGGCTCCAGATAGCACTGTGGAGTATTGGGTGAGTTATATTGCACGCTACTGGGGGGGGGGGGGGGTGAATTAGATTGCACGCTACTGGGGGGGGGGGGGCTCTGTTCCAGGCTAGTATGGGGAGGGATTCTCTGTTGATTTGAGAGAAACTAATACGAGATATGTTCCAGGAATCTGAGTTAGAAACTCTTGAAGACATAATCAGGATGTTCCTGGAGATCTTCAACAGCAGTATTTGCTACTCAGGGAAAAATAACCCAGTTCTTCTTTACGAGCTGCTTCACAAGCGAGATATTTTTATCCCTTTCCAAACCCACCCTACCTTCTCAGAGCTCATCATCAATATTGAAAGTGTAAGTTACCTAGTTTAGTAGTTTAGTAGTTTGCTTTTTTGTAGTTTGCTTTTTAGTAGTTTGCTTTTTTGTGGAATTACTTTCTGATAAAACCTTTGTCAGATATTATTTAACCGTCTCTATTCAGATATTATTTACCCGTCTCTATTCAGATATAATTTACCCGTCTCTATTCAGATATTGGGTTATCTGACCACTAAGTTGGAGGAGAAGACAGAGGAACAGGGAGTTAGTGTTAGTGTTAACTGTGTGATGGAGGTTATTGAGGAAGTGGTCAGGCAGTGGCCGGCAGACCGACTACAGGTAACTATAGCAAAACCTTATAGACTACACATAATTCTAGCAACACACTCATAGATAATAAGTAACAAAAAAGAAAATATAAATAAACACTTGTGTAAGACTACTTTTGGATAAACTGGGATCATTAGTCAGGTTATATTATGAAGTTAACCATTTCAGAAAACAGCACTGTTGAAGTTCGAGTACGTAGAGGAGACGCGACCAGAGGACTTCTTCCTTCCTTATATTTGGACCCTGTTATTCTCCAACAGTAACTTGTATTGGGACACTTCTAGGATAACACTAAAAGTGTGATCCAGTAACTTGGCAATATGCCAATTATTTCAATAAAGATAAAGCATCTTTTAAGGTTTGCGCAGGTTAATTGAAATTGAGAACAACTGTAAAGCATGTAAAGTGGGTCTGTTTTTAACGACGGGTTATTTTGATTATCAGATTAAGAGCGGTCTGCGCCTACCCCTCCAGTTCTTACAAAACTCGTTCATTTTAAGTTCCAGTTTAATAATAAAGTATAAGTGGTTACCATGGTAACTAGTATGGGTATTGGATACTATGGCATGGAGTAACAGTGTATTTGTTATTTTATTTTCGGGAATTCTTATTGAAAAAGGTGACTAAAACCAAGATTTATTTGATTATAAGAAATGTATGTTGATATTAAGCTAATTAAGCAATAAATTATTGATGAGTTGCCTTGACCAATTTAGTGTTTAGATCTAGTATAGACGATGTTGTTATTGCGAACAAATTAGAAGTTTTTATGTTTGTAGGCTGATCAGTTGGAATGTTGTTTGTTATGAGTTTGAAATTTCAAATCAAGTTTTTGTTTTTTTAATTATTTCTTTAATCTCTAAATAATTACCAAATGTCACTGATAAGGGGCCCGTTGCACTCAGTTGTCTCTTTAACTTACTGAGACTGTAACCCAAGGGAGCTAGCAGACCGTATCACATGGGATATATCCTCAAATTTTAACTCAGTAGAATCGGGGCGTGGAGCAATACAGAAGAATGGAATGAAGTCATCATTTCAGATCACATTCGCTTCATTACACTAGCAAGTAATTGAAAAGGTTAGAAATGTCATTTAAATTTTGGATTTCAATCACATGAAGCAAGTACCTATAATAATTCTGTAGCTCCCAGTCTCTGTCTCAGTTTCTACTGAATAGTTGTAAAGATGGTTGGTGTTATGTTAGTGTTGCTGAGTGTCTCCCTGACTACAGTCCTGGGGCAGTACGAAGAGGTAGCCAGTGTGCCAGTCAAGACAGAGCAGTCCTACATCTGCAAGGATCATGATAACCCCGTCATCACACAGCGCCCTGAACCTGTATACGAGGTGGACCTGGGGGACCCGCTGAAGATAACGTGTGGAGCTAGCGGGATACCCATGCCATACGTGTACTGGGTGAAGGGGAAGAAGGATATGACAGACCAGGAGAGGAGGCTGCCAGTAACCGCTGTGGGACAAAGTGTGCTGTATTTGGAGAGCATAGAGAAGGAGGATGTGGACTACTACACGTGCGTGGTGGAGGACTGTTGTAAGGGAACTATCCAGACGGTTGAGACCGAGATAGTGGTCCGGAACAAGGCTCAGTGTACCCGGAAACAGCCCGCCCCCTTCTTCTGGGTGGTCGTCTGGGAGTTCAGGAACTGGACCTCCTCTCACCAGTTCTGTAAAGATCACAACATGGAGTTTGCAGTTCCCAGGAACGAAGAGGAGAACAGCGCCCTTCTCTCCCTCATTCAGGAGAGTCTGGGAGCGGATCCTAATGGTAGGAAGTTCGCTCACCACAACATGGTCTGGATGGGGATCTCAGACGGAGTGGTGGAGTACGGTTTCACTGACATAAACACGGGGAACCCTATCCAGTACAGTAACTGGCTCCCTAGACAGCCTGATAACTGGAGAAAGTACCATAAGGAAGGGCAGGATGTTGTCGCAATGGACAGGATCTCCGGGGAGTGGGACGACAGCTACGGCTTCTGGAAACGACCCTTCGCTTGTTGGTGTCCGCCTAAATTTCAGAGAGGCAAAGGCAGGGAAGAAGAATAAGGAAGCTCTCCTTTCACATTTTAAAAGTAAAATTTTACTTTCACCACGTTAAAAATGAAAACTTTTGGTATTTTTAATTTGTCCTATTTTGAAAGTTTTGATATGATAGTTATGTTGTGTAACACTCAATAAAGTTAATTATAGATATAGATGTTTTAAAACCTGGTTTCCTACTAAAATTGTCTTCATTTGTTGATTCAGCTACAGATTCAATATTAATTGAATTTTAAAATAGCGTTGTAGGATCTGCTCGATTAAATCCAATTTAATTTGATATCGTCATCGTAAAACTACTCATGCAAGTAATGAATTATTCTTCCTTCATTCTTCGAACATGGCACTTTTCAAATTTCTGCCCCTCATTCTATCCCTCATTCTACCTCCACTTCAACCACAAACCACGGCGACTATTGTTAAACTTAAATTTAGCAACACGGCTGCCCAACAGTTATAACTTATACTGCTGAGTTGATGTTACAAAGACAAACGAGTTATCATAGAGTAATATGTATGTAGGTTCTCTCAAGGGGGTTACCTGGCACACCAATCCCGTGCACGGCGCCATTTTCAAGCTTCCTGAACGAGCTAGGTAGGGGGGTTAAAAATGGTCCAAAAAGTGATTACGTAATATGTGAACGACCTCCAAGCTCATTAAACTGCTGACACGCTTATTTACACTGGGCTCCAACGCTGCAGAATGTGTCCTGACTTCTAATACAAGTACAACATATGACTAACTCATGCGCGCTCATGACTGGAAACTTGACTGGAATGCTTGAATTAACTTGACTGGAATTTCTCAACAGAAGGCAGCAGCCCTGGGTTATGGGTTAGTTTACCTGGGGACCTCAGGCTATCATGTTCACGTTCATAAACATACCCTTAATTAGGGCAAGCGATTTTTAATTTGGGCGAGCGATTTAGTGGGAGCGGTCTGCATGGTTGCTGCGAAACTTGACTGGAATTTCTCAGCAGAAAGCAGCAGCACTGGGTATAAAATTAAGGAAACAATAGTCACGTCTTCTGTTAGTAAAAGTAACTTAATTGCTGGGTTATGCCTGTCTTGTTCTTTTGTCACCGACGGAACGAACAAAGAGCCGTTTAGTTTTACTCGAGTATAAACTAGCCTGGATCTAACAACTCTCCCGTGGTACTTAGTGACACTGACACTGTGTACTATCTTCAACTTTGTCCACTGAATAACCATTTGCTCCAACATAAGGGCAGTAGACAAGTTTAACAAAGGATCATTGAGTCGTGTCACTGTAAACGTAAGTGTGATTTTGCGGCCGTAGTCATGTCTACCTAACCCTTTTTGGAACGTTTTGCTGTACCTTGATTAACGGGTGATACTCTTAAAATATTTTTTCCAAATATTAGACCGTCGACGAGTCCAACTCCATCATTCTTCGGACATGGCACTTTTCAAATTTCTATCCCTCATTCTATCCCTCATTCTATCCCTCATTCTGCCCATTCTCATTCGACCTCCACTTCAACGGCAACTATTGTTATTGTTAAACTTAAAGTTAAATTTAGCAACACATCTTCCCAACAGATATAACTTATAGTTATACTGCTGAGTTGATGTTACACTTACAAAGAGTTATCATAGAGTAATAGCTCTCCGATCCAAAGCAGCTATCTTAACTTATATAGTTATATAGTTATAACATGTTGAGATGGTTTCTTGTCGTGCTGTGAAATTAAATAGGTAACCGCACTATATCAAGATTATATTGAAATCTCAATGTTTGAATGCAAATGTAGCAGTACTAGCCGCTGCAGTACTATTAGAGCGATTCAACAAGGGCTAAGGACCTAAGGTCCAGTCGTTCACATATTATTATTACGTAATCGGCCGCGAAGGGGAAGGGGTTTCCAAATTCCAAATGATTTCACACTAAAAATTATAGCGTAATTTAGATACAATAGGTATGTGTAAAATTGCAGATTACGTAGTCATGGGCATTGGGCCGGGAGGTTTGGGGGATTACCTGGCAGTGGCACGCCAATCCCTATGCGCGGTGCCGCGTTTTCAAGCTTCCTGAACGTCAGCAATAAACTAGCAAGCTAGCCCTAGCAGGGAAGGGGGGGGGGGGGGGGGGTAAAATGGTCCAAAACGTGATTACGTAATATGTGATTAACTACCCCCAAGCTCATTAAACTGCTGACAGGCTTATTTACAATGGGCTCCCGCGCCAGAATGTGTCCTGACTTATAACACATAATTATGAGTATGACTAACTCATTGCTCGAAACTTGACTGGAATTTCTCAGCAGAAAGCAGCAGCACTGGGTATAAAATTAAGGAAACAATAGTCACGTCTTCTGTTAGTAAAAGTAAGCGTAATTTAATTGCTGGATTATGACTTATGCTTGTCGTGTTCTTTTGTCACCGGCCGACGGAGCGAACAAAGAGCCGTTTAGTTTTACTCGAGTATAAACTAGTCTGAATCTAACAATGCAACTTTCCCGTAGTACTGACACTGAGTACTACTACTATCTTCAACTTTGTCCACTTAATAACCATTTGCTCCAACATGAGGGCAGTAGACAAGTTTAACAAAGGATCATTGAGTCGTGTAACTAACGTAAGTGTTATGTGATTTTGCCGTAGTCATGTCTACCCTTTTGGGAGCGTTTCGCTGTATCTTAACGATTAACGGGTGATACTCTTAAAATATTTGTTCCAAATATTAGACCGTCGACAAGTCCAACTCCATTCGGCGCGCGTGTTGGTAGGTTATAAACCTACAAGTACAATTAACAATTCTTTGATTGACGATGCCGAACCTTTGGACTAGCTCAAGCTGACTAGCTTGTAGCTAGTCAGCTTCTACGATCTCGACAAATGGTAGCGAAGCATTATTCCATGCACGGCGTGACCGAGTATGCAGTACTTTAGTTCAATAAGTACTTTAGTTCGACAATTAAAGTTCGCCAGAAATCACCCCTGTCGAACTTCGGTATGTGTCGAACTGTCCATGTTGATAAATGTCAAATGATCAAATTCAATGATAAATGCACTCGCAATGCACATAAGTTCGTAGCATGTATCAACGATTTATTATTGCCATTGGCTTATTATGGTAGGGGTTGTTTATAAAATTAAATTTGCACGTCGTCGTCTACGATCTATAGATAATATTAATTATAATTGTGTGATTGTTGCAAACAGCAAGTAGCAAATATTTCCTGAAATCAAGAACCTTTAATATTTGTATATTATAGTATTACGATGTAATACTAAAAATATAATATTAATATAAAAATGTTAAAGGTTTACATCAGTCATCACCCTGTCACCATTACATTTACTTATCGTGTTGAATTCTTTGTTGAATTAATAATATCTGCCAGCGCTGTAACTGTGAGCAAATAGACACTAATAACAAGCTGTATCTTTTGTTGTTGTGAACTGGATTTTATACCTTATCGGGCATAATTGTCACGGACATACATAATTGTCACGGACATACTTTCACGCTGAAGACCTTAGCGTGAATAATTATGTAGGTGAAAATAATGTCTGTGGCATTAAGGACCGTGAACAATAAAGTCCGGCAATTATTTTCATTAATTTTAATGTGTGTGTCCCTACTCCATACATACGTGTGTAGCCGATAACTATATTAGCTTATTACTATTAGTACTAGGAGAAATATAATCACTCCTTAGTCACATTCACTCTGTATTCGATTTACATAACAGTAAGTTAAAGTACTTTGTTGTAGGCGTAATTGTATATTACTCTCTCCCTGTACTGTTCTGATATGGACACGTTCATTGAAGTTTGAGGAAATTGGTAAATTTCTAAAACAGCGTTTTTGACGATAGTGGTTTAATTTTAACATATATTAATCTAGCGTGTTCATAAGATCTGAACATTAGCCACGTGACCCATACTCCCATATGCACTGCTCAAAAATAAAATGTATTGCTTTTAGGCACTACTATGTAAAAAATGTCACATTTTTGTGACATTGTTTACCATAGCTGCCCAATTAGCATTTTTTGGTCTAAAATACAGTAGATTAGGTCAATCTAACAATTATGATACAATGTAGGCCTAAAGGGCAGTGATCGAACGGCTTTAAGGCAACATTTCGTAAACTTTGTCACACTCAGAATACGAGACCTCTTTTTTACTGTGAGGTGTCCTCAAAACCCTTTCAACTCATTATTTGTAAGTTCTTCTGCCAATCATAGCCCTAAAATATGTTGCTTTGAAAAGTTAACAAATACATGCACTTGGCTATTGGGAAATGATGTAAATTCTGTCACATTATATGGAATATGAAATTCTGGGTGAATTTCCGAAATCATTTATATCTGATTTTGGTTTGGAAGGCGGGAAAACTCTATATGAGGACGATACACGGATACAGTTGATTGAAGTATAGGGCAGTTGATGTAAACATCGTCACAAAATGATACGAAATCGTAAATGGACACGTTCATGTTGAAGTTTAAGGATATTGGTAAACCAAAAGAAATAGCGTGTTCAGAAGTTCTGGACATTAGCCACGTGACCCATACTTCCATATACACGGCTCAGAAATACAATTTATTGTTTTTAGGCACTATAATGTAAAAAATGTCACATTTTTGTGACTGTGTTAACCATAGCTGCCCAATTAGCATTTTTTGGTTTAAATTATAGTAGATTATGTCATTCTAATAATTATGATACAACATTTGGCTAAAGGGCAGGGATCGAACGGTTTTAATGCAATATTTCGTAAACTTTGTCACACTCAGAATACGATACCTCTTTTCTACTGTGAGGTGTCCTCAAAACCCTTTCAACTCATTATTTGATGGTTCTTCTACCAATCATAGCCCTAAAATATGTTGTTTTGAAAAATTAGCAAATACATGCACTTATTGGGAAATGATGTAAATTCTGTCACATTATATGGAATTTAAAATTTGCCGAAATCATTTATATTTGATTTTGGTTTGGAAGGCGGGAAAACTGTATATAAGGACGATGCACGGATAGAGCTGATTCAAGTTAAGGGCAGTTGATGTAAAAATTGTCACAATAATAATAAGGGCAGTTGATATGAAAGAAAATCTATCTAACTAATGCAATGGCTGATGTGACGAAATTTACATTTCTTGACCCTATTTTGAAGAAACATGCCTCGATTAGAATTCAATATTCTTCCAGGAATTATTAGTAGGTTATTATTCAGCAAAACAGAACTCAAGTTTAACAATTCTGAGTTTAATTTTACTAAGTTACCGAAATGTGACGAAATTCACTTTTCCTGCCCCAACAGTATAATTTCAATGTGATGAAAAATTGGCATGGGTTTCTATATTTCCTTATCTCTGAATTAATCATTTCAAACTATAATTAGGACTGTTGATGTGAAAGAAAGTGTATCTAAATTTTACAATGACGTATGTGACAAAATTTACATTTTTTGACCCTATTTTGAAGAACCATACCCCGATTAGAATTCAATATTCTTCCAGGAATTATCAGAACTCAAGTTTGACAATTCTGAGTTTAATTATACTAAGTTACCGAAATGTGACGAAATTCACTTTTCCTGCCCCAAAAGTATAATTTCAATGTGATGAAAAATGGGCATGGGTTTCTATATTTCCTTTATCTCTGAATTAATCATTTCAAACTATAATTAGGACTGTTGATGTGAAAGAAAATGTATCTAAATTTTACAATGAAGTATGTGACGAAATTTACATTTCTTGACCCTATTTTGAAGAACCATACCCCGATTAGAATTCAATATTCTTCCAGGAATTATGGGTAGGTTATTTTTCAGCAAATCAGAACCCAAGTTTAACAATGCTGAGTTTGATATCACTAATTTACCGAAATGTGACGAAATTTACTTTTCCTGCCCCAACAGTATAATTTCAATGTGATGAAAAATGGGCATGGGTTTCTATATTTCCTGTATAAATCCATTCCAACTTTAATAAGGGCAGTTGATATGAAAGAAAATCTATCTAACTAATGCAATGGCTGATGTGACGAAATTTACATTTCTTGCCCCTATTTTGAAGAATCATACCTCAATTAGTATATAATGTTACTTTATCACCATCACTATGTCGATAAATTAGTTATTTTGCCAACACAGAGCAAATAAAGTTATAATATTTTTTTTGTGACGAAATTTACAAATTTTTACCCTGTTCAGGTGTTGAAATTTATCCAATGTTAACATATCACTGCCATATAATAATTTATATAATGACCGCCGACCGGCGTATAGTTGAAATATTGTTAGTTGATCCATAGTACGTAATATAGGGTGTTTAAGTTGGTATACTAATATTTACTCAATTTCACACATGTTGAGATATCATACAAATTTATGTGACTAAATTTTCCTATTTCTGCCTTCTGTATTTGTATTTGCCTATAACAATGAAATATGTGAACAATTCCAAACACATTCAGCTCACAAAATAATGCTAGACTATTCGGCATTTCTTGTCAGGATGTCATAAACATCCCTCATATAAATTTCTTAAATGTGTGACGGAGTTTACATGGTGCTACCATTTAAGGAAAAAAGTCGCTAAATATGTAGATAATAGTCATATACAGCTATTCTATGAATTGGAAATTCGAAAATTTGGTCAAACACGGCAACAAGGGGTCCATATAAACTCCGTCACGTTTTTATAGTGTGACAAAGTTTACAACTCACTGCCGGCCGCATTTAAGCGATAACTTATCGTCTGATAAAGATATCGTTATGCGACAAAGTTTATCTAGAGGATGAAACGATTATCTTAGGGTTAGAGGGTTTATGTAGTTTCATAGTGTGACACATTTTACATCATCGTGCCATTCAGTAGGGTCACTAATATTTACCAATATCCTCAAACTTCAATGAACGTGTCCATATATTACTTTAACCTTATCATTAACGTTTTAACTACATTGGTTTTAGTTATTTTCCTACAATAACATGCAGAAACCTTAGTCACCACTTCTTGCAGTAAAATATTGAAACATGACTATGCAAAACGTTTTTTGAAATTCAAATTATCAAAAAATCACCAACAATTTTCACAATTTTTTGGAAATTTTTGGGCGGTCATGATGCATGAGCATGAATAATTATGTCCGTGAAAAATTTGGTCCGTGAAAAACTTGTCTGTGACAATTATATAATCAAGAGGCTTGCATATAATGAACATATTGACATGGGTGTAGAGTTGAGCCTGTACGGAACCTAGTAGTTTCAATTCCTTGTTTAACTTGCCGTACAGCAAGGACTTCCACTACTTTAGCCCGGCGAGGCACATAGCTCCGATAAGGTATATGGAATTTATAAGCCTATCGCAGCGTTATCATATACATGATATAGTCCAAATTATTATAAAAGCATCGAATTGGTAACAAAGGTTATTAATATTATGAAAATGGTATCATCATTCAGTGAGACTCGTCGCTCGACTCTTTTGTAATAATACTTTTGTATATAAATAATAATAGCTGAAGCTTTATTTAACAGCAGCGTCAAAAGATATTGTCTAGGATGTAATTGTAACATTTGCCCAATTGTGTTCTGAGAAGCGGGTTGATATGGAGGAATCAGTGGAGATGCAGCACACAGTTCTATATTTGATAGCTTTGGGGGTCCTGTCATTCTGCGCTGTCGTCGGCAACATTCTCGTCATCTTCACATTCGTCAAGTGAGTTCTGTTACTATAGTCACCCTTTCACAATATGAATAGGTAGGTTCATAAAACCAAAACAATCATACCCAAATAATTTGTAAACAATGCTTGTCTGACGTTCATAATATAAGGCTTAATAACAACCAAAAAGTAACAGTGCTCAATATTTATAGGGACAGTGCACTACGGAACAGTACTGGATGCGTGATAATGAGTCTAGCTAGTTGCGATCTGATAACAGGTCTTATCGCTGTACCCACGGTCATCATGTCAATGTTAGACCACATTCCTTTCTTCAAACAGGGTATACATTTTTAAACCAACATTAAAGCTGTTCATCGGTTTAATTGGATAAAGTTGCTTCGTTTTTATAGGTTCAAAACGGGTGTTAAAGTTTAAAATAAACCCAAATTGCAATTAACTACACTGAAATATCGACTTAACCATGGCAACCCTAAGTAAACATGGTAACGATGATAACCCTAAGTAACCCCGACACTCGACAGGAATCGGCTGTGACTTCTCCGGTGTGATGGTGTTTAGCTGTTTCAACTGCTCCTTGCTCACGCTCAGTCTCATCAGTCTTCAGAGATATTTCCTGATTACTCACCCTTACAACACTCTCTTCTCCAAACACAACGTTCTGGTTTGTACCATCTTATATTATCCCATGTTTCTTCAATGTTTACGGTTTTGTATCCTACCATTGATATACTCATACTGATTTAATTATGTAATTTATTTTGAATTGTAGTTGACAAAGTGAGAGTCTCCACTCAGACTCTCACTTCGTCAACTACAATTAAAAATAAATGATTGACCCACTCATAAGAGCAAAAAAAAGATTACCAGTAATTATGCAATTACTTGTACACAACTGCTCTATTTCAGGTGATGATATCAGGAGTGTGGGTGTACTCGTTCGGTGCCTCGATGGTTCCGCTTCTCCCCTATTTCAACGGATTTGTCCTCTACAAATGGTCTCTGTCATGCATTCTAGATCTAAGAGGGATGGATGGGTTCAGAACTAAATACTACTCTGCTGCTTACAACACCTTGACCTTTCTAATAGCTGGAATTAGCATATCCTTCACACAAGTTAGCAACTTAGTATATCCTTCACACAAGTTAGAAACTTAGCATATCCTTTACAGAAGTTAGCAACTTCTTCTATTTTATTATGTTTAATAATGGATGATATATTTAAATTTAATGTTTATCGGTTATTAGAAAGACCCTCGAACCCCCCCCCCCCCCAGTATGACCTATGGTTAACTCTAAATTCCACAGTACTACATACTACGTGAGATATACAAGAGAACAAAGACAAAGGCCGGTAGTCTTGGTGACCAGCAGAGTAAAGAGCGCTCACAGACTAAAAGGTTCTACGCTACTAAAATGATAAGTTGGATGGTAGCGGGCTTTCTTATCTGTACTATTCCCATCATGATCCTCCTTTTTCTTAAGGTCTCTGAGAACATACCACCTAAGGTTAGTGGAACCACCCTCCTCTCCGAGGAATTTGAAACCCAACTTAGTGAACACCCTCCAGTCTCCACCGCCCCTCCCACCTAGTGAACCCCCTCCACCTTCTCCACCACCCCTCCCACCTAGTGAACCCGTTCACCTTCTCCACCACCCCTCCCCACCTAGTGAACCCCCTCCACCTTCTCCACCACCCCTCCCCACCTAGTGAACCCCCTCCACCTTCTTCACCACCCCCTCTCCACCTAGTGAACCCGTCCACCTTCTCCACCACCCCCTCCCCACCTAGTGAACCCGCTCCACCTTCTCCACCACCCCTCCCACCTAGTGAACCCCCTCCACCTTCTCCACCACCCCTCCCCACCTAGTGAACCCCCTCCACCTTCTTCACCACCCCCTCTCCACCTAGTGAACCCGTCCACCTTCTCCACCACCCCCTCCCCACCTAGTGAACCCCCTCCACCTTCTCCACCACCCCTCCCACCTAGTGAACCCCCTCCACCTTCTCCACCACCCCTCCCCACCTAGTGAACCCCCTCCACCTTCTTCACCACCCCCTCTCCACCTAGTGAACCCGTCCACCTTCTCCACCACCCCTCCCACCTAGTGAACCCCCTCCACCTTCTCCACCACCCCTCCCACCTAGTGAACCCCCTCCACCTTCTCCACCACCCCTCCCACCTAGTGAACCCGTCCACCTTCTCCACCACCCCTCCCACCTAGTGAACCCTCTCAACCTTCTCCATTACCCCTCCCCAATTCGTGAACCCGTCCACCTTCTTCACCACCCCCTCTCCACCTAATGAACCCCCTCCACCTTCTACACCACCCCCTCCCCACCTAGTGAACCCCTCCACCTTCTCCACCACCCCTCCCACCTAGTGAACCCTCTCAACCTTCTCCATTACCCCTCCCCACCTAGTGAACCCTCTCAACCTTCTCCATTACCCCTCCCCAATTAGTGAACCCGTCCACCTTCTTCACCACCCCCTCTCCACCTAGTGAACCCCCTCCACCTTCTACACCACCCCCTCCCCACCTAGTGAAACCCTCCACCTTCTCCACCACCCCTCCCACCTAGTGAACCCTCTCAACCTTCTCCATTACCCCTCCCCACCTAGTGAACCCCCTCCACCCCCTCCCCAACCCCCTCCCCACCTAGTGAACCCTCTCAACCTTCTCCACCACCCCTCCCAACCTAGTGAACCCGTCCACCTTCTCCACCACCCCTTCCCCACCTAGTGAACCCTCTCAACCTTCTCCATCACCCTTCCCCACCTAGTGAACCCCTCCACCTTCTTCACCACCCCCTCCCCACCTAGTGAACCCGTCCACCTTCTCCACCACCCCTTCCCCACCTAGTGAACCCGTCCACCTTCTCCACCACCCCCTCCCCACCTAGTGAACCCTCTCAACCTTCTCCACCACCCCTCCCCACCTAGTGAACCCGTCCACCTTCTCCACCACCCCTCCCACCTAGTGAACCCGTCCACCTTCTCCATCACCCTTCCCACCGAGTGAACCCCTCCACCTTCTCCATTACCCCTCCCCACCTAGTGAACCCCTCCACCTTCTTCACCACCCCCTCCCCACCTAGTGAACCCGTCCACCTTCTCCACCACCCCTTCCCCACCTAGTGAACCCGTCCACCTTCTCCACCACCCCTCCCCACCTAGTGAAACCCCTCCGCCTTCTCCATCACCCTTCCCCACCTAGTGAACCCCTCCACCTTCTCCACCACCCCTCCCACCTAGTGAACCCTCTCAACCTTCTCCATTACCCCTCCCCACCTAGTGAACCCTCTCAACCTTCTCCATTACCCCTCCCCAATTAGTGAACCCGTCCACCTTCTTCACCACCCCCTCTCCACCTAGTGAACCCCCTCCACCTTCTCCATCACCCTTCCCCACCTAGTGAACCCCTCCACCTTCTCCACCACCCCTCCCACCTAGTGAACCCTCTCAACCTTCTCCATTACCCCTCCCCACCTAGTGAACCCTCTCAACCTTCTCCATTACCCCTCCCCAATTAGTGAACCCGTCCACCTTCTTCACCACCCCCTCTCCACCTAGTGAACCCCCTCCACCTTCTACACCACCCCCTCCCCACCTAGTGAACCCCTCCACCTTCTCCACCACCCCTCCCACCTAGTGAACCCTCTCAACCTTCTCCATTACCCCTCCCCACCTAGTGAACCCCCTCCACCCCCTCCCCAACCCCCTCCCCACCTAGTGAACCCTCTCAACCTTCTCCACCACCCCTCCCAACCTAGTGAACCCGTCCACCTTCTCCACCACCCCTTCCCCACCTAGTGAACCCTCTCAACCTTCTCCATCACCCTTCCCCACCTAGTGAACCCCTCCACCTTCTTCACCACCCCCTCCCCACCTAGTGAACCCGTCCACCTTCTCCACCACCCCTTCCCCACCTAGTGAACCCGTCCACCTTCTCCGCCACCCCCTCCCCACCTAGTGAACCCGTCCACCTTCTCCATCACCCTTCCCACCGAGTGAACCCCTCCACCTTCTTCACCCCCCTCCCCACCTAGTGAACCCGTCCACCTTCTCCACCACCCCTTCCCCACCTAGTGAAACCCCTCCGCCTTCTCCATCACCCCTCCCCACCTAGTGAACCCGTCCACCTTCTCCACCACCCCCTCCCCACCTAGTGAACCCCTCCACCTTCTCCACCACCCCCTCCCCACCTAGTGAACCCCCTCCACCCCCTCCATACTGAAAACTCCCAGGAATATGCAGCATTTGCAGCCTTTATGACGTGGTTGAACAGTTTAGTGAACCCTACTATCTACTGGTGAGTCCACGGCTGTCGGTGGTCCGAAATTCATCAGTTTTGTTTATAGCACACAATGCTAAAATATATTTATTTTTACTTTATCCTCAATTCAGACGGCTGCTAGGATAAATACACCAATATATATATATACTGCACAGGTATTTCAACAAGAAGTACAGTAAACATTTGCGCGACAGTATGAGGAGAGGATCCAAGTTACTGAAGAGGATGAGCGACAGAGCTTTAACAACACCCAAAAGACCATCTAGTTTGCTGAAAATACTAAAAGGAAAATCACCGGCTAAAAAAGTAAGGAGTAAAAATGGTTGCGTTAAGGGCTGGGTGGTGTAGTGGTAACACGGTTGCCTCCCATGCAGAAGGTCCCGGGGTTCGCTGGCCATTTTTTGAGACTCCATATAACGTGTCACAACGATACTGATAATAACTGAAACGAAGTTTTAGGGATTTTAATGTTGAGATGTGGTAAATCTACACATATAATATAACACATATGTTTTATAGATAAAATCAATAATTTCAGGGTGATACTGATAAAGCGATCCAGGCCAGAGTCCCATGTGACATTGAGACAACAGAATGTACGTGACGTCACACTGCACATGACGTCACACTGCACGTGACGTCACATGACGTCAAGTGTCAGGGAACATGAGAGGGTAGCCGACGGTAGACATGAGTTGGGTGCAGCCCTGCTCTACTGCTCTGATATACTCCTCTCCTGCCTCCCTTCTCCATCTTCCTAGCAATCTACTTGTGTCCTTTACTGTGTCAAACCCTGAGAAATACACTTCAGACCAAAAATATAATAATTAAAGAAGACCAATATTTCTTTTTTTTCTTCACTTTTTAAGGTATTTATGAAACTCTTGCTTTTTGTGTAAATTTGAGCAAATCTACTTTTTAATTATTGTTGGCGGAGTGTAAATAAAAACAATGCTGATTTAAAACTATCTATAAGAGTGGTAATTTAAAAATGGAGTACTGAGCTATCTGTAAATATAGTGCTACGGGGGGGGGGGGGGGGGGTGCTACCCCCCAGTGCTACCCACCTCCACCCTCAGAAGAACCGGAGATTGAGTGTAACACTCTCTTCTCCACACTCGCACTCCAGTCAATCCCCACTGTCCTGAACAATTCTTTGGCTTTTTCCAGAGGATTCTTTACAACCTATAGAAAAGTTTCAAGCTATAAATTTAAACTATTAAAAAACCATTGTCTATCGTCTTGTTTGTGTGTAGAGACAGACGTTTACAGATCAGAGCGGTGAAAATATTAGTGGAGAGAGTGGTGACCCCACGGTTTAACAAAGCTACGTTTTCATAGAGGATAGTTGAGTATTGCAGGAGATGATTGTGTCTCTGAAGCTGATTAGCTCTTGTTGTTATTTCAGTGCAGATCTTGTGTGAAGAGTCAGCTATGATGTCCGGTGTGAACTCTTCAATCTCCTGCTCCTCTGCTAGGAACCTCTTAAACGTGTCCTGAAGGATTACATACAGCAGGGTGCATATTACTTACAATTATAATACTCCACTGCAGTTAATACGAACACGCCTATTTCTCGGTCCTAGTCCTAAGCTGTTCCAGATTTTTTACGGTATTATTTACTTTTAAAGTTATCAGCGGAAACCCTATCAGTATTTACCATGCGTGATTTGATGGAGGCTCTGGGGTCTCTGATCAAATGAATGACATTGATTTCACACTCTTTCGAGAGACTGGTGAACATCTGGAAGTGTTTGAGCTGGAGCACTTTAGCTATAGTGTGTTTAGATCGCTTACACTGCTCACTCAGTTCATCTGCGGAGATTATCTTGTCACTTCAATATAAAGTTAACATCTGCTATCTTATCCTAACAGTATACAATTCAAATTCTTTATCAGCACAGTAATTAATTATACAGAATTAAGATTCGTAATCATTAGTAATTAGCCCCCCCCCCCCCTCCCAACACGGACACACCCCAACTCTGTACCTGCATTAGGAGACAGAACCCCTAACATTCCCTTGGATCTGGATACTTTAGAAGATCTCTCCTGTATTCCATGAGATATGATCTCCTCAGTAAATTCACATCGACACAGATTTCTCAGTATTTCCTCCTGAAGCAATAACTTTTCCTGACAAAGTGACAGCAAACACAACAACTATTTCGTTCGTATCAAGGAAAATGTAAACAGATAACATACGTTTTAGACCGCTACCTGGAATTTCTCAGCGGTAAGATGAATCTTGGAGTCCCTGTAGACTTGGGGATGTAATGGTTCGTATATATAGAACACATCAGGATGAGAGTCGAAGAAAGACCCGATCCAACTACTCCCAGAGCGAGGCTGTGATAACAGGATCGTCAGTTTCCTGTGATGCGAACCTGGGGGATTAGAATAGTTCAGCTTCAGCCACAATGTCTTGGGGGAGGGTTTTGCTAAATTTGCAGTAATGAAATTCGTATGAAACATTTTAATTTCAGTCATCCGAGGGCCAGTCCTCCTCATGTAATATGACCTACCGAGAACGGAACTCGTTTGACAAATCATGTTGGCGAGTGGTTAATGACTACCTTAATTGTGGAAAAGTTATGGGATTTAATACGAAGTTGATAAGATTTCGGACAATCGTGCGTCAGATTGATGGTGAGTAGGTGATAATCCAATCTTGTAAAATCTGATCTTCCAGAAACATTGTTTGGAGGCGACCCTTTTACTCCCCTAATTATCTTCATTCATCTTATCACGAGATTGGAACGGTTAAACTTAACTTGTACGGGTTTTTCTGATTCGCTGAATTGTTCTTCTCCACTTTTATTTGTTGAATAGAATTTGGCTACCGAGCAGCGAGTCTGTAAATTTTATCATTTATTCGTTGGCGAATTGTGATTTTGTTATTCATTTATTTATAATTTGCATCAATTGTTTGGAAATGATGTAACTATATTTTACCATATACTAGAAATTTGGATTATGGAAACTGAGAAGACAGCAGAGACCAGTTGTTCTGGTGACCATGGTAACCAGAAGTACACCGAGAATGACAGAAACACAGAGGAAGGAGCTGTGACAGATAACAGAGATAAGATGAAGAAAAACATCACAGTTTTCAGAGGAATAGCCTTCGTAGTTGGTACAGTAATGGGAACGGGAATATTCATTACTCCCAACTCTATAACCCAGAGAGTAAACGCCCCTGCTACCTCTATAATGGTGTGGCTAGCTGGGGGCCTCATGGCAGGTATCGGAGGTCTTGTATTCTGTGAGCTGGGGACTATGATCCCAGTCTCCGGGGCCGAGGTAGCTTATATCCGCAAGATCTACGGTCGACAACCCGCCTTCGTGTCTGTGTGGCTGATACACTTCCTGTTAGGGGGAATGAGGCTTGCTATAGGAGTGTTGGGGTTCTCTGAGTACTTCTGGTCTCTCTTCTATGAGGATCCTAGAGATGTGAACTGGTGGCTCAACAAACTAGTGACTCTGCTAGTAACGTATATTATAGTGACCATGGTCGCGTGTAAACCAACCCTCATCCTCAAGAGTATAGTGCTCTTTACTGCCACCAAGTTCCTGGCTACATTTGTTATAATAGGAGCAGGGGCATACTACCTCGCCCAGGGACATACAGAGAACATAGCAGTGGGGTTCACGGGCACTAACACGGATCCTAAAGAGTGGGGAGATGCTTGGAACGGGGTTATCTGGAGCTACCTGGGCTGGGAGGAGATCTGCTGTGTTGCTAGCGAGATACAGAACCCTCAGAGGAACATTCCTATCATCGTCCTGGCCTCTATCAGCATCCTCACAGGACTTTATCTCTGTACTGTAATCAGTTTCCACATTGTCATCCCACTGAAAGATATGATCGACCCAGCCAGTTCGGCGGTGGCCAGCCAGTTCGGGTTGATAACAATGGGTGAAGCAGGTAAAGTTATCCTGGCACTCTTTGTCGTGGTGTCGACTCTCGGCAGCGTCCAGTGCTCCTTCATCAGCAATAGTCGATACATTCACTCCGGTGCAGCAGAGGGCCTACTTCCCTCCTGTCTTACACTAGTCAGTAAGAGGTTCAGAACCCCTATTGTCTCTATCTTGTACTGCACTATCATTACTACCATCTTCACCCTGATAGGGGGAATAGACGACCTGATAGGCTCAGCTTCTTTCACAAGGTTCCCTTTCTTCGTGTTGTGCAGTGTGGGAGTGTTTGTGATGAGGAAGACTCACCCCGATCTACCCCGTCCTTACAGAGTCCCCCTTATCTTCCCTGCTCTCTTCATCTGCTTTGGTCTCTTCGTCTTTATCACCCCCTTCCTAAATGAGGACTGGCTCATTTCTCTGGTGTGGATCTTAGTCCTGTTAATGGGGGTCCCTCTCTACTACCTGCTAATGGAGAACGTCTTCAACTTGAAGTTTCCTAAACGTATGGACTCTAGTGCTACCGCAGTGTTGAAGAAACTCCTCGACTGCGAGTAGAACACTGTGCACAGTGCAAACTATGTATACAGTGTACACTTTACAGTTTACACTGTAATGTACACTGTACACTGTACAATGTACAATGTACACTCACCTATGCATTTTCTTAATCCTATTGAATATGAATTGTGTACATAATGTTTTTTCTTAACAAGCTTAATTTCAAAGTTTCTATTCATGTTTCGCTCTGAGGTTAGATCAAGGTTGAATGTAAATCGGATTAAGGTTAAATGAAAGTTGAATGAAGGTTGGATGATGGTTGGATAAAGTTTTAAAAACTAACTTGGGGCGGCGCTGACTTGCGGCCTATTCGTGACGTCATAGGTCAGCAGTTTGATCATAAGCACAGTCGTTACTAATATTGCAGCGTAGAAACCTAATATTTTAGTGGTTCCTGAAATTGGAGAAATCAAATATGAGCAGGAAACTTCAATGGTTCATTCTCAATATTGAATCATTGAATGGTGAGGAACAGTTTACAGCTTCATAATGATAAAAGCTTATGAGGATCTAAAGATCATTACACATGTGCTGCCATGTCAATACTCAATAGTTTAGTAATAGTCCCCCCCCCCCCCCCCAGTCAAATGTATAAGTATTGAATACTGAATAGGATGTGATATCAAAAATCAGAACATCTAACTGACTTTATACGCTCTTGAACATGCTTATATAACAATTCTGACTCAATCAGGTACTTTAAGCTCAATTAGGATGAAGAAATGATAATCTTTCTATCATCCTTCCAATCGACTTGCTTTTCGATAAACCCTAAATTTCAATACTGATATAATAGCGATTAAGATAATATAAACGTTATTATAAAAAACGAACGTTACTATCTGAAAACTAACTGTTTAGTTTGGGTCGAGTATCAGGACGGATGAGAGAACTCCTTCTAGACCCCATTCCAATAGGATAAGAGAGCCAGGCACTAAACTTACTGTATAGTGGGAGCAACGCTAACTTTAATCTGGCAAACACTGCTAGAAGAGTGTCCACACTAGTAAATTGAGGTGCCTTCTTTTGCATGCTGGGTTTGTATAGATACAACCGTTTAGTGTATTGGTGCTTCTAATAAACACAGCTGTATACTTATTCTACAACCATGCTACCCTAGATTGCTAATTAATTTCCCGTCCCTCTACACATCCTGGGTTCTGAGGTAAGCACCAAAAGTCAAAACAGTTGCGAAACGTACCATCTTACTATACCGTACCCATGGGCCGCCTTAGGTTTTTACGATTTTTTAGCCGCACTGATCGCAACGGTCTAATAAAAATTCAGCTCAAACTACGAAATTTCATCTCCAAAAACTGAAAATGTGAGAAAATGATTTTTCCATTTTATCGGAGATTGGTCCTACGAGTTTCTTGTGATATCCATGTGTGATGTGATAAATTACCTACAACCAACGTATGTTACCCACTGCAAGTGCATGTCATAGCACCTTGTCGATACTGCCAAGTTTTAAAGGATACCTCCCTTTCCGCATCTAAATCATCATGGAAGTTAAGTCCAACGAAAATCCACGTAGTGTTTTACCCGAGAAGGCATCTAATTAACTAATTATATAATTAACCGAAGATGATGACACGGAGCGCGTATTGAGCACCTCATGGAGCAGTGTCTGGAGTGTAGGCTCTAAATACAGTGTACACTCTGCAAAGTGCAGCTCCCACTCTGCAGTATATAGTACTCTGTCTCTCTACACAGTTTCTTATCTGTTATGTGTTAGATCATGCTGTTTCTTATCTTCAGTCTATATCTATCGTTCCCTGCCCGCCTTCTGTCCGGTTCAGTAAAGCAGGTTTTTAAAGAGATAGATGTGAACGAAGACAGAGCCATCTCTCAGACAGAGCTATCATCGTGGTTCAACTTCCAGGATATAGAATACCTCAAGAGCAACGCTAGAGATCACTTCAGCATGTTCGACAAAAACAGGTTTTCATTAACTTACTAATACCGGACATCAATTGGACGCTGGAGGTCCTCGCGTTCATTTAATATCCGTTCAAATAACGTTCAATATTAGGTACTCACTTACTCATGTCTTACTATTTCCATTCTCTATCTACACAACAATTTGAATTACCGGGGAGTGGTAAGGGGAGGTGTAACCAAGTTACACAGACTGTTACACTTATCACTATATTCCTCAAATCCTACACTTTTTCTACAGACTTCAAGATATATCTTGAAGTCTGTAGAAAAAGTAAGTAAAAAAAGGAGTAAAAGGTGTTAAACTTTGATCAGAATGAAATATTTATATGTATTTCATTCTGATCAAAGTTTAACACCTTAATTACTCCTCCAATATTAACTTAAATGTGAAGATACAACAGACTTGTATCGTTATCTCCAGATAATGTTTGTTGCTTTGGTAACTAATGCCAATTACACTTTTACAGAGATCAGACAGTGTCTTGGGAAGAGTATGCTACGATAGCGTTCGGGGCAACACATACCGAAACCTGTAACGAGGTCTACAACGACAAGAAACCTGCAGAATTCTCCAAACTTGGTGACCAGGTAACGATAAGAAATCTGCAAAGCTCTCTCAACTAAGGGGCCATCTACTTAGGACGTCCGGCAAATAGGGAGGGGGGTGGTTTTGGAATTTCGGACAAATCTGGACGGGGGTGGTTTCTGAAAATCCGGAAATTTTGGGCAGAATTAACGAAAAGTCCCATTTATTTCAACTCTTTGAACTTTATTAACAATGAATTTGAGTTGGTTTTATTTGTACTCTTAAAAGTAGCTGGAAATCCGGACGTCCGAGGGAGGGGGGGTGGTTTTGAAAATTCGGACACAACCGGACAGGAGGAGTGGTCTGAAAATCCGCGATTTTGGCGGACGTCCTAAGTAGATGGCCCCTAAGTGACCAGGTAACGATTAGAAATCTGCATAATTCTCTAATCTAAGTGACCAGGCTATGTTTGCAGGTGCAAGAAGCTATAATGACAGCAGTGAGACGATGGCGAGCAGCAGGAGGCTGGTCAATGGGACAAGAGGAGTTCACAGGCTTTACTTACCCGGAACTCTTCCAACACATGAGAAACGTGGTGGTTGCTGAAGCGTACCAAACGTTAGTTAGTGTTACTAAAGTGCCACTAAGTGTCGCTAAGTGCCACTAAGTGTCACTAAGTGCTATCTTGTGTTATATTACTATTAGGAAGATCTAGAGTAAACAGTTCCGAATTATTCTATAATTTTTCTAACAGCTACGACACGAACAGAGATGGAAAGGTATCTGCACACGAACTTCTGACTAAGAAATTCAAACTTACTAAAGATCAAGTTGAAGCATTCTCTAAAGGTTATTTACGATGGATTTCTATTCAATAAATGTACTTATCCCTATTAAAACATTTGCTTAAAAATGGAAATTTCACATCACCAAGCGACAAAGAAGGATATGAACCTCCCAGTAAACAAATAGGGGTTATCATTGGTAACAACATTGTTTTTCAGGTAATTACGATATAAAAGACACCCCAAACATGCTGGGACTGAAAGATCGGAACAATAACGGAATATTCGAGAAGAAAGAGCTGAGTTACTGGTTGATGGAGAACAGACGAATGATGAGAAGAAAAGAAGCGGACTCTTTATTTGCAGCCATAGACTCTGACAATAACACAAGGATATCCTTACCAGAGTTCCAGAGAAACTCAAATAAGATTAAATCGAGTTCTATAGGGAGGTATATTGATATTAGAGAGGAGCTGTAGTATCACATCACGTCACGTCACGTCACGTCATTCAAAGTGATATGACGTTTTCTTGAGGTAAATACTTTCCAAGTTCCCAATATTTCTGGATGTTGTGATAACCGTTATCAGCTTTATTTGTCTTTTTGTCATTATCTTTTGCTAAATATTTTGATTGGCTACTCACATTGAAATTCTGAATTAGATCCCGAATACCCAACAGTATTATCATTAAACACAACTTTGGCGTTATATCAAAATAAAATTTTAAATTACACAATTTCGAACATTCCTACCGAATAGAAGTTTTTCGGAAAGTGAAGCTTCAAGCTGCTTATAACGCAACAATTAAACTTCTCCCATAGTTATTCAAACCAATAGAACAATCACAACAATAGGCTCAAATCAAAAAAGAATAAATCCAACTATCAATCGTCATCAGAAAATCCGTTCTTCTTAAAAATTAAACATTTTTTGTGTCTTGACAGTACAACAGCATTCAGCAATCATTTAAAAACAAATGTCGAGATGAAGCGTGTCTAAAAAAGGCACCTACTTGTTTACACGTTTTTATTTTTTAAATTATCAATTCATAATGATTCCCATTTCTATTTTCTGGCTGTTGAAGTCACTGTCGTAGCTTAAGAATTTTCTTTCCCATGCGACGAAACATATAAAATTACTAAAAACTCTGTCATGATTCATTGTCCTTACATGTATGCTACCATCTCCGTTGAAATGGGACCAGCGAAATGTAGTCGAAATGTAGTTTTTTCATTTTCACTCCATGAAGTACGTGTTCAGGTTTTAATTGGTTTATATGCTCGAAAAATGTAAATTCAATTTCGCCCACATTTCGACGCCCCTATTTTGAGGGGACTAGCAGCATACATGTAGATTAAGCGGGATCTCTTCATTTAATCAAACTTCGATTCTATTGCAACTATGGAGAGCACAATCAGCTCAAACCAACTTATTGACTGTAACAGTGAACAGAGAGTAAAACTTGTCAACTGTTCTCTACAAGGAAGTCAAGGAGTAGGCCTAGGTCTGTATTTTCAGGCTGCTTTTTCAGCCCCATTACAATGTTCTGAACAGTATAGCCCATCTCATTGAACTGCTTGATAAGACCCACCCTTTCTTCTCTCTTTTTACCAGATGCCTCTAAAAGAGACGCCGCCTCTGCTACCTCCGCGCTACACTCATTCTTTGACATGACATCCAGCACTTCCTGGAGGAATTGAAAGCACTTTTCCTGGTTGTGCTCCAGGCGCTGCATAGCGCGTGCAACCACTTCCTCTGGTATTTTGGGGAAGGGGGAGCAGGAGGCAGGAGGAGGAGGAGGAGGAGGCGAGGCGTACGCTGGTGGACTGTAGGAGGGAGGCACCTCGCTGTAACTAGGGGGACTGTAAGAAGGTGGCACCTCAAATGAGGGGTTACTTTTAACGGCAGTGAAGGTGCTGCTGTGTATTTGAGGTCCGTTACCCGCACTGCTAACCTCTATGCTACTGCCGCTGTTCAGTTTATTGGATTTAATAACTGCAGGAGGCTTGTTAACGGTGGAGTATACTGGATCAGGGGGGCTGGAGTCTGCAGGCTCGGAGGAAAGTTTCTTGATAAAGGTAACGTCTGCATAGACAGTCTCTTGAGGACCATCAAGTAAAGAGAAATCATGTGCAGGCTGAGGGGCCAGAATAGATTTAAGTGCATCAAAATTACTCAGAGATTGCAGCTCGGCCCCATCGAAAGGGTTAGAATTGTTCACATCAAAGTCGTTGACGAGATCTTGGTTGCTGGCGGTAGGTCGTTTAGGTTTATTGTTAACAGACGCAGACGCGGCAGTTGGAATGAGAACATCTCCGCTGACTGCGAGGAAAGGGTTGGTAGGATGAGGCTCTACAATAACCTCACAGTCGTCTGAAGACCCTGAACCACCCTCCTCCAACTGTTCGTTAGCAGAGGTTGCTTCTTCTAGAGCAGCTTGTTCTGCTGCCGCCTGTTCTACTGCCGCCTGTTCTGCTGCTGCTAGTTCTGCTGCCTCGCGCAGCCGCTTGTTGTTCAGTATCTCATTCTCCGTTTTGAATGTATACTGAAACATCTTGCGTCAGATATTGAGTGATGAAAATAAATGTTGTGACACCGCAGTTTTGTAAAGAGATAGGATTAGGTCACTTACATTCAATGTATCAAGCGGGTGCGCCTAAATTATGTAAAACAGAGGTAATAACGCGCGTGTGCGCTGTTTTCACTTCAAATCTCAGCTTGTGGTAGACCCTTTACAAAATAAACGATTTCCTGTCAGGATCGTAATTAGAATTTCTCATATCATTGCTCAATTGACACTTTAGATGTGGTACCATCGTAATATTATACATCTCATGAACTCATCTCACACCATGAATGTTACTTCCTTGTGTAATAACATGCACTCGTCTAATAGTATACAGTAAAGAGTGAGTTGCAATGCGTTTGCAATAAGGTGTAAATTCTATTTTAGGAACAAATTTATTAGTTGAACTTCTCGCTCGTAATACCTACATTAAATCTGTGAATGTCCAAATGATAGTCGAGTTCCGGTATTCGAGATTTCTGAAATAGTCTCGTGTTAGTTTTGCGATTTACATATTCTTTGTAATTAGGATTTGTATGACTGGTATCAGATTACAATTTGCTCTTAAATCATTCTAATTTGAAGATACAATTACAGAGTTACAGTAAGAAATGCGTGCTACTAGTACAGTTTGGCTAATTTCACCGAATGATGAAGCAAAGCTGAGTTATCATTGTACCTACTGCACTGTCTGTCAAGTTCAACAAATTATACCAAAAGAGAAGGGGTAACACGTATCAATTTATCAATAGGACAAAGTTTAAAGAATGTACTCACCGCTATCTGATAGGCTTTAGGTATCACAAACGGTAACGTGTTTATATCGAGGTGATCTGAAAATTCAACAAATTAGTGCATTGTAATGTTTATGTGTTCACAGTCCAGTTTAAATTGGTTCTGAGATTACGCACATCGGAAAATTAAATTAAAACTCCTTTGCTCGGTGGACCAATTTAAGTAGATTTAACCAAAAATTACTTTATGGGAGAAAATTTATTCCTATTAATTTGACCTAACTACCTATTAAAATTAAATTATAAGTCAACTATAGTGAACCGTCATAATTGTGCAAAGAGCTTTTGAATCGGTAAACAAATCGTCGAAACATTCTAAATTTGGTTTGAAATCAGGGCCGTTAGCCGTTAGACCTTAATTTGGAATTATTCGCGAGGTTCTCACCAAATTGATAAAACAATTATTTAAGTTTCGTGCATTTGAATTACGTTGACGCATATCTTCGGTGAAGCTATTTCGCTCTTCTGAGCAGCGAAGGAGATAATTGACGGCATAGGAACGCCTTTCTTCAAATTACTCCTAAGCTAATTCAGATGAGCACTTTTTTTGGAAAAAAAAAGAAATACATAGATTAAGCATTATGCCCCCTAAAGAAAGAATACCATCTTAAAACTAGAAATCCCCTAAAAACTAGAAATCCTCATCTCTACTTAAAGCATCTTCGTGACCAAACTCGCGAATAAAGTCAAAATGTCTGATTGATGAGGTTGGTACTATTCCTTACAGCCGTAGACTGGAAATCCTTAATTTGAAAACGCTGGCAGAGCGGCGAATACGTGGGGACCTTATTGAAACTTTTAAGGTTATTAATGGTTTGACTGATTATGGTTCAGACTTGTTCAGACCAAGCAGATCAGGTCTTAATCTGGTTTCATCCAATAGATGTAGTAAGAGTGTGACAAAAGTCAAGAATCTTCAGTGTTCTTGTTGGAACAAACTCCCTTCGGAGGTAAAGAACTGCTTGACAGTTTTGAGTTTTAAAATTGGATTGGAAAGTTTTAAAAAGGATATGATTTCTAAATGTTTTGTTAATGACTTTCATTTTTGGAATGTTTCGAAAGAAGTTTTAACAAGAATTGAAGGTACCAATTATGTCAGTAATAAGGAAAAACACAATGATTATCTTTGGTTTCATCCTTATGTAGCAAAGAAACGTTTTATAAATCTTTACTCCACTGGGAAGTATGAATAAATTAAAAAATTTTTAATGATGTTGTTATTTATGATTAATATTTGATAAATTATTACTTTTAAATTTTTTTTAAAATTTATTTATTATTATTTTTTTTTAAATATGCAACCTACTAAAACCAATGGGGCCCTCCCCGGGGTCATTACTCTCGCATTTGCGAGAGTCGTCCCCAAGGTGTGAAAGTAGGTCAAGATTTGTTCACACCAAGCTCTAGCATCGCTATTTGTTGACCATCTGCCTTCACTGAAGGTATGTTTTTAGAGAGTGGAGGCCGACCGTCAGCTTGGGATGCAGGGCCAAGTGGTAAACAACGTCAAGGCCCCCTTCCAGTTTCCACATGGGCCATGTTGGTTTTGGCAGATACTGTGATAATAAGATATGAAGTGAATGAGTGAAATGAAGTGAGTGAAAAGGGTGTAAAAGAGGAAGAGCTTGTAAGGTAGTTTAGGAATGGAAGGAAGCAGGGCATGTACTACAAAAAACAGCTAATATTACTGTAAGATAGTAACACTAACCATTGATAATTAAATAACAAAGACAGCAATATAAATGGGGTGGACAAATTGCCCTAATCGGCCAAGATCGACACAATAGAACTTTTGTGACCTATTTTGTCTCCTGTAAGTGAAAGTTTAAGAAGTTTGATATACCCCTGCCAGATCGGCATGTCCCCTGCCTGAAATCTTTTGCTAATGTACCATTTGGCAACAATATTAAAATAATTTATAATTTGTGAAGTGTGATTACAAACTATAAAATTAATTTTATTGGGGTCTTTGTAATTTCTATCGATTTTCCTTTTGATAAAGTCTTCAAGTATTGTGATGAAGCTATTTGTGTGGATACAATGGAGATAGATATGAGGAATTGTTTCTAAGTATGTGTTACACAGGCTACACATGGGAGTATCTGTAACAATTTTCATTTTGTGTCTCATGTATCTACACGTCGTGATCCTCATTAGAAGTTTGTACTGAAATTGAATCAACTTATAATTTTTAGATACTAAGAAAAATAGGTTGCTTAGAACGACCACCCATTCTATTGGTTGATTATTTAGGTCAATAACCCATTGACGTAATGGGGACAGCTCGTTTGGGCAGATAGCGTCGTACATTTTATCCCGAATTTTACTACCCTTCACCTTTCCAGTTACAGAATGTAAAAATTTGAGTTTTATATTTGAGTCAACAAACTCAATATTCCTTGAGTTAATACGGAGATGGTGATATGGTCAGGAAATTTCAGTTGCATAATCATAATATCTTTCCAAGTGTGGTGAAAGGAATTATTTAGTAGCTTGGATATGATTTACTTTTAAATTTGATGGAGAAATAGTTACTGTATATTTTTCCATGTAGTGCGATGACACTTTGTAGACATTAGTGATGATGTTATGTCATAATTTTTACTTTACTTACTTTACTATACTTTATCTTTGGTGCCAAGCTTAAACTGGTAAACATAAGGAAGTTGTAGAGCATGTTTACTGGGGGGTACCCCCACTGTTTACTGGGGAGTACACCCCTATTTACTGGGGAGTACCCCCCCTATTTACTGGGGTTACTCCCTGTTTACTGGGGTTACCCCCTGTTTACTGGGGTCACCCCCTGTTTACTGGGGTCACCCCCTGTTTACTGGGGTCACCCCCTGTTTACTGGGGGTACCCCCCTGTTTACTCCTGCTGCATCTCTTTAATGTTAGTTAGTCGGAATAATTGTAGACAGAGATCTTATGAATTTTAATGAATAAGTTGTCTAATTAGTTCTAACTACATATTAAGATATTATTAAGATGCAAGTTAATGTAATATCAAGTTAGTGGTTTACGTGTACTCCTGCATGGGTAGGAGTTATATGTAGACGACCCTTAATTATACTTATTTGGAAATTTTCAATCTGTTTGCCTAGCAACCTTAGCTTCTCAATAAGATTTTATAATTATAAAATTTATCTTTGGTTTTCCAGAAAACTAGCATTAGCACTAAGGATGCCAGTCGAACGCATTGAAAACTACATATTGAAAACTGTATATATAATTTAAATTAAAATATTGTCAAATTGTTATTATTCTAGAGGGTAAAGAAAAAATTTGTATTGCGTAATCAACAGCCAAATTCCTTATTATATTAACATATCAATATGGTAAATGTGAGATCAAAAGTGATGAACAAATTGATTGATAAGTTCTTTTACTTACTGTTTGAGCTACTCCCAGAAGAACTGCCGCATTTTCTAAGAGTCTTCTCCATCTTCTACTGGCATCTTTTACCCATACTAAGCATTCAGACAGGTTAATTTTACATTAAATAATATTTTATAGGTAAATAAATACCACAGATGACCAAATATGGTCATGGTGTCATCACTCATCAATTCTGATTTCTAAATTCTTCCTTTATTTAACAAATGCACAAGATTTGCAGTATTGATAAGTTACAAATGTAATAACAGTCACTGAATTAATTTGTGTATATTAACCTGCAAATACAATAGAAGATTGACAAAATATCTACAATCTACAAAATATCTACAATCGTCTGCCTGATACCATCTCATCAGCTCAATCCTTAGATCTTTCAAAGCCCTTCTAAAAACTGTCTAAACTGTCTTTAAATGAAGTTGAAAAACGTTATCGATATAATCTATTTTGATCCTATAATGTAATGTTAGATTCTAACATATTTAAGTATCATTTTCTAAGTTATATACATGAGTATTCACGATTTATTATCAAGCATAAGCTACCTCTACTAACCTAGTTTTCAAGTTATTTTCTGGGATGACTAGTTTAAACACTGCTGAGTAAAAGTATTCATTTTTTTCGATTTTTCAAAGTCCGCACCCAGTCAAAAGCTTTTTAATTCTAAAATGTGACGAAAAATATGCATTTCAAGATTTTAGAAATAAATATTTTTAAAGAAATATCCGGCAAAATCTCAAATTCCAACTATGGGAATTGGGAATGGGTTGCGAGGTCTACTAAATAGTGGGTATATATTGCCCCCCCCCCCCCCCCCCCCCCCCCCCCCCATATTGCCATTTCCCAATGTTTAATGACCTGTTTAAAGTTTCTCAACAGTTAGTACCAAAAAAGCCGGCAAAAGGGGTGGGTGTCTTAATTATTGTCCGAAAAAACAGTTTGTACCGCGAAGAGGGTGGTGGGTCTTTTGACAAATTCTAAAATCCCCCCAGCCCCCTCCCCCCTGATTGAGACAAGACAAAATCAGTGGGATTCAATTATTGGTTAGATATATATCAAAGACTAAGATTAATTCCTCATTTATTTGGGCATCAAACCGCAAATTATTTTATTTTAATCAGAAAACATCATGTCAAACATTTGTGGAGATTGGGGGGGGGGGGGGGGGGGGCCAACCATATTAAAGTATATTAAAATGTAGGATTTTTCCCGATTTTGACCCGGGGATATACTTTAATATACTTTAATATACCTACAATATACTTTAATATCCCTATCTCCTTGGAGGCCTACTTCAAAAATTGTTGCCCAAAATAAGCTTGAAATGCAATCTTAATCTATTCCAAAAAGTTCTTGAAAAAATATTGAAAACTGATGGAGTTATTTCAATTTTAATGAAGTCATTTTGGCTAGTATTCCAAACCGAGATATTAAGATATTATGTGCAATTTTCCCAATTTTGTTCATGGAGGTCTTTTTACTTAGTATCCACTATATTCAACAAACACTGAGTTATATCTTTCACATAGAGTTAGTCTCATTAAAAAATATTGAAATTTTATCGAATTTGGTCAAAAGCGAATTTGGGCAAAAGCGTATGCCCAAATATGGGCATACTTTTTAAAGCTCATAGCTCAGCCAATTTTTGACCAATCTGGATGGAAATTCATGTACTAGTCCTAAAACAGGCTTATCTTGCGAATCTGAGTGAAAAATATAGTTCATCATGTAAATCTTAACGAAGAATATAAATCTTCTAATTGTAGGTATACCTAATAATAATTAATATACATATTAAAGTATATTAAAATGTAGGATTTTTTCCGATTTTGACCCGGGGATATACTTTAATATACTTTAATATGGTTGCCCCCCCCCCCCCCCCCCCCCCCCCCCCCCCCCCCCCCCCCCCCCCCCCCCCCCCCCCGAGATTATTTCTAAACAATAAATGCAATCATTGATCATACCTCGTTGTTGAACTAATAATAGAAAAGTGGAAGTAAACTGACATTCTTTACCCGTGAATACGCTGGTATCTAATAAAGTGTGACTGATCAGAACAATACAAGTATAAAAGTTGTATAAGAACATTCCTGGCAATTTTAGAGTTTCTCTCTTGTGTGAGTACGGTGGTGTCTGACAAGACGTGATTTATCAGAGCAAGCATATGAACATTCCTTACACTTGTTGGGTTTCTCTCCCGTGTGAGTCCGTTGGTGTATAATAAGACTTGATTTAACAGAGAAAGTATATGAACATTCCTTACACTTGTAGGGGTTTTCTCCCGTGTGAGTCCTTATATGTTTCTTGAGATCACCTTTCTGAGCACTAGAATACGAACATTCCTTACACCTGTAGGGTTTTTCTCCAGTGTGAGTACGTTGGTGTGTAATAAGATTTGATTTATCAGAGGAAGTATATGAACATTCATTACACTTGTAGGGTTTCTCTCCCGTGTGAGTCCTCATATAATGTTTCTTGAGATCACCTTTCTGAGCACTACAATATGAACATTCATTACACTTGTAGGGTTTCTCTCCTGTGTGAATCCTCATATGTCTAATGAGATCACCTTTCCGAGCACTACAAAATGAACATTGGTTACACTTGTAGGGTTTCTCTCTCGTATGAGTACGTTGGTGTCTGACAAGACGTGATTTAAAAGAGCAAGTATATGAACATTCCTTACACTTGTAAGGTTTCTCTCCCGTGTGAGTACGTTGGTGTATAATAAGACTTGATTTATCAGAGCAAGTATATGAACATTGGTTACACTTGTAGGGTTTCTCTCCCGTGTGAATACGTAAATGTTTCACAAGATCACTGTTCTCAGTACATGTATAAGAACAATTGTCACATTTAAAAGCTTTCCCAACAAGAGAAGTATTTTCTTTCCCTAACCTATCTGATGATCGTAAAGAGTTTAACAGGACATCTTTAGTAGACATATCATTGATTGTTTCACCATGATGTTCTCTGATATGTTCCACAAAGAACTCATCATAAAGGAAGTGAGCTTCACATTGCGGACAAATGAAACCATGTGATATTCCAGTCACCTCCTCCTGCTCGGTTTTTATTTCCTTTTTGATTGGAATTAAATTTATGTTACTGTTTTCTTTATCAGCAGCTGTTGAGGATCTTTTACTCCGTGTTAACATGACTATCTTACCTGCATTAGTAACTGATTAATGAATTAAAATACACAAAATTTCCAAATTCAAATAACCAAATCTTTAATTACCAGTTTGCTGTTACCGCGTCAGTTTGCTGTTACCGCGTAGTTTACCTTTGCGTGTGTACTTGTACATTACTATACAAGTACACTATGGCGGATGACCCTACTTTGACCCGATCCCAGGAGTTGATTAAGGAGTTCAACTATGATCAACAGGAAGATGTGGAAGGCTGTGTTGCACGCTGGTCCAGTCAGTTAGGAAAAGACCTGCATATGGACTACAGTGAAATTGACTACGACAGTCGTGAAAAGATCAAGACTAAGGATAAACAGACTCTGTCTGGCTGGATTGTGAATGCAGTGGACCTTGTTCGTCGGCAGAATAGTCAGATGTATCTCTTGAAGGAGATCATCGAGTGCTTCAAGACGGAAGCACTAGCAGACAAAGAAAAGGTGATCAGACTGCAGAGCCAGCTGCTGATGCAGAAGGACGAACAACTACAGTTGCTTAAGACGTCTGTTGAGGAGACAGTGCAAACAACGGTGGAGTCAGGGATTCAGAACTATAGTGCAGCTGTTCAACGGAACAGTGCAAGTGGTACGGTCTGCAACAGTAAAATCCTGAAGAAGGTGATGAAGAGTGTGGCTGCAGAGGAGGACAGGAGCAAGAACCTGATCGTGTTTGGGCTGAAAGAAGAGGAGGAAGAACAGCTTCCAGCGCTAGTTACCGCAGTTTTAGAGGAGATCGGGGAGAAACCTCGCTTCGAAGCGACTAGAGTCGGTTGGAAGAGGCCAGGTAGTACGACTATCCGACCAGTCAAGATCACCGTCCCAAGCTCAACAGCGGTTCATCAGATTCTGATGAAAACAGGGAGACTGAGGGAGACGCACAAAGATGTATGGATATGTCCAGACAGATCCAGCGAAGAACGAGCAACAAGGAAGCATCTGGTCACTGACCTGAAGAAGAAAAGGGCTGAACAGACTCATCTCGACCACTACATCCGGTACGGGAAGGTATGTAGCCGTGATAAGAAGTCATCATGAGTTATTCATGTCTCTCGGACACTGATCAGTATATGAAGGAGTGATGAGTATTTTAAGAATTTTCAGACGTTATCTGTATTTGAGAGACAACTATATAATTTGAATATTTTATTATTTGATTGTTTCACACTTTTCATATTTCATAATTTTATTACTAGGTGGAGGTGATGTTATTGAGACTTTGGGCGGCCATAAAACTCCTGTTTTGAAAGTTGTCCTCTGTACTTGTTTCACTGACCCACGCTTTATAGCATTTATACATTTCGGCCCATTTTATATGTTTGTTCGATTTGCTGTACATTTGTATATTTGCTATTTTGTAAAAGTTTCAAATCAAATCAGTGGGTATAAATAAATGGAATATTATTAAATTATAATAATTAGACCCCCTCGGCCCTCAGATATCTATATTATATCAGTACCATGCAGCTATAATGCAGTTAATAAATGTCATATCATAGTCATATTATAAAAATAACAAATAATATAGATTGTGGAAAAACGATACATTTACTAATTTCTACTATTGAGACAAGACAAAATCAGTGGGATTCAATTAATGGTTAGATATATCTAATAATATATCAAAGATTATGATTAATTCCTTACTTATTTGTGCAACAAACTGCAAAATTCTTTCATTTAAAAATCAGAAAAATTCATTTCAAACATAGCTCTAAACATTGGTGGAGATTATTTCTAAACTTTAAATGCAACCATAGATCATATCTCGTTGCTGTTCAACTAATGATATAAAAGTGGAAGTAAACTGTCATTCTTTACCCGTGAATACGCTGGTATCTAATAAAGTGTGACTGATCAGAACAAGTATAAAAGTTGTTATATGAGAACATTCCTGGCAAATTTAGAGTTTCTCTCCCGTGTGAGTACGTTGATGTCTGACAAGACTTGATTTAACAGAGCAAGTATATGAACATTCCTTGCACTTGTAGGGTTTCTCTCCCGTATGAGTACGTTGATGTCTGACAAGACTTGATTTATCAGAGCAAGTATATGAACATTCCTTACACTTGAAGGGTTTCTCTCCAGTGTGAGTCCTTATATGTAATGAAAGATGACCTTTCTGAGCACAAGAATATGAACATTCCTTACACTTGTAGGGTTTCTCTCCCGTGTGAGTTCGGTGGTGTATGACAAGACGTGATTTAACAGAGCAAGAATATGAACATTCCTTACACTTGTAGGGTTTCTCTCCCGTGTGAGTTCGGTGGTGTCTGACAAGACGTGATTTAACAGAGCAAGTATATGAACATTCCTTACACTTGTAGAGTTTCTCTCCCGTGTGAGAACGTTGGTGTATAATAAGACTTGATTTATTAGAGCAAGTATATGAACATTCGTTGCACTTGTAGGGTTTCTCTCCTGTGTGAATCCTTATATGTCTAATGAGATCACCTTTCCGAGCACTACAAAATGAACATTGGTTACACTTGTGGGGTTTCTCTCCCGTATGAGTACGTTGGTGTCTGACAAGATGTGATTTAATAGAGCAATTATATGAACATTCCTTACACTTGTAGGGTTTCTCTCCCGTGTGAATGCATTTAAAATGTTTCACAAGATCACTGTTCTCATTACAGGTATAAGAACAATCGTCACATTTAAAAGCTTTCCCAACAAGAGAAGTATTTTCTTTCCCTAACCTATCTGATGATCGTAAAGAGTTTAACAGGACATCTTTAGTAGACATATCATTGATCGTTTCACCATGATGTTCTCTGATATGTTCCACAAAGAACTCATCATAAAGGAAGTGAGCTTTACATTGCGGACAAATGAAACCATGTGATATTCCAGTCACCTCCTCCTGCTCGGTTTTTATTTCCTTTTTGATCGGAATTAAATTTATGTTACTGTTTTCTTTATCAGCAGCTGCTGAGGATCTTTTACTCCGTGTTAACATGGCAAACTTTCCTGCATTAGTAACTGATTAATAAAATAAAAATAGACAAACTTTCCAAATTCAAATAACCAAATCTTTAATTACCAATGGGTATAAATAAATGGAATATTATTAAATTATAATAATAAGACCCCCTCGGCCCTCAGATATCTATATTATATCAGTACCATGCAGCTATAATGCAGTTAATAAATGTCATATCATAGTCATATTATAAAAATAACAAATAATATAGATTGTGGAAAAACGATACATTTACTAATTTCTACTATTGAGACAAGACAAAATCAGTGGGATTCAATTAATGGTTAGATATATCTAATAATATATCAAAGATTATAATTAATTCCTTACTTATTTGTGCAACAAACTGCAAAATTCTTTCATTTAAAAATCAGAAAAATTCATTTCAAACATAGCTCTAAACATTGGTGGAGATTATTTCTAAATAAAACTTTAAATGCAACCATAGATCATATCTCGTTGCTGTTCAACTAATGATATAAAAGTGGAAGTAAACTGTCATTCTTTACCCGTGAATACGCTGGTATCTAATAAAGTGTGACTGATCAGAACAAGTATAGAAGTTGTTATATGAGAACATTCCTGGCAAATTTAGAGTTTCTCTCCCGTGTGAGTACGTTGATGTCTGACAAGACTTGATTTATCAGAGCAAGTATATGAACATTCCTTACACTTGAAGGGTTTCTCTCCAGTGTGAGTCCTTATATGTAATGAGAGATGACCTTTAGCTTTCTGAGCACAAGAATATGAACATTCCTTACACTTGTAGGGTTTCTCTCCCGTGTGAGTCCTCATATGTCTCTTGAGATCACCTTTCTGAGCACTACAATATGAACATTCCTTACACTTGTAGGGTTTCTCTCCCGTATGAGTACGGTGGTGTATGACAAGACGTGATTTAACAGAGCAAGAATATGAACATTCCTTACACTTGTAGAGTTTCTCTCCCGTATGAGAACGTTGGTGTATAATAAGACTTGATTTATTAGAGCAAGTATATGAACATTCGTTGCACTTGTAGGGTTTCTCTCCTGTGTGAATCCTTATATGTCTAATGAGATCACCTTTCCGAGCACTACAAAATGAACATTGGTTACACTTGTGGGGTTTCTCTCCCATATGAGTACGTTGGTGTCTGACAAGATGTGATTTAATAGAGCAATTATATGAACATTCCTTACACTTGTAGGGTTTCTCTCCCGTGTGAATGCATTTAAAATGTTTCACAAGATCACTGTTCTCATTACAGGTATAAGAACAATCGTCACATTTAAAAGCTTTCCCAACAAGAGAAGTATTTTCTTTCCCTAACCTCTCTGATGATCGTAAAGAGTTTAACAGGACATCTTTAGTAGACATATCATTGATCGTTTCACCATGATGTTCTCTGATATGTTCCACAAAGAACTCATCATAAAGGAAGTGAGCTTCACATTGCGGACAAAGGAAACCATGTGATATTCCAGTCACCTCCTTCTGCTCGGTTTTTATTTCCTTTTTGATCGGAATTAAATTTATGTTACTGTTTTCTTTATCAGCAGCTGTTGAGGATCTTTTACTCCGTGTTAACATGACTATCTTACCTGCATTAGTAACTGATTAATGAATTAAAATACACAAACTTTTCAAATTCAAATAACCAAATCTTTAATTACCAGTGGGTATAAATAAATGGAATTTATTATTTTAAATTATAATAATTAGACCCCCTCAGATATCTATATTCTATCAGTACCATGCAGCTATAATGCAGTTAATAAATGTCATATCATAGTCATATTATAAAAATAACAAATAATATAGATTGTGGAAAAACGATACATTTACTAATTTCTACTATTGAGACAAGACAAAATCAGTGGGATTCAATTAATGTTTAGATATATCTAATAATATATCAAAGATTATGATTAATTCCTTACTTATTTGTGCAACAAACTGCAAAATTCTTTCATTTAAAAATCAGAAAAATTCATTTCAAACATAGCTCTAAACATTGGTGGAGATTATTTCTAAACTTTAAATGCAACCATAGATCATACCTCGTTGTTGTTCAACTAATAATATAAAAGTGGAAGTAAACTGACATTCTTTACCCGTGAATACGCTGGTATCTAATAAAGTGTGACTGATCAGAACAAGTATAAAAGTTGTTATATAAGAACATTCCTGGCAATTTTAGAGTTTCTCTCCCGTATGAGTACGTTGATGTCTGACAAGACTTGATTTAACAGAGCAAGTATATGAACATTCCTTACACTTGTAGGGTTTCTCTCCAGTGTGAGTCCTTATATGTAATGAGAGATGACCTTTCTGAGCACACGAATATGAACATTCCTTACACTTGTAGGGTTTCTCTCCCGTGTGAGTACGTTGGTGTATAATAAGATTAGATTGAACAGAGCAAGTATATGAACATTCATTACACTTGTAGGGTTTCTCTCCCGTGTGTGTCCTAATATGTAATGTGAGATCACCTTTCCGAGCACTACAAAACGAACATTGGTTACACTTGTAGGGTTTCTCTCCCATGTGAGTACGTTGGTGTGTAATAAGATTTGATTTAACAGAGGAAGTATATGAACATTCATTACACTTGTAGGGTTTCTCTCCCGTGTGAGTCCTCATATGTCTCTTGAGATCACCTTTCTGAGCACTACAATATGAACATTCCTTACACTTGTAGGGTTTCTCTCCGGTGTGAGTCCTTATATGCGCTGTGAGCGAACATTTCTGAGCACTAGAATACGAACATTCGTTGCACTTGTAGGGTTTCTCTCCTGTGTGAGTCCTCATATGTTTCTTGAGATCACCTTTCTGAGCACTATAATATGAACATTCCTTACACTTGTAAGGTTTCTCTCTCGTGTGAGTACGATTGTGTATAATAAGACTTGATTTATCAGAGCAAGAATATGAACATTGGTTACACTTGTAGGGTTTCTCTCCCGTGTGAATGCATTTAAAATGTTTCACAAGATCACTGTTCTCATTACAGGTATAAGAACAATCGTCACATTTAAAAGCTTTCCCAACAAGAGAAGTATTTTCTTTGCCCAACCTGTCTGATGATCGTAAAGAGTTTAACAGGACATCTTTAGTAGACATATCATTGATCGTTTCACCATGATGTTCTCTGATATGTTCCACAAAGAACTCATCATAAAGGAAGTGAGCTTCACATTGCGGACAAATGAAACCATGTGATATTCCAGTCACCTCCTCCTGCTCGGTTTTTATTTCCTTTTTGATCGGAATTAAATTTATGTTACTGTTTTCTTTATCAGCAGCTGTTGAGAATCTTTTACTCCGTGTTAACATGGCAAACTTTCCTGCATTAGTAACTGATTAATGAATTAAAATAGACAAACTTTCCAAATTCAAATAACCAAATCTTTAATTACCAGTGGGTATAAATAAATGGAATATTATTAAATTATAATAATTAGACCCCCTCGGCCCTCAGATATCTATATTATATCAGTACCATGCAGCTATAATGCAGTTAATAAATGTCATATCATAGTCATATTATAAAAATAACAAATAATATAGAATGTGGAAAAACGATACATTTACTAATTTCTACTATTGAGACAAGACAAAATCAGTGGGATTCAATTAATGGTTAGATATATCTAATAATATATCAAAGATTATAATTAATTCCTTACTTATTTGTGCAACAAACTGCAAAATTCTTTCATTTAAAAAACAGAAAAATCCATTTCAAACATAGCTCTAAACATTTGTGGAGATTATTTCTAAACTTTAAATGCAACCATAGATCATACCTCGTTGTTGTTCAACTAATAATATAAAAGTGGAAGTAAACTGACATTCTTTACCCGTGAATGCGCTGATATCTAATAAAGTGTGACTGATCAGAACAAGTATACAAATTGTCATATGAGAACATTCCTGGCAAATTTAGAGTTTTTCTCCCGTGTGAGTACGTTGATGTCTGACAAGACTTGATTTATCAGAGCAAGTATATGAACATTCCTTACACTTGAAGGGTTTCTCTCCCGTGTGAGTCCTAATATGTACCTTGAGATCACCTTTCCGAGCACTACAATATGAACATCGGTTACACTTGTAGGGTTTCTCTCCCGTGTGAGTACGTTGGTGTCTGATAAGTCTTGATTTAACAGAGAAAGTATATGAACATTCCTTACACCCGTGTGAGTCCTCATATGTTTCTTCAGATCACTTTTCTGAGCACTACAATATGAACATTCCTGGCACTCGTAGGATTTCTCTCCCGTGTGAATACGTAAATGTTTCACAAGATCACTGTTCTCAGTACATGTATAAGAACAATCGTCACATTCAAAAGCTTTCCCAACAGAAGTATTTTCTTTGCCAAACCTGTCTGATGATCGTAAAGAATTTAACAAGACATTTCTAGAGGACATATCATTGATGTTTTCATCATGATGTTCTCTGATATGTTCCACAAAGAACTCATCATAGAGGAAGTGAGCTTCACATTTCGGACAAATAAAACCATGTGATATTCTAATCACCTCCTCCTGTTCAGTTTTTATTTCCTTTTTGATCGAAATTAAATTGCTGTTACTTCTTTCTTTATCAGCAACTGTTGTGGATCTTTTACTCCGTGTTAACATGACAAACTTTCCTGCATTAATAACTGATTAATAAAATAAAAATAGACAAACTTTCCAAATGTCTATATAATTCCAATAGACCCCCTCGGGCCCTCAGATATCTATATTATATCAGTACCATGCAGCTATAATGCAGTTAATAAATGTCATATCATAGTCATATTATAAAAATAACAAATAATATAGATTGTGGAAAAACGATACGTCATTTACTAATTTCTACTATTGAGACAAGACAAAATCAGTGGGATTCAATTAATGGTTAGATATATCTAATAATATATCAAAGATTATGATTAATTCCTTACTTATTTGTGCAACAAACTGCAAAATTCTTTCATTTAAAAATCTGAAAAATTCATTTCAAACATAGCTCTAAACATTGGTGGAGATTATTTCTACACTTTAAATGCAACCATAGATCATACCTCGTTGTTGTTCAACTAATAATATAAAAGTGGAAGTAAACTGACATTCTTTACCCGTGAATACGCTGGTATCTAATAAAGTGTGACTGATCAGAACAAGTATAAAAGTTGTTATATGAGAACATTCCTGACAAATTTAGAGTTTTTCTCCCGTGTGAGTACGTTGATGTCTGACAAGACTTGATTTATCAGAGCAAGTATATGAACATTCCTTACACTTGAAGGGTTTCTCTCCAGTGTGAGTCCTTATATAATGTAATGAGAGCTGACCTTTCTGAGCACAAGAATATGAACATTCCTTACACTTGTAGGGTTTCTCTCCCGTGTGAGTCCTCATATGTTTAATGAGATCACCTTTCCGAGCACTACAATATGAACATCGGTTACACTTGTAGGGTTTCTCTCCCGTGTGAGTACGTTGGTGTCTGATAAGACTTGATTTAACAGAGAAAGTATATGAACATTCCTTACACTCGTAGGGTTTCTCTCCCGTGTGAGTCCTCATATGTTTCTTGAGATCACCTTTCTGAGCACTATGAAACGAACATTCCTTACACTTGTAGGGTTTCTCTCCCGTGTGAGTCCTCATATGTTTCTTGAGATCACCTTTCTGAGCACTACAATATGAACATTCCTTACACTTGTAGGGTTTCTCTCCCGTGTGAGTCCTCATATGTTTCTTGAGATCACCTTTCTGAGCACTACAATATGAACATTCCTGGCATTCGTAGGATTTCTCTCCCGTGTGAATACGTAAATGTTTCACAAGATTACTGTTCTCAGTACAGGTATAAGAACAATCGTCACATTTAAAAGCACTCTCAACAGGAGAAGTACTTTCTTTGCCCAACCTGTCTGATGATCGTAAAGAATTTAACAAGAAATTTCTAGTAGACATATCATTGATTTTTTCATCATGATGTTCTCTGATATGTTCCACAAAGAAATCATCATAGAGGAAGTGAGCTTCACATTTCGGACAAATGAAACCATGTGATATTCTAGTCACATCCTCCTGTTCCTCCTGTTCAGTTTTTATTTCCTTTTTGATCGAAATTAAATTTCTGTTACTTCTTTCTTTATCAGCAACTGTTGTGGATCTTTTAATCCGTGTTAACATGACAAACTTTCCTGCATTAGTAACTGATTAATAAAATAAAAATAGACAAACTTTCCAAATTCAAATAACCAAATCTTTAATTACCAGTGGGTATAAATAAATGGAATATTATTAAATTATAATAATTAGACCCCCTCGGCCCTCAGATATCTATATTATATCAGTACCATGCAGCTATAATGCAGTTAATAAATGTCATATCATAGTCATATTATAAAAATAACAAATAATATAGATTGTGGAAAAACGATACATTTACTAATTTCTACTATTGAGACAAGACAAAATCAGTGGGATTCAATTAATGGTTAGATATATCTAATAATATATCAAAGATTATAATTAATTCCTTACTTATTTGTGCAACAAACTGCAAAATTCTTTCATTTAAAAATCAGAAAAATTCATTTCAAACATAGCTCTAAACATTTGTGGAGATTATTTCTAAACTTTAAATGCAACCATAGATCATACCTCGTTGTTGTTAAACTAATAATATAAAAGTGGAAGTAAACTGACATTCTTTACCCGTGAATACGCTGGTATCTAATAAAGTGTGACTGATCAGAACAAGTAAAAAAGTTGTTATATGATAACATTCCTGGCAATTTTAGAGTTTTTCTCCCGTGTGAGTACGTTGATGTCTGACAAGACTTGATTTATCAGAGCGAGTATATGAACATTCCTTACACTTGAAGGGTTTCTCTCCAGTGTGAGTCCTTATATGTAATGAGATATGACCTTTCTGAGCACAAGAATATGAATACTGTGGTATATTCCATCTATACTCTAGATATATCACTGGTGATGTAAAAGAGATCTTACATGGGGACCCCAGGCTATTATGTTCATAAACCGAATAGAGATAAGGTGGAATGACAGGCTGAGCGCCACCCAGTTAAATTGATCATGTGACTCACCCACCTGCATGTAACTCATTACAACTTGCAGCTGTCGCTAGTTCATTTCGCGCTAATGACTAAATATTAGGCTATCCACTCCGATAATCGTAACCGATAATTATTTCCGATAATTCGTTTAAAAAAGTTATCTGTTTATCTAGATAAAACATATTTTTATCGGTATAAAAATTCACTAGATATTACCGAAAATACTGCCACAATACCGTAAAATTGTAAAGAAATATTAGTGTTTTTGCCTTCCCAAGTAATCCAAGAAACAGTCCCAAACGTCTTCTAGTATGATAGAAGAGGTAGTTTACTTAGATGTGAGCTTAAGAGGTTTATTTACATTTGTATACCTATGGAACTGTAGAACTTTATGAACTGTATTAACAACTCAATAGCCCAAGTCACCATACCCGTAGTATATTCCATGGTAATAGAAGAACTTTAAAGTTTTTAAAATTGTTGCTATAATTGATTTAAATAAAAAAAATTTGTTGTTTTCTTGAATTTGTTGTTTTCTTGACTGTAGAAATCCAGAGAAGGTTATTGACATTGTTCTCTTGAGGGTGCTGGCGTTTTACCTTACAACCATTCTGGAGACAGGAACGATCAGGTTACTGTTAACAAGAGTCAAAAATGCCGGCAGGGCACTCAATTGAATTCCGTAAGTGTTCTGGGCGTGAAACATTGTCTTCAGGAGAAGGAATCTGTTGCTTCAAGTTATCGACAGGATAAGAAAACGGTTCACTGAATCACTTTAAATGCTTTACTGTTTCGAGGAGAATTGGTATTTGGTGCACTACTGTTCTCAGGAGAAGGAAACCTTTGGTCTAGACTGTTTTGAAGAGAACTATTGCGTAACTGTTCTCAGGAGAAGAAAACCGGTGGTCTACTGTTTTGAAGAGAACTAGTGCGTTACTGTTCTCAGGAGAAGGAAACCAGTGGTCTACTGTTTTGAAGAGAACTAGTGCGTTACTGTTCTCAGGAGAAGGAAACCAGTGGTCTACTGTTTTGAAGAGAA